CCTCTCTTCTCTTTATTACGGTTGTAAGAGAGTATGGCGTGTGTCATTCTCCAGTAACCTTCACATATTGAAATGAAGATTTACTTTATGCAATGTGTAGATAATACCTCAGTTAAAACATGTCAAGGTAGGAAGTCAAAGGTAGAGATGGTGTAGACTACCCACGATCATGGTAGTTGCACAGACACACATTTTTGAGAACGTGGTAGATGCTCAGTCAGAGACATTATATACATGATCATGCGAAAAATACATGTACACGAATATGAAACTGTCCACTGAACAGGAACGTTTTTTGTGTGACGCAAATCAGTGTGTTGATCTACCTAAGAACACTGGACATTTGGGCGCCATATAGCTGGAACATTGCTGAGTGTGGCGTTAAACAACAATTAAACAAACAAACAAACAAATCATATGCATTTATATGCGGAATATCTGTAGGAAGAAGATTCTGTGGCTAACAAAAATGTATGCATGGTATAAACCTTCATCGGGCATCGCTGGATATTGCAAACATCGTCGTCACTGAATATATATAATGCATTATACAATATAAGGTACACAAGGAGGACCTGAGACGATGGGAGGGAATATTCAGTCTATTAAACATTACTGATATATAATGAGTGTTAATGTACGTGATGTAACATCCCCACGTGGGACACTGTGTAAACAACTCTGGTCGTTATCAATAACAAGCACTGGCATGGATAACACGTTTTTATTTACTCACATACTTACACCACAACGCGGGACATGTTCTTCGCCAACAGTGTGAATCGTACAGCTAAGCATCGCCACCGACAAGTTGGTGAAATGTTTATTATTCACTGATTCAGGACATTATCCAGACTCTCTAGATGCTCAAACACACCCATGTCGTGATTGACTGTATTTATGTATACCAGAGAGTTTATATCAGAGTTACACTCTCTGATTGTACTACCACTAATTATACTCTGGCAAGTTCTCTACTGAGATCGCCTTTTTGGTCCAGTGGATGAGAAGAAATTTAAGAGCGTCTGTCGATCCCCGGCCGCGTCACACCAAACTACTTGTTGTTTCCCGGCATTAACGGGTTAAATCAAGAATTGGTCGGCTCGTAGTCAGTATACTTACTTATCTCTCCCTCATGATGGTAAGGTAGTTCATATAAGCAGGACTGTTGTGAAGGAAAATCATAGTCTAGTAAATGTTTTCTAAATGTAAGGATGTTATAATGATTAAACGGGCCATTTGCCCGACTTGGACATATGACCGCACATATAACCACCGGGTCATGGTAATTTGTTACCCGTAGGGTGTTGCCGCCTACCTGGTCAGATCAGTCCAGATTCCGAGGTTACAATAGTTCCCCAGTACCCATGCTGGTCCCAGGAGGCGACCAAATGGATCGGGAGGACAGACTCGGTGACCTGGGTGCCGTTGTACAGAACAACCTTAGCGCTACGACTGACGTAAGTCTATGTTAAGGTATGGGAGTTACGATCACCTTAGCGCTAAGATCGCTTTGTACAACGGCACCCAGGTTGATTTTGAGTGTCACCGAACTCCGACCGACCCGATTGTTTCCAGGCCGTCGTCATATTTAGAGCTTGAAGGTATATTGCCAGATTATGTCTTATATATGATATATAACTTGTATAGATATATTGTCAGATTATGTCTTATATATGATATATAACTTGTATAGATATATTGTCAGATTATGTCTTATATATGATATATAACTTGTATAGATATATTGTCAGGTTATGTCTTATATATGATATATAATTTGTATAGATATATATTGTCAGGTTATGTCTTATATATGATATATAACTTGTATAGATATACTGTCAGGTTATGTCTTATATATGATATATAACTTGTATAGATATATTGTCAGGTTAATCTTATATATGATATATAACTTGTTTAGATATATTGTCAGGTTATGTCCTGTATATGATACATAACTTGTATAGATATATTGTCAGGTTATGTCCTGTATATGATACATAACTTGTATAGATATATTGTCAGGTTATGTCCTGTATATAATATATAACTTGTATAGATATATTGTCAGGTTATGTCCTGTATATGATATATGAATTGTATAGATATATTGTCAGATTCTGTCCTGATAATGATTTATGAATTGTATAGATATATTGTCAGGCTATGTCATGTACGCTTATATGATATACAACTTGTAGTGATATTTGTCAGATTAGGTCCTGAATATGATATGCAACTTGTATAGATATATTGTCAGGTTATGTCCTGTTAATGACATATACCTTGTATACATACATTGTATGACTTTGAATCAGTAGTTTGCTCCAGTGTGGTACGTTTACTGGTCATGTAATCCCCTTGTTTTTTTCTACAAATAGTCTTATATTCATTCCTTATTTGATGGTAATTCCGCAAATCTTCATTGTCTTTAGTTTTTCTAAATTTGTTAAGAGCACGACAGCGTTCATGTTTCATTATCAGACAGTCATCATCATGCCACGGGTTTCTCGTTTTACAAATATGTTGATGATTGTTATTATTATTCCTATAAGGTTTTTGCCTCTGTAAACGTTATACACTCTTGTCTATGTCAGTAAGAGCTTCTAAACTCGCTTTTTCCAGATTCGTTGCAATTTCGGACGATTCCAAATTATGTATGAACTGTTCCTTCTTGTTATCCCCCCAGGGGTATCGAACACGGCGGTCTGTTGATTGCGTTTCCGCGGAGCATTTGACCACAGGCGTTGTCATAGTTACAGGTAGATGTAGTGAGTCACATCGAGAAACAACCTCAAAATCACATATATGATAAAAAAAAAGTCAGATGAGCATACAACATAATCCATGGTACTACAACCATTAGGGCTGACATAAGTGTACTCTCCTAATTGGTTATCCGTACCTAGTCTACCATTCACTATGTGAATGTCTAATAGTAAGCATAACTCAAGAAGGCTTGCTCCATAAATGTTGACTACTTTATCGCAGGAATATCTTGGTTGGCAGAACCTTGGAAAATAATGTGAGTAACACCCATTATTATCAAGGAATGGGAAATGGGAATGGATATTATCAGTCAAATTTAGCATTTCTTTTGAGAAAACAATGCATATACTCTGTTCAAAAGTAACAATATAAATGACAAAATCAGTCAGAGAATTTCCTACTAAAACGATAATTCCACCTGATAAACGCCCATGTTTAGAAAGTCTGGTTGCAGGCACACTATATAACTGAAAATCAGAAAATATAGCACTGAATTCTATTTCTGTAGTCCATGTTTAAAACAAAGCTATAATGTCAAAACTGGTAACAAAGGTTAAAAAATCATCTTTACGTTTTTTTATTTTCAAGTCCGTCCACATTACATGAAAGGAATGACACTTTGTCTTGTCTATCACTACACTCGGGGCCCTGGCCACGCCGCTATTTCCCGGTTCTTTCTCTAGAATTCGATCGTAGGGACCGCTGGTTAGTGTCTGTGTTGATTCCTCTACCTATGGATCCGGACCGCCTCCGTGGTCTTGTGGTAGAGATTAAAAGATTGTACTTGTTGTTACCCTGTCTGGCGTTCGGCATTAAGGGGCTAAAACAAGGACTGGTCGGCTCGGAGTCAGTATACTGTGTCTGAGTGGGGTATTCATGTTAAACTGCGGCATGGTATCGGCATCAGTCCGGACTAGTACAAGCAGCCACACACACACATACACGTGCATGCACGTCGCTATATAAGTGCAATAATCTTGGACGCGACGTTAAACCCAATTTCACCTCACCACACCTATGGATCCTGGGCCCCTGCGCCCTGAACCTCTACCCCTAATCTGATTTGGAGTTTTGTTGGTGGAATCGGTTGTGTGGACTGGGAACGAATTGGACTAACCCTTGTCCTCGTTGTCCACAATAAATAGCCTACCTCCCTTATAGTATCCGCGCTTGTTCTCCTCTCTCAGACGTTTCAGTTTGTCACGCTGATTTCTTGTCATATCATTTGCAACCCCGATATATGACGTTTTGAGGTAACCTCGCATCTTTAGAACTCTAATTTTAATATCATTACAGACAAATCGGACAATTACTGGTCGTGGTTTACCGCTTACTCGTACCCGAGACGGTGTTCCAACTTCACTCACTGTTGCACATACAGTAAACTACGGTTATAACGAACACGCTTATAACGAACTAACGGATATAACGAACTAACGTTTTAGTCCCGACTATATGCTGTAGTTATGCTGTATATATGCTTATAACGAATTACGGTTATAACGAACTAAAATTAGTCGTCCCTTTGAGTTCGTTATAACCGTAGTTTACTGTATTTCTTTCTTGTTTTCCTCCATTTTGCTGAACAGTGCAGCCTTCAAACCCATTATTTGTTCCTCCACGGTCGGGCCTGGTTGCTTATCAATATCACCAGCAATGAGAAGTAGTCTTCTCAAGACAGTACATATTGCCAGGCAGACTGAAGGTGACAGATCATCACTTATTGTACTCGATGAGTGGCGGTATAAGGGGGTGAACATATCAACACTGTCAAAAGGGGTGTACAGTACGAACAAGTTGAGTTTTTTGGCACACGATAAAGTGGCATTGCCATTTTCAATCTCATTACCAACTGCGTGAGTTTAACCCCGTCAGCAAGCTGACAAGGTAAGGATGTCATCTGTGGGATGACTCCACGCCCTGCTTCATACACACAAAACGCCAGCTGTAAAAGTCGCCAGCAAATCCCCAAACACGAAGAATTATGTGAAAGAAATGTGTTTTATGTTTCATATGGTAATCATTTGGAATAAGAGCTACCTCACCTTGCCACCTGCCAGTCAATTAATCTGTGTTTAATCCCTCCATTGTTTGTGGATTATTCCGGAAGATTACCTTAGTTACCCTAGACAATACCTAGTAAATCCCCATACACGAAAATCGAAACGTCAAGTCATTTATCCATGACCAGAGCGACGTGGGGTCATATTCATCAACGACAATACCTTTCAGTGAAGCAGGCTGTTTAAATGTCCCAATTTGTGCCCTCCGCGTCGAAATATCCACACCCATGATGCCAGAAGATGTTCACACGGTGCTGACAAAATAGTCGTTGTTACCTTCTATTATACGGTATGTGCTATGACTAAAATGTATCGCGGCTCACAACAGGGCGTCTGTGGCCGTCCGCCATCTTGTCAATGTTTTATAAAAACACATAGATATATTGTCAGGTTATGTCCTGTATATGATACATAACTTGTATAGATATATTGTCAGGTTATGTCCTGTATATGATACATAACTTGTAAAGATATATTGTCAGGTTATGTCCTGTATATGATACATAACTTGTATAGATATATTGTCAGGTTATGTCCTGTATATGATACATGTATATGAATTGTATAGATATATTGTCAGGTTATGTCCTGTATATGATACATGTATATGAATTGTATAGACATATTGTCAGGTTATATTCTGTATATGATACATGTATATGAATTGTATAGACATATTGTCAGGTTATGTCCTGTATATGATACATGTATATGAATTGTATCGATATATTGTCAGGTTATGTCCTGAATATGATATGTAACTTGTATGGAGGTATTGTCAGTTTCTGTCCTGTATATGATATATGAATTGTATGGATATATTTACAGTTTATGTCCTGTATATGATACATAACTTGTAAAGATATATTGTCAGGTTATTTCCTGTATATAAGACTTGTTCAGACAAATTGTCAGGTTATGTCCTGTATATGATATAAGACTTATATAGATATATTGTCAGATTATTTGCTGTACTTGTTAATGATACATTTCTTGTATAGATTTCTTGTCAGATTATAACCTATTGTCAGATTGTTCTGTATATGATAAAGAACTTGTATAGATATCAAGTAGCTTGTTCCCTCTCGTAATTGATAGTTTCGGGACGTGCGTCTCCATCGCCTGTATTTACACATCAAAATTAAACTAACATGCACAGTCAATAACACTCCCACCGATAAAAGACCCAAAACAGCTCTGGTAATTCAATTTGCGAGAAAGTTTTATATTTTCAGCACGATCGTAAGCACAGTTCATTGTAAATAATATTCTTAAGAACATTAAATTGTCGATCCTTTCCTTTCAGGCCATCGCTAAGCAAACAGGGACATGCACGGCCCATGATGTAAGCAGCCACCACTACAATAGTTTTCCCCAAAACTGGCGAGCGTAGTACACTCCCGCTGTCCCACTTCATACTGGCCACTGATGGAAGCATGACGAACATATTCCGTCGCTCTTGAACTTATTGAAGTTACACAATTTGAAGAAATGCTACGTTTCATACTCTTGACATTTTTGTGCCAGTCTGTTGCAGAACAACCAAATGTCTTATTTCTGGTAGCAGACGACATGCGCCCAGACATTGAAGCATTCGGCCATGTTGACGGCATTGTCCGTCCCAAGATGCACACCCCTAATTTGGACAAGTTAGCCGGAAGGAGCCTGCTGTTAAAAAAGGCCTATGTCCAGCAAGCCTTGTGTGGACCAAGCAGGACATCACTTCTGACCAGCAGACGACCGGACACAACTCGGGTGTACGACTGTAAAACGTACTGGAGAACCTCAGGCGGTAACTTTACCACTCTCCCGCAATATTTCAAGGACAATGGATACAGAACAGTTGGAATCGGGAAAATATTTCATGGCGGCAAATCATCAAATCATCATGACCCCATGTCCTGGTCGGATCCTTATTTGGACGCACCTGATAAATACAAGAAGGACAAGCTGTTGATGAATGCTGTAAGTCAAGGACGGTTGAACAAACAACCTCTACAAGATACTTTGGTAGCGGACCATGCCATTGGTGTGTTACGTGATGTTGCGTCTAAGGCCCAAACTGGTAAGCAGCCATTTTTTCTTGCTGTTGGCTTCCGTAAGCCTCATATGCCGTGGACATTTCCCGACAGATTTCTGAAATATTACCCACTTGAGGACATTCCGATTCCGGATAATTATTATGCGTCAACTGATATGTCTAAGATTGCATGGCACACATACAAAAACATGGGAAGTTATAAGGACGTCAAAGCCTACAATCTGAAGAAGGTCGGATCATTCAATTTCACGTTTCCTCCAAGGCTAACTCGACGCCTTCGTCAGGCATATTACAGTGCAGTCAGCGCCACAGACTTTGAGCTCGGGCGTGTTATCAATGAACTTGATCGGCTAGGTCTATCAAAGAATACTATCATCTCCTTCTGGGGGGACCATGGCTGGCAGCTCGGGGAACACGCTGAGTGGCAGAAACAGACTAATTTTGACCTGTCGACTCATGCGCCGATGATGCTTCGCATACCAGGGAAAACAGACAGTGGGATAGTGTCAGAGGAGCTGGTGGAGTTTGTTGACCTGTTTCCCACTCTTGTTGATGCTGTGGGAATTCCAAGGCTTAATACATGTCCCAAAAATTCGAATAAGGTTCGACTCTGTACTGAAGGTACTAGTTTTCTACCACTGGTCGACAAACCCAAGCAAGCGTTGAAGAAAGCCGTCTTTTCTCAGTATCCTAGTGAAGGCCGTGGATTGATGGGCTACACAGTGACAACCAAGAGGTACAGGTACACAGAATGGGTGCCGTTCGTTGGTAGACCCCGTAGACCAAAGTGGTGGAGTGTGAGGGCGGCGGAGCTGTATGATCATCAGGTAGATCCGGCGGAGAATGTGCAGCAAGCTAACAAGCGTTCAAAGAAGAATCTGCGGCAAAGTCTTAGAAGGCAGCTGCGAAAAGGATGGCGGGCAACCACACCACAGTGAAGCAGAATGCAGGCATCCTACTTCTACAGGAGAACATGACTTGATGGAATATTGTCATTTGCCAAAACGCCAGAAACCATAGTCTGTTAAACCATTCTCAATATAAAAAATGAGTGTTTGGATATCATTAAAACAGTTAAGTTTGCTACATTTTTTGTGTGATTTTGTCTAAATACTTAAATGACCTTCTCTTGGTTGTTTGTTGTTTAACGCGGGACTCAGCAATATTCCAGCAATATGATGGCGGTCTGTAAATTGTCTGGTCCAGACAATCCAGTGATTAATATCAGTAGCATCGATATACGCATTTGAAACAGCGTGCCTGACCACCCGATCCTGTTAGTCGCCTCTTACAACAAGCATGGGTAGCTGACAACAATTGTAACTTCAATGTTATAACGACGTCTTAATGTCAGGCAAACAGTTATTTATCTGACTATGTCAATCACAATTTGGTTGTTTCTTAATGATATCTTATTAAATCTTTTATCTATGGTAACGTCTCGGCGTGCAAGAAAATTGTATATTTGAGAGACCTTTCTTAATTCCTAAATTACTTGATAATGTCACCATATAATTACTGTACACTTCCAAGCGTCTGCTTAGGAAATATTTCTCTTACTTGTGCTTATACCAAAACCGCTGTTCGCTGGAGCGTTATTTTTGTCTCGGTGTAATTGCGTTGTTTGTAAGTAAACTAGTGAAAGTTATGTGATTTCACGATAATTCATATCATATCTCATTGGTCTGGTACATCAGCTTAATGTGGAAGGAAATTTCACATAGGTCTTTATAGGTGTTTACAACTTGGTTAAACCCACGACCATGCGCATGGTGCCTACAAACCAAGAATTTGGGGATTCGAACCAACGATCAGAGTATCCTGGTATACCTAAGGGACGTTAAAGTGCCCAGCGAATTGCGACGCATTAAAAGACTGTGTCATCCCGTGCCCCAAGAATGCATGTCTGCTTAGCTACTCACCTGCACCTACTTTATGTGACGATTTATTGAATTCCACTTTGAACATAACATTAAGAAATAACTCACGTAGTAACTTGAAACATCAAGGGACATGCTGGGATAAACAAATAAGCTTCAGTCAAATAGACCTCACGCTGTGTAAACTTTGAAGGATTAATGTATGCCATGAATGTTTTTTTCAATGGATCAAAGACTAGGTACACAACTACTCGAATTTCATTCAACCGGCGTAGCAAACTCAATTAATCCCTGAAAAATTCGGCATCTTAAAAGCTTGGGTGCATGGGTTAAGTTAAAGTGGGTATATAGTTAGACATGATTAGTGCCACTTTCGGCAATATTCCAGCAACATTACGGTGGGGAACAGCAGAAATCGGCTTCACACAAAGGACCCATTTGTGGAATTGAGCCTGACGAGCCATCGATGTAACCACCAGGCTGCCCAACCTGTACTTTCAATGCAAAATATTTTACAACACACGAAAACAAAACCAAACTTTAATCACTCTTTTCTTTTGTAGACAGACTTTACAGTCCTTGAACAGGTTCAAATGCGATGTATTTATTGCGGTTTGATATTACATAGCAGTAAATGTATTATCCACGATCTTTCCTCAGTTCATTGTTTCCAGTCTGAACCTTACGGACGTATTTTTTTCATCAGTGTAATACTGCACACATCCCAACGAAAAAACAAAACAAACAAAAAATCTTATGAGTTTTTTCCTTTTAAAACAATGGCGCCAAATTAAAAAATAAATCAGATTGTATACTTTCCAGGATCTACTGAAGACTTCGTGACAAGACACTGGCACTATGGGGACATTTAGGTCTCTCTCCTTTTAGTCACTTTGTTTTGGGATGTATTAATTCTAAACCGGCAGGTCGGTGTAGAAATCGGAAATTGTATTTCAATAAATGTTTTTTAAATGATGTGTGAAATGAATGGTCGATCAGGTGAGATGAATAAAAAGGATTCCTTGGACTGACAAGACAAATGGTTAGTGGTTGCGTATATACGATTAGTTTATTTCGGTTAAAAGGTCCTCATGGATAATGTATAACAAATATTATTTGAACTTTGGGTACTACAATGTATCAAAGTAGTTAGAGCTAGGCATGGAGATCGGAGGTTGTGGTCTTGGATGTATTTAACGTGAGAAGATTGGAACATCCTCGCCAGTCTATCTCTGTGATCAGCACTGTCGTCTAAATATGGGAAGTATTTTAAACGTATGCCAGTACAGATAGGCACGATCTCTCTCTAGTGTTTCCTTGTTTGTTTGTTGTTTAACGCCGCACTCAGCAATATTCCAGCTATATGACGGCGGTCTGTAAATAATCGAGTCTGGACCAGACAATCAAGTGATTGATATCACGAGCATCGATCCACGCAATAGGGATCGATGACATGCATCAACAACGTCAGCGAGCCTGACCATCGGATCCCGTTAGTCGCCTCTTACCACAAGCATAGTCGCCTTTTACGGAAAGCATGGGTTGCTGAAGATCTTCACGGGTCCTCTGGTCTAGTGGATAAAGCGTCTGCCGGGAGAGCGGCAATGTGAACGAGTTATTGACAAAACATCCCACAAATGTATGATGTAATAGGACTATGCGAAACAGGGACAAACAGCTGTGACATATATCAACAGTGTTTCCTGGATATGTGTATTTCAGTGTTGGTGCATGTGGAACTGCTTCCTGGGGAAGACTGTCGGGTGGAATATCCTTGTTGGAAACCAGGACAGTGCCTTATGTTTGTATCATCGATACTACATTTAAGAAATCACCGTTATGTACTGCTAGAGATGTACTAGTAGGCGGTGTGTACATCAACCCAGAAAATTCTCCCTGGTATAATAATAAGTACAGTAACTTACGGTTATAACGAAGTCAAAGGGACCACTAATTTTAAATCGTTATAACCGCAGTTCGTTATAAGCATATATACAGCACATATACAGCAAATAGCCGGGACCAAAAAATAAGTTATATCCGTCAGTTCGTTATAAGCGTGTTCGTTATAAACGTAGTGTACTGTATAGCCATTGGGGTATGTCATTATTCCGAGACGACTTAAATGCACGAACAGGAACCGAGATAGATTTTGTAGATGATATACCATGAAAAATTTAGAACTTGAAGATTGTGACTTTCAAAATGCTACTTAAATATATGCAGTGCTTTTAAATTAACTATTCTTAATGGCCGCTGTGGCTCTGATGCGTCCGTGCCAGACCACACATTCATTTCACCAACAGGAGCCAGTGTTACTGATTATGTAATCACTTCGAGTGATTTGTTTCCATCTTGTTCCGTACCCGTGAAGATCCGGGGTAGAATAGGTCTTCAACAACCCATGCTTGCCGTAAAAGGCGACTATGCTTGTCGTAAGAAGCGACTAACAGGATATGGTGGTCAGACTCGCTTGATCAACGTTTGATAAAATCTGTGTTAACTTTACACTATTAGAGTATTTATTAAAATTAGTAACTTTAAGACTACAGCGATTCAGAAGATCAGCCCTCACGTCGTCGTATAAAGGGCAGATAAGTAAAACATGGATCTCGTCTTCCACCTTGTCTGTACAATTAAAGCAATATCTCTCTTCTGGTGGTATGTTTGTGTAACGTCCAGTCTCTATCTTTAAAGGCGCCACTCCGCATCTGAATTTAGCTGGAGAGCTCCTATGAGCACGGTTGAGACGATATTCCACGTATTTTTCTGTGCTATTGACTTTTTTTAACAACCTGTAGCTTCTTTGTTTGTTTCTTCCACGGTGTCCTTTCTCCAACAATAAGTTGTCCCTCCATTTAGACTTATATTCAAACATAAGGCGTTCTTGCACCGTTGCAACAAATAACTTTGTTTCAATTTGGGTTTTTATGCTTGTCAAATGTCCCAGGTCGATTCTCTTTAGACATGCCGTCACTTTTCCATTCCAGCTCCTCTTGCAGTTGCTTGACCACACAAATATCTTCTTAGTTATTCTTCTGTTTGGAGTGTTGACAAGTCTGACCCAGTGTCTTGAGACTGTTGTCCATGATCTGATATATGGCGGGGTCCAACCTACTTCTCCATTTATTGCAATGTTTGGTGCAAGGAAAATCGAATAGCTCGATGATGGATAGCATTGACAGCAGAATGCTCTGTCGTTCCCCATATTGCCGACCCATAGTTTAAAACCGACCATACCATAGTGTCGTATAGTTTGGTAAAAACGTTAAAAGGCATAACACCAAGTCCTTAAAATTTAGAAATTTAAAGTCCCAGGAATCTATTTGCGGATTTCGCCGCACATTTAGCCATTGCGTTATAGTCCATGTGTTCGTTTAATAGCACACCGAGGTAATGATACGAATTTTCAATCTCTAAAACGATATCACCACAATAGAATGCTGTTCTTGGAATGCTAGGACCTCTAAAGTGGACAATCTTGGATTTTTCTGATTAGTATTATCTTATTACCTTCACACTTAGTGTTCAGGGCTGATAAGAGACTTTGCAAGTCTGCTGCATTTTCTGCCAATAGAACGATATCGTCTGCTTAAGCTAAAGCAGCAATATTTTCCTCTCCGATTTGAATTCCCTTTCCAAGCTCGTTGATGGTCTTTAGAAAGTCATTAATATACACATTAAACAACAAAGGTGATAGAAGACATCCCTGTTTCAGTCCTCTGCTCACAGGAAACCATGAAGTATAAACGTGATTAATGCGCACAGAGCATTTCACATTGTCATGTAACGACTTGATGGCTTGAAACATTTCCCCTCCTATTCCCGCTTCATTTAACTTTCTCCACTACCGATACCGACCTTTCCTATCCTCCTCCAGAACTCGTCTCTGTTCTCGTTACATATATTTTCCAGTTCTTTATGTACCCGACTTCTATATTGTCTTTTCTCTCGTTGAACACTCTTGTCAAACGCTTTCCTCAAACAGATATATCGGTGTTTTCGTTGTTTAGACATACCACTTGCTTCACACCATTGATTACCTTTCTGCTGAACACATGTCATTCCCTTTCACCGTCAGTCTCTCATTTCACCACGTCTGTCGGTGTCGGTGTCTTCTATTTCTCTTTCCCTCGGTTGACTGGAAGCTTATCTGACATTTCCTGGATGATGATATCAACCACAGGGCCACGGATAGCCATACTATATTGACTGTACTGATCTTTTTTTAATGTAATCAGTACAGTCAGTTTGGTATGGCCCTGTGATATCAACACAGCAGTTATAAGCGTTATCAATACACGCTTGGTCCTTAACTGAATTTTCAAGTCTGTTTACTACACCTATCAACATTTCTTTTACATCCTCTGACTGTAGGAAATCACCTGGTATTTCATCTGTTATTAGTTTATCATGAAATTCCGACGAATCCGTTTCACTTCAATTGCCATAAGCAGAAAAAAATAATGAACAGATTTTAGAAAATGACACTTGTTCAACCTGATTTGTGTCTCTGGTTGTAAAATCACCTAGATATACGTCAGTGACCCTCACGTTATATCAGAGACCATATAATATCTATTATATGGTCTCTGGTTATATTTATTATTTAATAAGTACGGCTCCAGTGACAACGACAACTTTAACACATTGTATGAATTCCAGTTTGAATAACTTAAATTGACACTTCAAAATACCATGTCTGTGTACAACAATATATCTGACTCTTTTTGAGAAAAAAAGGTTTTCGCTGAAGCGATAGAAATAATGTTTCCCTATTTTCTATGACGAGTGTGTACAAGCGCATCACAACAGTAACAATTTCAACAAAGGAAAATCTCAATTTTATTAAATCACTGGGTAAAATGTTTTTAGGACACATGTATATCGTATCTCTCAACCACAAAAATCTAACTTACAATTGTTTCCGGAAGGAAGGGCAAGAATGAACCCTTTTAAAATCTTGCGGGGAGGAACGTGACAGCCAATCAGAGTCAGTTTCCCTTTAACCCTCGGTCTCATTGCCCCGGAAGTTGATTCATCGAACCCTGGAGCCGGTTACTGTACGTATTCTGGACATCATGACACTAGTGTGGCTGTTGAGCCTGAAATACTTATGACAGTTCAATGTACAAAACAATAATGCTATTTTCGTGATGTTGTTATTATAAATCGATTCTCTAGTTCATTTGCAAATAAAATATTTCGCCACGTTGAATGTTCGGTAAATCGCAATAAGCAGGGGCACGTAACTCTTATCTTCTTAGCACTTCTACTTGAGTTACGAATTTGTTGAAATTCAACTAAAGGATTCAAGTTCCAATGCATCTTCAACATTTTTCTTTTTCAAATAGCGATTTTTTTTATCAAATTGACACTTTATTGACCCTATATTGACACTATACTATTGTTACGAAAATTAATATTTGGCATGTTTTAAACACATTTTAGCCTTACTTATAGCTATATCTATAGAGATATGACCGATAATTCAGTTTTTTTATTGGCCCATATTGAAAATGCAAGTGTAGAAAAACGGAAAATATTCTTCATAACGTGCATTCAGAACGTTTAACTAAGCATGTTGTCCGATTTTTACTTGGATCATTGATAGAACTCTATAAAGTAATGATATGTCTTTTATATTACATCTAAACTGTAACATGGCCGTTTTTCCATAGACCCGATGGGAAGATATAAGTGATGTCCCTCATCACCTGCACCCGAGGGCAGTACTTGTCACAACTGATTGCCAGGAAAATATCAGGTTGCCATAGAAACAAATTTCTGACACAACATAAACACACACTACGTCATGGATCAGCTGATAGTGAAAATGGTATGTATAATGTGACTTTACATCTTAACATGGTCATAGTTAGGAAATAAATAAGCAGTTAAACAGATAGATTCCATGCTACACACACTGTTATCATACTGGCTGTTATCGTTTTATAATTTCCATCGGGGGCTAGGGTGACCCAATCAGCTAAGGAGCTGCAATTTGCTGTTGAGTTGTGTCCCTTGGACACGCAAGAAACCTATGATTGTGGGTTCGAATCCGATTATGTTTCTAGGTTTGTCAGCACCATACCCATGCTCGTGGGTTTCACCAAAGTGGTAAACATCTGAGACCTGCATCACTTCGGGATTTCCTCCCACTCTAAGCTGACACACCGTTCTATAACTGAAATACTGTTAAATACTGCATTAGACCTAACTCACTCACTCACTCACTATAACCTTCATACTGCTCGGGGGATGAGTGGTCTTGGTCTGAGGCAAGGCATTGTTTAAAAGGGGAATCCTTGGGTCCTTGAAGTTTGAACCTATCATATTTGAATGTAGGGAACCGAGTATCTTGCCATTAGAGTTACGACAAGGACCCTATGGCTTTCAAACACTGAAGTGCAATTGTCTGTGCAGAGTTGCATCCCTTGGCCATGCCAAGATCTGCTGGTTGAGAGTATTAATCCCTGATTGTTTCTTGGTTTGTGTAATATCTGTAATTGAAACACAGTAGTTTTAAACTAGCTAGTGTATAATATTATGATAGGCCAGCACATGTCCGCTCCTGTAATGTGATTAGTTGCAGGTAAGCGCAGTCATGTGCTGTTATGTAACATGCGACAGTCTTGAATAAACGGCCAGTCAAGTGGCAGGCTAGTCTCCCGACTCCCGCGTTTATCATTCCTCCCTGAGAGCCCAACAGTTTGTCAGCTTTATATCCATGTTAGTGGTTCTATTTCTAACGGGGGCACGGGTGGCCCAGTCGTCTAAGGCGCCGCGATTCGCTGTGCAGAGTTGCGTTCCTTGGGCACACCAGAAACCTATGATTGTGGGTTCGAATCCCAGTTTGCCCCGATTATGTTTCTAGGTTTGTCAGCACCATACCCGTGCTCGTGGGTTTCAACGAAGTGGTAAACGTCTGGGACCTGCATCACTTCGGCTTTCCTCCCACATTAAGCTGACACGTCGTGATATAACTGGAATACTGTTAAAAGCGGCGTTAAACCCAACTCACTCACTCTATTTCGAACACTAAAGCGGTGTCACTCCCTCATGTTTAGAGGGTTCCACCAAAGTGGGCAACATCTACGACCTGATTCACTTCTGGATTTCCTACCGCAATAAACAGCCATGCTGTGAAGAATCCGAAATACTGTGGAGGGGGATGTGAAGGTGGCTTCACACGACAAACTAAAGTTTGCCGATTTATGTTTATAAACATAAATTTGTGTATATGGACATTGTGAAAACAGTGTGTGAAGTGTCTATTCTCTGCAATATTTTAGACAACATTCTTGTGATATCAAACTTGAACTTGATGTTTGCATGGTTGTCAAACATGTTGGTGGCTTACAACCATTCAGATAGTGCATAGATATCAAATGATTTTTAATTACTGGCAGCAGTATTTGAGGGAAATGAAGAGATATTAGGTAACAAGAACATATAATTATTGTGTGAAAACACAAGTTGGTAAACTTTGTGGTGTTTGCCATCTTATGTTGCCCTTATGAAGTTGCCTTTGAAATAAACCCTGCTTTCTCGATTGCTTCAAGAGAGGGACAGTCATGACAATGGCCAGCGTAGTCTGAATGCTGCATTAGGCGACCATGTCTAATATTTGGATAGATATTCTAAATAGTGGATAGTACAGCTGAATCTGAGTTGAAGACCTCACCATGTTCCTTTCAGGTCTGCTGCAGGTGTCGAAAGAAGTTGATGATGCAATGCATTCTGGGAAACCTGTGGTTGCCCTGGAGAGCACTATCATAACCCATGGCATGCCTTACCCAGACAATGTGTCGTAAGTAGCAGACTATTTGGTAGAGGTGAAACGATACAGCAAGGTCACTATACGATACACATTACGATACAAAGGTCCCGATACGATACATATCGTGTTATGCGTATTTATGTCAAATCACAGGGAAATGTCTTGACTATAAATATTTCTGAGCAGGATGAAAAGGGAAAGCTAGCTGTAGACATATGTTCATAGCAGCTGTTTTTAGTAGTGAACTTAATTACAACACAGTTTGCAATTTTTGACTGACAAAAACGCTGGGGTCCTTAAACGAGCTGTAATGTGTTTTAGCAGGTGTATCCTCTTGTATCGATACAGAAAGAAATGTATCGTGTATCACATATGTATTGTAGGGGGTGTCATTATGACCGCTGTCTGTTCTAAAGGGGTCAGGGGCAGTGGGGTAGCCTGGTGGTTAAAGTGTTTGCTCTGCCAACGCTGAAGACCCAGGTTCGTGTCCTGACATGGGTACAATGTGTGAAGCCCATTTCTGGTGTACCCCGCTGTGATATTGCTGGAATATTGCTAAAAGCGGCGTAAAACAATACTCATTCACTCACTCTAATGGGTTCACATATGTATTGTAGGGGGGAGGGGGAATTATGACCACTGCCTGTTCTAAAGGGGGTCACATATGTAATGAAGGGGGTCATCATTGTCGGAGAATCAATTTTTTTTACCCATGATACTGATTTTTACATTCTGCACACATTTGAGATTTTAGGTTACAATGAACTGCATACAACACGTATGTGTTGCATATATACCACTCAACATTTGCTAAGGACCACACATTTGACAAAGGATGATTTTCTTTGTCCTTAGCAAATGGTACGTAGTATAGTTAAACAATAATGTATCAAGGTTTGGACAAGCATTTTCACATTTGTAGCATTTAGCCGAAGTGTTATTAATTGCAATACAATTTATTGTTACCTTATACCTATCAAACCTCAATATATTTTCTTGCCACTGTCCAGTTGCACAGGCTACATCATAATTCACTTGTCGCCTCAGTTCAGTTTCTGTCTGGATTTCCAGAAACATGCTAGTCATCATTTTCAGGTGATAAGTAGTAATTCTGAAGTACTTGTCAGTGATATTCAAGTTGTTTAAGAAATTAGTAAACACAGATCTGACACAGATTGACAGATGAACGATGTATGATCAACCTGGGATTGTTCAATCTCATTAAAATCAGATATTAGTTCTCGATGCCGCTAAACAAAGATCTGAGGACATCCCATAACGGGTCACGTCAGGCCGACCTTTCGCGAATTCTGACCGACCAATGGAATTACTGACAAGAAGTCGACATTAGCCAATCAGAAGGCAGCTTTCTCGTGCTTTATGGCACTAATTTCAAATTGGCGACTACGCTTCGAAACATATTTTGGCAAATTCTCGCTTATAAAATTGAAACCTGAACAAAAGAACATTCTCGAATAGCTAATATATGGTCTAGATTATATAGGTTCAGTCGTTAAACCCGTAATTATCTTTCAGTATACCCCGTTTAAAAGTTTTCGAGGTTGTATGATGAGAAATCACATTCCAACTGTCACTTTCATGATCTGGTAAGCGACGATCTGATTGGTCTGATGAAAGGTCGTTCTGACGTGACCCCTAATTGGATGTCCTCAGATCTTTGTTTAGCGGTACTAGAACTAAGATCTGATTTTAATGAGATTGGGGATTGATGAAGTTGAAATGAGGATCATCTTAATACAACTGTTTGTTGTCCAATTCAAGGGGAAATGTCATTCACCAATTTGTAAGATGGAACAAAAGTATTGTTGTGAAACTTAAATTCCAAAGTGCACCCAAATATATTTAGGAATATTCTGGCACACTTGTAAAAACATTTTTAATTTTATCCCTACACTAAAATACATGGTTGTATCGTAACTGTGCACAGCTCATGCTGAAACATTGTTACTATTTTGTACATGATGGTGAATGATGTTCCCTTTTCCAGGAACATTTGCATGTGTTTAATTACAGAACAGCACAGGCAGTGGAAGATATCATACGTCAAAATGGCAGCGTTCCTGCAACAATAGCTGTTATTAAAGGACGGGTTCATGTGGGTGAGTGGCGTTACTCTCCAGATAGTGTTCAGTTTCCATAGGAGTGATCAGGGTAAGAACTGAGTCTGGGCCAGGGAACCACTTTTCATAGCACGAGCATCAGTCTATACTGTCGGGGCATGATGACAATAATAGTGGTTTGTTTGGTTGGTTGGGTGGTTGTTTGGTTGGATGGTTGGGTTGTTTGTTTGTTTGTTTGTTTGTTTGTTTGGTGGGTTGTTTGTTTGGTTGTTTGGTTGTTTGAGTGGTTGTTTGGTTGGGTGCTTGTTTGTTTGAGTGGTTGTTTGTTTGTTTGGTTGGTTGGTTGGTTGGTTGGTTGGTTGGTTGGTTGGTTAACTCTTCAATCAGCAATGTTCCAGATGGTTGACTATTAAAAATCGAGTCAGGACCAGACAATCCATGATTGACAACATAAGCATTAGTCCACGCAGTTGGGTTACAGTGACATACATTCAACCAAGTCACCGACACAGATTACCCAATCTGTTTAATAACATCTTATGGCAAGCAAAGAACGCTGGGGACCAATTTCCTTATGTGGATTCCCCACGGGGTGCTGGGGGCCTGTGCTGACATGGTTTGTTTATTTCATGTTTTATGCCACACTGCTCAATCAAGAAGAACTATATATTAATCGAAATGAAAAAAAACACATTGAGTTGAAAAAGGATTATTTGAAAAGGGTTCATTTTACCTGCAGGGCTGACCAGCAGTGAACTTGAATGGCTGGGATCACAACAACATGGACTTGTGAAAACATCTCGCAGAGACTTTCCAGTCGTTCTCTCTCAGGTAGGCGTCTTTGTTCAGGACATTATTATGGACCAGAGCCTTAAGTTAAGCTCTAGCTATTGATAGTTTAATTTGTCGTTGATGCATTGCTATAGGCCAAGGACAAATTTTGATGAGTTGATAGTTTGATCAATCATTACTAGGGCTGGGACAAACCAAATTTACTACATGGATACCCAGCCCCTTTTACTCAATCCTACCTGGGTACCCATTGTAGGTCTCAAGAGATGGGTACAAAATGTCTGAATGGGAATAGTTCGACCGTAGCCCTGGCAAAATGTATTTAGATACATGTAGGAAATGATCTGGTCATGCATACACTGAAGTTGACTGCAGTTTTATCTTTACTCAAACTTATTAAGTCAGGAGGAACACCTGCATAGTCAGAAAGAAATGCGAACATTAGTCACTTATAGTGTAACCATAGAGTTCTAGATCATTTTTGTCATTAAAAAATATATCCCGTGACTAACCATGGGTCCAAGTAGTCCGGTGGTCCTAGTCAGTACCCACCCGACCCCAGTACCTGACCCCAGTACCCAACCTGAGTACAAGACCCCAGTACCCAACCCGAGTACAAGGCCCCAGTACCCAACCCGAGTACAAGATCCCAGTACCAAACCCGAGTACAAGACCCCAGTACCCAACCCGAGTACAAGACCCCAGTACCCACCCGACCCCAGTACCCAACCTGAGTACAAGACCCCAGTACCCAACCTGAGTACAAGACCCCAGTACCCAACCCGAGTACAAGGCCCCAGTACCCAACCCGAGTACAAGACCCCAGTACCCGACCTCAGTACCCAACCAGAGTACAAGACCCCAGTACCCAACCTCAGTACCCAACCCGAGTACAAGACCCCAGTACCTGACCCCAGTACAAGACCCCAGTACCCAACCCGAGTACAAGACCCCAGTACCCGACCTCAGTACCCAACCAGAGTACAAGACCCCAGTACCCGACCCCAGTACCCAACCCGAGTACAAGACCCCAGTACCCGACCCCAGTACCCATCCCCAGTACAAGACCCCAGTACCCGACCCCAGTACCCAACCCCAGTACCCAACCCGAGTACCTGACCCAAGTACCCAACCCCAGTACCCGACCCCAGTACCCATCCCCAGTACAAGACCCCAGTACCCGACCCCAGTACCCAACCCCAGTACCCAACCCGAGTACCTGACCCAAGTACCCAACCCCAGTACCTGACCCCAGTACCGGAGCTACCCGTCCCAGCCCTAATCATTACACCCCTACCACCTGGTATTCTCAAAAAGTATATGTTGTCAGATTTCAATGGAAGCCGTTTTCTGAAATTATTGCTAGACTTGGTAGATTTACTTTCTAATGTCCTTATGATCGCACCCTTTTGTTATAAATTCTTATTACCTTACATCACTTTGGTGTAATGGAATGAACTCTTGATAATTTACAATAAGTCCTTGTTATTTTCCAGCGACTGAGTGGCGGTACAACAGTGTCAGGGACCATGCTGGTTGCTCATAAAATGGGCATTCCTATTTTTGTTACAGGGGGGATAGGTGGGGTTCACAGAGGAGCTGAAACATGTAAGTAGTTGTCACATTATCCTTATCTCAGTACTTGCTTATTGCAAAGCAGGGGGCGGTTGGGTAGCCTAGTGGTTAAAGCATTCCCTCGTCACGCCGAAGGCCCGGGTTCGATTCCCGACATGGGTACAGTGTGTGAAGCCCATTTCTGGTGTCCCCTGCATTGATATTGCTGTAATATTGCTAAAAGCGGCGTAAAACCATACTCACTCACTCACTCAGATCCCAGATCCTTCCTGATTGTACTTCTATGGTTGTCAGCACCATACCTGAATTGGAAAACCTCTAATACCTGCATCCATTAGGGTATCCGCCCACATCACGCTAACATGCCACAATATAACTGATGTACTGTTTGAGGAGATGTTAAACCAAACTCACTCACATCCTCTGTTGCAGCCATGGACGTCAGTGCTGACCTGACCGAGCTGGGCCGCACGCCGGTGACTGTTGTGTCTGCAGGAGTCAAGTCAATACTTGACATCGGCCGCACACTCGAGTACCTGGTCAGACACCCTTCATACCTCCATCACCTCAAATCTTTGTATTACCGCCTCCATGATCTCGTGGATAGAGTGTCTGCCTGGAGAGGGGAAGGTCGGTGGTCTGATCCCCTGGCCCCGTCATACCAAAAGACGTTAAAAGATGGTACTTGTTGTTAACCTGCCTGGCACTTGGCATTAAGGGGATAAAACAAGGACTGGTCGGCTCAGAGGCAGTATACTGTGCCTGAGTGGGGTATCAATACTTTAGCATGGTATTTCATTGGGTTCGGACCAGTTAGTTGGCATTAGTCTGGACTAGTACGAGCAGCAACACACATGTGCATGCATATTGCTATATAAGTGCTATAATCTTGACCACAAACCTTAACCCCATTTCAGCTCACCTCATTAAAGACAGAATTTCCATTTCGGGAGTAAATGTCCTGATCTTGACTCTGTTGTTGGGATTTTATCAGTTCTGTTTCAGGAGATAATGTTTTCCAATAGAGTATTCCAGGCCTCGGTATCTAAATCCTTTCTATTCTTAAGAAGAAAAAAGAAACTTACAGTTATCTCTCTTTTAGGAAACTCAAGGAGTTTGCGTAGCTACATTTGGAAGTTCGCGAGATTTCCCAGCATTCTTCACATCAAAGAGTGGCTTCCAGTCTCCCTATAATGTGGAAACAGCCACGTCTGCAGCTGGTCTTATAGGTAGGGTAGCAAGGACGACCAGAGGTCTTGGAAGATATGTGAGATTTCCTAGCTGTAAGCTAAATATAGATTCATCAGGACAGTCTGCATTCTGAGACTACTGTCCATCTGCTGTCCTTGGTATTGTTTTGATAGCTCAATATCTAGTCTTGTATATGGACAGACGTGTTAGATAGAAATACTCTCACTAAGTTGGACAGGTCACCCTTGAAAGACTTAGATTTGTTCTGCGAGGACTTGTCATCTTCTGATGATTCTTGTTAGTTTTCCTCATGATAACAATGGATTCTAACCAAATTAATTTTTCCAGTTTGGAATAAAATTCCTGTACACCTTGCTTGTAAAAGCTCACTAAAAGGAAAAATCATTTATCCAAGCTTGAATCAGCATGAGACAAAAACTTTGACATGTATTATTGGAGCAATTCAAATCGTATATCGGTCTCATTTTAAACGCATCTTTAGTTCTGTAGAATTGGGAGCCCTCTATAATTGCTGTTTCAAGTAACAAGGTGTTACTTTTTCTATTAGAATCAAATCTACAGCTGGATACAGGGAGTGGCATCCTGATAGCTGTACCTATCCCAGAATCCTTTGCTGCATCAGGGGAGATAATTGAGGCGGCCATTCAGCAAGCTATTAGTGAGGCAAGGTAAAGTACAGAACAGGTTTCTCAGTATGGTATGCTTATGAGTGAGTGAGTGAGTATGGTTTAACGCCGCTTTTAGCAATATTCCAGCAATATCAAGGCGGGGGACACCAGAAATAGGCTTCACATATTATACCCATGTGGGGAATTAAACCTGGGCCTTCGGCATGATGAGCAAATGCTTGAACCACTAGGCTACCCCACCGCCCCGGTATACTTACGAGATATTTTAAGTAGCAACCCCCAATTACTCATTCGAAATAATCCCCATGTGTGGTATTTCTTTATCTGAGGAGGTCCCAGAGCCTCATAATGTTGTAAAGGTTGACTACAATGGGGTCGGATGGTCAGATTCTGTGATTGGTTTGATCGCGTCGCTGTGCTCTGACTACATGGGATGTTGATCACAGTATCAATCACTGGTTTGCCCGGCTCAGCCTCAGTTCTGGAGAGGCCACCATAATATAACTGGAATATTGCTGACTGCAGCTTAAACCAATTACAGTGTGTGACCCATTTAAATGGGTGGTGACCATGGTGATACAGGGATGAGTTCGGACGAAATGTTTTTAGAAGCTTGAAACTTTGTTCATGCATGTTTCTACATAAGCATCTAAAGAAGGAAGAATTACATAGTGTGAGATAGGATAAGTATATAATATGTCAAGTGATGTTTTATCTTAAATTTCAAATTTGTATTGACCCAGTTTAATTGTTATCGTCTGTTCGTTTCCCTGAATTCTCTGAAGGGATACGATGTAATTTTCTTCTGCGGAAGACAAACATGTTTTTATTGCAAATGTAGGGATTATGTATGGCTGGTGATGTGCTTCATTCCGATTCGCTTCATAGACTTTTTTGTAGGCTTGAACAGGGGGGGTCGCGTTATAGGTGGGGTCACTTTATAGACGGTGATATACGGTAAACAATTTAATGTAAAATTTACAATAAAAATTAGCTGCTGGACTATCTTTTAAATCTTAGGTGTCGGTGGCGGAATCCTACACTGTTACATCGACGTAACAAAATACATTATTAGGTTGCAGTTTTGCTACAGTAACCACAACACATGCAGAGCTATTGTATTCCGACCACCATGTAGACTCTGACACTCACCAGGGCCCTGTTTCCCAAAGTGATCTTAGCGCTAAGATTATCTTAACTCTCATACTTTAACATAGGCTTACAATAGTTGTAGTGCTAATATCGCTTTGTGCAAGTGCGCTCAGGTCCCCGTTTCCCAAAGTGATCTTAGCGCTATGACTGTTGTAAGTATGGGCATGACGATCATCTTAGTGCTAAGATCACTTTGTGAAACTTTGCCCAGCTCCTTAGATGAACCCCCCTGTGGGAATCCCTGGTAAGAATAGGCCCACAACCTATGCCATCAGAGGTGACTTACTGGATTGGGTCTGACTCTCTGACTTGGTTGATTGTGTGTCATTATAGCCAGACGGTGCAGATTGTACAGACAGGGCTCCATGTAAGGAACTTGATTAAACTTGCATCTGGTGCATGTTGACATGGAAACCAAATTGCACCAAACAACCACCTTGCGCCTTGGTCCCATAACTTTATCAAAGTTGAAACATAGGGCGGGCTGCTTCCAGTGTCCCTTAAATTAATGATACATTGCACATAAGAACATTTGCACATAATCTTGAAGTACCATCAGTTTGATGACATCACCATGAAAGTATGACAAATTACACAGGATTAGCGATGTAGTATGGTACAGAAACTTTAGAGGTATTGAGATTATACAAAGATGGAGTTTGTGTGGACAAGTAAGGGTTAGTCAGATTCAAAGTTTGATTTTTTTTTGCCTTTTTTTTTAATAGGTTGCACTTGTGCATGTTTTATAAGCTAAATAGATCCCTGACAGTCCACCATACAGCCGGAATGTTACTAACTGCCAATCTCATTAAAATCAGATCTTAGTTCTCGCTATCGCTAAACAAAGATCTGAGGACATCCCATTACGGGTCACGTCAGAACGACCTTTCATCCGACCAGTTAAATTGTCGCTTAGCAGATCATGAAAGTGACAGCCAGAATGTATTTTCTTTTATTATGCAACCTCGAAAACTCTAACACGGGGTATTCCGAACTACAGTTTCGGCCCGTATGACTGATTCTGTCAAAATTATCGTCTGTTTCTCGCTTCTGTGGGATAAACATTTGAACGGAGGAGGTGTTGCACAGTACGTGGGAAGCAATGCCATACAATCGCACCCATATATTAGACATTCTGGAATGTTTGTTTGTTCAGTTTTCCAAATTGTAATCGAGAACTGTGTCAACATATTTTTCAAACATAGTCTGAAATGGAAGTCGCCATAAAGCTCGAACAAGCTGCTTTCTAATTTGCTAATGTTGACTTCTTGTTAGTTGTTTCAGTGGTCGGTCAAAGTTTGTGAAAGGTCGTTCTCTTGTGACATGTAATGGGATGTCCTCAGATCTTTGTTTAGCGGCAGAGAGAACTTAGATCCGATTTATATGAGATTGACTGACTGACAAACAAACAACTTACCTTAGCCGTGTATTTGTTTCAGAGAACAAGGTATCTGTGGGAAAGATGTCACCCCTTTCATCCTGAGTCGTGTCAACGTCCTCACTGAGGGCATCTCCCTACAAGCCAGTATCTTTCTGTAAGAGGAGTAGTGGGAGGAGGGTTTGCCGGCAGTGGGCATCAGGATCAGATGACCAACAGTTGCTTCCAATGTATCAAGCAGTTAGTGATGAAATACTATCTTGACCTGAAAATATTAAAGGAATACTTCACACGTGAAATAACCCAGAGGATCTTCTTCCAGCCTGCCTCACTTGTATGTTGCTCTGGTTTTCAACCTGGGATCAGTAAGAAACTCTATGTATAGATTGTGGCACAACATCTCATGACATGAAAATTTGACAAGTCTACTCTCAGCTGTGCCACTCAGCTGTGAAAATATCAATTTCCTATGTCCCTTGATGAAACAGACTGTTGTTTTAACAAGAAGAGCCAATTATCCCATATTATTTCTTATCTTGATGCAACATATTGCAATTTCCTTCTTCACTTCAATCATATAACACATAACCTCAAATGTGCCTCTTCATCTGGGGCGCTTGTTCTCTTGGTTGAGTGTCAGTGTTATCTGTCCATCACTTTCCTTATAAATATTATTACTTAGACTTCTTAACCAATGAAGTACATGCTCCGAAACAGCATAATAGGTCAGGGCTCCAGATAATTTTTTAAACCATTGTGTATTTACTCATTAATGATCGTTCATTTGGGGTATTGATTGTTTTCTTTGAGTATTCAGTATGTTTTTAGTTAAAATTAGTTTTGTACTGTAATAGATAATTTTCCTGATGAAATCCAGACATTGCTTTGATAAAGAACAATGCTGAGGTTGGCAGCAGAATAGCCTCAGCACTGAAGGATATACAGTTAAGGGGAGATCACTCTGAATCAGCAACTTTAAAAAGGCCTGAATTTGAAGAAAGAGGCAGAGAAGAGCAATCAAAACCTGTGGGTAGAAAAAGTGATAAATTGTAATTTGAAGGAATATTTTGATAATTATTTATGTTTAAATTAGCTTTGAGCCACTGAGATATATGCTCAAAGGCAAAAGTAACTATCACGTTCTTATTCATAATATGTGATTTCTTTTGCAAGTAACTCAAAACTCATGTATTTTTCATTGATCATGTTGTTGATTTAAGTGGTGTCTAATTGGGCTGAAGTTAGGCCCCCATAGGCTTTCTAAAAAGAATTTAATTATATTTTATCAAATTCAAATTATTCTTTAGAATTTGTTCATTTTAAGTATAATCGCAAGGGAAGTGTTTATTGTCTCTCCCCTGTAGAGATGTTGAGCAATCTGAAAGGGTTGGCTTTCTTTTTACCTCCGATACTCATCAAAACAGAGTCAAGCTAGCCCTGTTTGTGTTTTTTTGTACTCTGTCAAAAGATTAATAAATCTGTAATATCCATAACATAATAATTAAGCAGCATTTAGATCCGTGACCCTATGGTTGGTTTAAGTTTTGTGTTCTAAATTAAGGTCTGGTCTCACATTTTAGAGTTATTTTCCATCATGAAGTTGCACTTTTTGACTGAACTCGTGATGACCAGGAATGACGTATTTTGCAAATCGGGATCTTCTATTCAGTACGATTGTGGAGTTAGGTTGGTTTGGGTGGTTGGGAAATCAAAATGTCATTTTTGGTGCAGGTAAATGTTTAATTATGTGGCCTGCCATTCACCTTTGTAGGTGACAGTTAACCTGACATGATGTTGACAGGTGGTGGTAGGCGGCGTGGTGGTGGACTTCTATGCTCAGCTGGGACAAAACCATGTACAGGTATGTTTGTTATTGTGTGGAGTGTATGTTACATAGAAGATAATCAGGTCTTTGAAAGGCATTTAGAAGTGATACACATAAGGAAGAGAATATATGGATGTCAACTTCTTTATTATGAGGAACACAACGTTTCGGAGTATATGCTTACTCCTTCATCAGGTGAATGAATGCCATGAAGCTGAGAGCATATATATGTACATGTAAGGACAACAAAATTAATAAGATAACAAAGGATGGAAAATAACAAAGGGTACAAGCTAACAAAGGAAGCCAACAGATGATTGGCACTGATAGGTGATTAGCAATAGACAATGGAAGCCATTTGGTTGCAATTTCGTGAGTTGGGACAACATGCAAACCAAGAAATGTAATAAGTCTATGGGAAAAGTCAAGTCAAATAAACAAAGATGGCAGATGCAGTAAAATTTCAAAGTTAAATCAGTACTTTTAAAGAATCAACCATAGCTTCCCACACCCGCCGAGTCTGGGAGCAATACTGCCATAAACTTCACCCCCCATCCCCCAGACACAAGGACAACTGTCACAAGCCTGCAGTGTCTGACCCTTACCCCGTGTTGAAGTATAGTTGAAAAAAAACTTGAAAATAACCAAACCAACAAACATAAGACATTGATACATAATATATCCCCGTGTTATGGGTTTTCGAAAACGCTGAAGAAACATTCATAGTTTTATCGCTAATCACATGAACAACAGTAAAACATCTCATTCACTTATAGGCTAAAAGACAACTTTATCTTAAAAAAACAAGCCATCTTCTGAGTATTTACAATTTCTGTGTGACGCCACATCGCTCGTTATAGTGCATGTATTCATGATAGAAAACGCATGTGTCATAAATAATAGTAAAGGCATATATGATGCTGAAAGCTCTGATCGTAAACAGGACAATCCGCAACGGTTTGTGGGAAAAACAATAATATTTTTTGGAGTAGTTTTTCAAAATCTTTGATTATATTTTGACGAGGAAGATAATTTTTTCCAAGGACTACTGTTTTAAAAAAACGAGATTTTCCGCGTTTCCGTGGAGATTTCACATCCCTGATTATGTTATCCTAGTGTTTATTATGGTATCCTACAGTGATTATTATGTTATCCTAGTGTTAATTATAGTATCCTGTAGTGATTATTATGGTATCCTAGTGTTTATTCTGGTATCTTATGGTATCCTAGTGTATATTATGGTATCCTAGTGTTTATTATCATATCCTAGTGTATATTATGGTATCCTAGTGTTTATTATCGTATCCTGGTGTTTATTATGTTATCCTGGTGTTTATTATGTTATCCTGGTATTTATTATGTTATCCTTGTGTTTATTATCGTATCCTGGTGTTTATTATCGTATCCTAGTGTTTATTATGTTATCCTAGTGTTTATTATGGTATCCTTGTGTTTATTATGTTATCCTGGTGTTTATTATGGTATCCTGGTGTTTATTATGGTATCCTGGTGTTTATTATGTTATCCTTGTGTTTATTATGATATCCTAGTGTATATTATGATATCCTGTTGTTTATTATGTTATCCTGGTGTTTATTATGTTATCCTTGTGTTTATTATGATATCCTGGTGTTTATTATGTTATCCTTGTGTTTATTATGGTATCCTAGTGTATATTATGTTATCCTTGTGTTTATTATGTTATCCTTGTGTATATTATGGTATCCTAGTGTATATTATGTTATAGTATCCTTGTGTTTATTATGGTATCCTGGTGTTCAGTGGTGTTTATTATGTTATCCTATTGTTTATTATGGTATCCTGTTGGTTAACAGGTCACCTCATCCTTCAGATCCCCACATAGGTACAATGTGTGAAGTGGTGGCTGTGACTATGATGTTGCTGCAGTACTGCTGAATTTCTTATGAGATTGTGTCCTGTTCATCTTTCGTTATCAAAATGTTCTATGTATAGATGTTCTTATTCTGTGAATCATTTCAGTCTAATGGCGCTACATATCCTGGTAGTCTGAGGCAGTCATTTGGTGGTGTGGGGCGCAACATCGCAGACTGTCTTTCTCTTCTTGGATCACAACCGCTGCTTGTGTCAGCTGTAGGGAGGGGCTCCCACACAGGGGCCCTGCAGGCTTCCTGTCAACACATGGTGAGTGTCTGGGTAGAGAGGGTTAACATGGTGGAGGAAGAGAGAGGCTCCCACACAGGGGCCCTGCAGGCTTCCTGTCAGCACATGGTGAGTGTCAGGGGAGAGAGGGTTAATGTTGTGAGTGTCTGGGTAGAGAGGGTTAACATGGTGGAGGATGAGAGAGGCTCCCACACAGGGGCCCTGCAGGCTTCCTGTCAGCACATGGTGAGTGTCAGGGGAGAGAGGGTTAATGTGGTGAGTGTCTGGGTAGAGAGGGTTAACATGGTGGAGGAAGAGAGAGGCTCCCACACAGGGGCCCTGCAGGCTTCCTGTCAGCACATGGTGAGTGTCAGGGGAGAGAGGGTTAATGTGGTGAGTGTCTGGGTAGAGAGGGTTAACATGGTGGAGGAAGAGAGAGGCTCCCACACAGGGGCCCTGCAGGCTTCCTGTTAGCACATGGTGAGTGTCAGGGGAGAGAGGGTTAATGTGGAGAGTGTCTGGGTAGAGAGGGTTAACATGGTTGAGGAAGAGAGAGGCTCCCTCACAGGGGCCCTGCAGGCTTACTGTCAGCACATGGTGAGTGTCAGGGGAGAGAGGGTTAATGTGGTGAGTGTCTGGGTAGAGAGGGTTAACATGGTGGAGGATGAGAGAGGCTCCCACACAGGGGCCCTGCAGGCTTCCTGTCAACACATGGTGAGTGTCTTGGGAAGGAGGGTTAATGTGGTGGAGGAAGAGAGAGGCTCCCACACAGGGGCCCTGCAGGCTTCCTGTCAGCACATGGTGAGTGTCTAGGTAGAGAGGGTTAATGTGGTTTTAGGAAGAGAGAGGCTCCCACACAGGAGCCCTGCAGGCTTCCTGTCAACACATGATGAGTGTCAGGGGAAGGAGGGTTAATGTGGTTGAGGAAGAGAGAGGCTCCCACACAGGGGCCCTGCAGGCTTTCTGTCAACACATGGTGAGAGTCAGGGTAGATGGGGTTAATATGGTGAGTGTCAGGATAAAGAGGGTTAATATGGGGAGTGTCAGGGTAGAGAGCGTTAATGTGGTGTGTGGCAGGATAGAGTGAGTTAACATGTGAGTGTCAGGATAGAGAGGGTTAACATGGTGAGTGTCAGGATAGAGAAGGTTAACATGGTGGGCATCAAGAGGGGGTTAACATGATGAGTGTCTGGGTAGAGAGGGTTAACATGGTGAGTGTCTGGGTAGAGAGGGTTAACATGGTGATTGTCAGGATAGAGAGGGTTAACATGGTGGCGAAAGGGTGAGATTGACACATAGGTGGTCTGCTGGCTTATTGTCAACACAGCGTTATTTCACAAAACGTTTTGTTTGGTCGTCAGTTGATAGTGAATGAAGAGATGTAATTAGGAGAGTAATGGTAGTTTACTGTTGTATGTGTGATGTATAGGCTGCCTGCACGCATCTAACTGAGCTAGTCTTGTGTTGCAGGACCTGTCCGGGGTGAAGGAGCTGGAGGGGCGGTGTACGGCGGCGTACTGTGGGGTGCTGCAGCAGTGTGGGGAGATGATGTTCGGGGTTGGGGACATGGAGATCATGTCGCACATCACACCACACCTGGTCAGTATCTCCAGCCTCTGTTGTGGGGAGGACATGTTTAGTGTCCATCAAACAAGAAAACAACAGTGTCATTGATAACCCATCAGATTCCCTGTGCAGTGAAGTGTGTTGCAATCCACATCCTAACAACCCCGTAGGGATTCCCGTTTAGAATGTGTCTCCAGCAGCCTGTGCTGGTTGTAAGAAGCGACCACATGGATCAGATGGTTATGTGTGGTGACTTAGTTGAATGGCTGTCATTGTACCCTGATGGTGTGGATCGATTGTCACAATATCGATCACTGGATTGTCTGGTCCAGAGTCGATTATTAACAAGCCGCTATCAAATAGCTGGAATATTGCTGAGTGCTGTGTTAAACAACAAACAAACAAACAAACAAACAAACAAACAAACAAGGAAATGCCTGACGCTTATTCAGAGATTGACTGTAGTTACTGATTGCTGTTTCACAGGTGTCCCAGTTCTCTGAAAGTCTCTCAAAAGCCCCGTTAGTGTGTGTCGATGGCAACATCCCAGCTGAGACAATAGAGTACATCTGTGATATGTGTAGTCAAAACAAGGTGCCGGGTAAGTTTCATATATGTGACAGAGGCAAAGTAACACAGGCGTCTGTGATATCTGTTGTTTCAACAAGGTGCCGGGTAAGTAGCATATATGTGACAGAGGCAAAGTAACACAGGCGTCTGTGATATCTGTTCTCAACAGGGTGCCGGGTAAGTAGCATGTATGTGACAGAGGCAAAGTAACACAGGCCTCTGTGATATCTGTTCTCAACAGGGTGCCGGGTAAGTAGCATATATGTGACAGAGGAAAAGTAACACAGACGTCTGTGATATCTGTTGTCTCGACAAGGTGCCGGGTAAGTAGCATATATGTGACAGCGGCAAAGTAACACAGACGTCTGTGATATCTGTTGTCTCGACAAGGTGCCGGGTAAGTAGCATATATGTGACAGCGGCAATGTAACACAGGCGTCTGTGATATCTGTTCTCAACAGGGTGCCAGGTAAGTAGCATATATGTGACAGCGGCAAAGTAACACAGACGTCTGTGATATCTGTTGTCTCGACAAGGTGCCAGGTAAGTAGCATATATGTGACAGCGGCAATGTAACACAGGCGTCTGTGATATCTGTTCTCAACAGGGTGCCAGGTAAGTAGCATATATGTGACAGAGGCAAAGTAACACAGGTCAATAGAGTCAAGAGTCATATTAATGAGGAGTCCTTTAAGTCACTGAAACTTCATGGAGATTTATATTGTTTTCAACAGTGTCAATTTTAGACCATATTTTGTTAAGGATTCAAGACAATTGTCCCGGTAGGGATTCTGAGTTTGAATAAATTCCGAGCAGCCTATGCTGGTCGTAAGAGGCGACTAGATGGATCTAAGTGGAGTCGGTGAGTTAGTTGATTGCGTGCCATCGTCCACCAGTGGCGTGGTACATTGCTCTCGACATCAACCACTGGTTGTCTGGTCCAGATTCGTGTACTTCCAAGTTGCTGTAATACACCCCTTTGTTTGTTTTTAACGCTGCAGCAATATACCAGGGCCCATTTCACAAAGTGACCATAGTACTATGACTATCGTAAGTCTATGTTAAGATATGTGAGTTATCTTAGTCGTAGCGTTACTACTGTCGTAAGTCTATGTTAAGATATGGGAGTTACCTTAGTCGTAACGTTACTACTGTCGTAAGTCTATGTTAAGATATGGGAGTTACTTTAGTCATAGCGTTACTACTGTCTTAAGTCTATGATAAAATATCGGAGTTACTATAGTCGTAACGTTACTACTGTCGTAAGTCTATGTTAAAATATGGGAGCTACTAAAGTCCTAACGTTACTACTGTCTTAAGTCTATGTTAAAATATAGGAGTTCTAAAGTCGTAACGTTACCACTGTCATAAGTCTATGTTAAAATATTTGAGTTACTTTAGTCATAGCATTACTACTGCTGTAAATCTATGTTAAAATATGGGAGTCTCTATTGTCTAGGCACTACTACTGTCGTGTCGTATGTTAAAATATAGGACTTGTAGTGCTACAATCGCTTTGTGAAATGGAGCCTGATATATTGCTGCAGCATTAAGTAAACACACAAGATAAAGGAATTTGAGTTAATGCTCTGTATAGTGATGTTATCCCTATTGTTACTATATCCTGTGTTTCCCCTCAAGTATGGTTTGAGCCGGCAGACAGCCACAAGGCGCCAAAGCCTTTCTCTACTACGGCGCGAGATCACATCACCTACACGTCACCCAATGTAGCGGAGCTGATGCAGATGTGGGCAGCCTTCAGGGGAAAGCCCTCAACTGATGTTGGTAAGCTCTGAAACAGCGACCTCAGTGGTAATGAAGACGAGGATGTCAGTTGTAGCTGGAAATGCCTGAGGGGATTATTACTTGTTGGTGTTTCAAGAAGGCGTTAACGTTATCTTTTGGGATTTTTCTTCAAATTTAGGATTTGACTTTTTATCAATCTAATTTACAAAGTTGGCTATTGATGGCAGTAATTTGGATTGTTTTAACCGTTGCCATGTTGTTATGTTGGGTTTTCTAAGTTTAGAGAGTTTTCATTTCGACCAATGTTTCATGACTATGGCGACTGACTTTAAGGTGCGCAGTCAATATTATCTGTTTTCCGTAGTGTATTTTCTTTAAGTCTTTGAAAGGCATTTAGAAGTGATACACATAAGGAAGAGAATCTATGGATGTCAACTTGTTTATTATGATAAAGGAGTAAACATAAACTGCGAAAAGTTGTGTTCCTCATAATAAAGAAGTCGACATCCATAAATTCTCTTCCTTATTTTCTTCAACTCATTAATTGGATTGTGTTGGTGCCATGCTCCAGTGGTTTCAAATAATGTTTTTACTTCAGAAATGTTTTGGCTGTCAGATACAATACGGTTTTCTGTTATTTTATCCCAGGACATTTATCTCAATAGATAAAATCAGAAATATTTAGTGTTTATTGTCCCTTTGTTATTTCAGAGACAATCTCTCTTGACACTCCCAGGCCAGAGGATGTTATAGATGCATGTTTAGTGTTTATTGTCCCTTCTTTATTTCAGAGACAATCTCTCTTGACACTCCCAGTGCAGAGGATGTTTTAGATGCATGTTTAGTGTTTATTGTCCCTTCGTTATTTCAGAGACAATCTCTCTTGACACTCCCAGTGCAGAGGATGTTTTAGATGCATGTTTAGTGTTTATTGTCCCTTCGTTATTTCAGAGACAATCTCTCTTGACACTCCCAGTGCAGAGGATGTTATAGATGCATGTCTTCCATACTGCTGTGATCTTGTTGACAGCATACCTGTTGTCATGGTAACGCTTGGTTGTCATGGAGTTCTGCTGTGCCACAGGCTGGGAGACAAGCCTGTGTTCCCAACCAAACACAACCAGGTGGGTATTTATGTTGCTGTACCAATACATACTTCTAATTACAGGGAGTAATCTCAACTTGATGTACGGAAGCCAAACCCTTGCCCCCACTGCTTGCAGAGGGAAAGCATCAAAGCCTAAAATGTTAACCTGAATAACCTTCTCATTGTACTGTCATGTGGATGAATGTGACCTGCGCACAGGGACCCCCACATGAACCCCCATGTGAACCACCATGTGAAACTCCTCATGAACCCCCATGTGAACCACCACAACCACATGAAACCCCCCATGTGAACCACCGCAACCACATGAACCCCCCCCATGTGAACCACCTCAACCACATGAACCCCCCCATGTGAACCACCACCACATGAACCCCCATGGGAACCACCACCACCACCACCACATGAACCCCCCATGCGAACCACCGCAACCACATAAACCCCCCATGTGAACCACCACAACCACATGAACCCCCCATGTGAACCACCGCAACCACATAAACCCCCCATGTGAACCACCACAACCACATGAACCCCCCATGTGAACCACCGCAACCACATGAACCCCCCATGTGAACCACCACAACCACATGAACCCCCCATGTGAACCACCACAACCACATGAACCCCCCATGTGAACCACCCCAACCACATGAACCCCCCATGTGAACCACCACCACCACCACATGAACCCCCCATGTGAACCACCGCAACCACATGAACCCCCCATGTGAACCACCACAACCACATGAACCCCCCATGGGAACCACCACCACATGAACCCCCATGGGAACCACCACCACATGAACCCCCCATGTGAACCACTGCAACCACATGAACCCCCCATGTGAACCACCACAACCACATGAACTCCCCATGGGAACCACCACCACATGAACCCCCATGGGAACCACCACCACATGAACCCCCCATGTGAACCACTGCAACCACATGAACCCCCATGTGAACCACTGCAACCACATGAACCCCCATGGGAACCACCACCACATGAACCCCCATGGGAACCACCACCACATGATCCCCCATGGGAACCACCACCACATGATCCCCCATGGGAACCACCACCACATGAACCCCCATGGGAACCACCACCACATGAACCCCCATGGGAACCACCACCACATGATCCCCCAGGGGTCCATTTCACAAAGAGATCGTAGCACCAAGGCAGTCGTAAGCCGTAGTCGTAGTTCTACGGTCGCTTTGTGAAACGAGCACCAGGTTTCTACTCTTCTCAATGTTGGCTTGAGTATTAGGGATGGGCATTATAGAGCTTGTGTTCTGACCAATATTGCCCACAAACTCTATACAGCCCACATACTTCCAGCATGCTAAAGCCGTTGACTTTGGATGTTTGTTTTCGGATTGTTTGGCGATGTCATACTGCCCAGGGGTAAACATTGCATTAGTAGCTGTGAGACCCAAGAAGATTCCAGGGTAGAATAGGTCTTCAGCAACCCATGCTTGCCGTAAAAGGTGACTCTGCTTGTCGTAAAAGGCGACTAACGGGATCGGGTGGTCAGGCTCGCTGCCTTGGTTGATGCATGTCATCGGTCCCAATTGCGTGGATCGATGCTCATGATATCAGTCATTGGATTGTCTGGTCCAGACTCGATTATTTACAGACTGCCGTCATATAGCTGGAATATTGCTGAGTGCGGCATTAAACAACAAACCACCACCACCACTAGTAGCTGTGCCCCCTGTGAAGATCCGGGTTAGAATTGGTCTTCAGGAACCCATGCTTGTTGTATGAGGCGACTAACGGGATTGAGTGGTCAGCCTCGGTGACTTGCTTGATGCATGTCATTATATCATGTTTGTGAAGTTTGATGCTCATGAATTACTGTCTGGTCCAGACTATGGTATTTTCCACCCACAGTCATATAGCTGGAATATTGCTGAGGGCAGCATTAAACAACAAACAAAACAAACAAACAAACAAGTTGTCATGCCTGTTTGCGAGCTGTCCTCCTCTCTCGGTGCCAGCTGAGATCAGTCGGCAAGGGATGAGTTTCAAAGTTGGACATATGAACACACAATGCCATTTATGAAGTGGTCAAATGTAACAAATGTTATATTTGGGATAACACTTTCTTCGTAAGTACTAAAATCTGTACTTTACTAGAGGGCCTGTCACACACTACCGATGTACCTCGCCGGGACTAAACTGGAGCAAAAAATTAACGGCGAGACAATCAGCAGAGCTCCGGCGAGAAGGCACTTGAAAAATCGAAATTGACCGTAGCAATATTGATGTTGTACTGACGTTCCAGTTGTGATACTGTTGTCCTACCAATATAAGACCTGATGTGCTACCAAAACCACTTTTCTGTCACCTTAGTGTTACCGATGTGCCGCCGATGTGACATGGAGCTCCGGTATCACATCGGCAGAGCATCGGTACTACTTCGGTGGTTTTCGGTAGTACTACGGTATCACATCGGTACCAGTGCGGTACACATTGAGGCCACCGGAGATCCATTACGGGGCGCTACCGGTGCTCTACCGACATTAACAAAGCCATACCGGAGTACTGCCGTTGTACTGCCGTTGTCCCGTTGCTTGCTCCGGCAGCACTACGGAAGACATTTTTGAGCACGTTAAAAAATTTCTACCATCGGCTGCTGTTGCTAAATTTTTCGCCGATGTTCTGACGATGTCCTGTTGATGTACTTCTGTTCTTAGCGATGTGATACTAGCTCCCGCGACCCAAATCGCTAAGGCATCACAATTTGCAGTGTAGGATTTCGTCTCCTCATCAAATCTGATAATCTTGTGGTTCATGGTCCATGGTCTAGTGCATAGAGCGTCTGCCTGGAGAGTGGAAGGTTTGTGGATCAATAGCCTCTCCGCGTCATACCAAAAGATGTCAAACGATGGTACTTATTGTTACCCTGTCTTGCGTTCAGCCTTGAGGGGCTAAAACAAGGACTGGTCGTCTAGAATCAGCATACTGTGTCTGAGTGGGGTATCCATGTTAAACTGCTGTATGGTATCTTAATGAGCTAGCACTATTAAACCGGGCTAGTTCAATCAGTCTCACACATGACATGACATGCATGCACGTTGCTATATAAGTACATAAATGTGGAATCTAGAACACAATGTTTAACCCCATTTTACCTCACCTTGTGGGCAGTTAGCATTAAAAAACAGCTCCTGTCTCTGTACCTGCCCACTCTCGCCCCTCAAACCCCCCCAATGTTTCCATTGTTGTAGACGTACAGCGATGATGTGAGCGTTGTTCACTACCCCGCCTGCAGCCTCGCCCAGATGCCCAGCGCCACTGTCAGTGTGTCAGGAGGTGGGGATTGGTATGTACATTACTCTACCATGCATATAAGGAGTTCACGCAGGCACATAAGGCCTTGAACTTTTACCTCACCTGACTGAAAGTCAAGTGAGCTCAATTCATGGCCTGTTTGTCTGGTGTACGTTTGTCATCCAAGTGTGTAAGCATCTTCTCCTCTAAAACCACAACCGCCTCCGTGGTCTAATGGTAGAGCGTCCGCCCGGAGAGCGGAAGGTCCGGGAATCGATCCCCAGCCGCGTCATACCAAAAGACGTTAAAAGATGGTACTTATTGTTACCCTGTCTGACGCTCGGCTTTAAGGAGCTAATCAAGGACTGGTCGGCTTGGAGTCAGTACACTGTGTCTGAGTGGGGTATTCATGTTAAACTGCGGCATGGTATCTCAGTGTGCTAGCACTATAAATCGGTATCAATCTGGACTAGTACAAGCAGACGCACACGCACACACGTGAATGCACGTCGCTATATAAGTGCAATAATCTTGGATGCAACGTTAAACCCCATTTTACCTCACCTCAACTAGTACTTTGGGGCTTCTTTAGGAGGCATTTCGAGGTTGGAGACCTAAGTAAGGATAAGATTTATGGATGAACAACTTCTTTATTACAATTAGGAGCGACGTTTCAGTGTAGGTTCAAACACCGTTATCAAGCCAGCATCACTTGCTTAATAACGGTGTTAGAACCTACACCGAAATGTTGATCGTAATTGTATTAAAGAAGTTGTTCATCCATAAATGTTATCCTTACTAACTTTTGGGCTGTTATTGTTTTTTTGACTAACTGCAAACACATTAACAGTAACAACTTGAATCAATGTATCCTAAAAAGGAAGAGGGGACAAATCTGTATTTATGAGTAAAAACACTAGTTTTAACAGCTACTTGAATTTGACTGAGTGAGTGAGTGAGTGAGTGAGTGAGTTGGGTTTAACGCTGCTTTTAACAGTATTCCAGTTATCCAACGTGTGAGATTAATGTGAGAAGAAAGCTCGAAGTAATGCAGGTGTCAGATGTTTACCACTTCCGTGAATCCCACGAGCACGGTATGGTGCTGACAAACCTAGGTACATAATCAGGGCGAACCAGGATTCAAACACACAATCATAGGTTTCTGGCATGCCCAAGGGACGTAACTCTGCACAGCGAATTGCGGCGCCTTAAATGACTGGGCCATTTGGGCCACTTGGGCCACCACTTGAATTTGAACTCTGCTTGAAAAGGACTTGAAAATGATGTTTCTTGATTTTTCTAACCCAAGCCACATCTCACAAACATACACTTCTGAACGTGTCTGCAACATGCTTCTCAGTAACAGCTTTGTGTGGTGTTGGAACGTGGTGGTGGTGTTGTAATCATCTTGTTGTCAAAAAATGGAATCTCTACAATGATATCATTTGTTGCTTAAATCCAATTTTTGTTTCCAGCTTTGCAGCCGGGGTGATCGATGCAATCGTTAAAGGTCATGACCTTGACCTTTGTATAAAGGCTGGTTTAATGGCAGCCCAGTTATCTCTTCAGTCCCATCATGCAGTGCCAAACACGATACGACCCGAAGCATTCACCACTGACAGAGTCAAACAGTGGGCTCCGTGGAAACCAAGACTTATTAAAATAGGAAGTAAGAAGAAAATACGGTTTTGATTTAGAGGGCTTTATTACATTGGGCACAAATCACAGAAGCAATTTACACTTCTGCGGGCACAGAGACACTCTTCCATGAAAGGGGGCTCATCATTGGCGTCAGGACATGATGTTTTTGTTCTTACGGCCAGACCATGTTCTTTGTAGTATTGATTGTCTTGACCAAAGTGCCAAACGTCCATCAACAACAATAAAAAATGTATATTTTAAAATCTCTGTTGGTTTTTAAGGACATGAAAGATACTTTTGTTATATTTTCTTGAAAAATGTTAAAGAAGATAAAACCAAAGATACCAAAAATAGGGTTTTAACTATGACATATTTCTGACATGTTGCTAATATTTGTGCTAGTTTTCTAAAATCAGGGTTGACTTATCTTGTAAGACAATAAAGAATTGGTGTTGCCTTTGATATTCATTATCATAGCAATATAATTATGGTAGGCTGTAGATTTTATCGTTTAATGCAAGTGATTTATTTCTTATCTAAGATCAGATGTACTCCCAACAATTGCTGGGCATCAAATTGTATTATTTGTGAACTATATTTTTTAATTGATATGTACATGAATAGTTTTAATGAATCCTACTCATGTGTGAAACTACAAACATGTTTCCTGCTGACTGAAAGGGTTTTTCCAATGATATGTATTATGAACTCAGTGATGTGTTTTGATAACATGAGCATTATTGAAATACTTCCAGCATTTATCATGTTATAAACATTTTGTAGTATTATTAAACAAAATATGTTGTTATGTGTACTGTAACGCTATCCCGATATTGTGCAATCTCATTCAAATCAGATCGTAAAGCTTTGTGTAGCCGTAGGGAGCATGAAGGTCAGATTTGAATGAGATTGGGTATTCTAGTGTGACTTGTGTGTTTCAGCCCTGGCTGTGTACATTGAAGGTTACTTTGTTTGACTTGAAATCCAAAGTTTTGGAAACTATCATTATTTTTACAATTTTTATCCCAATATAATCCTACAAGTACTCAAGTCATGTTTCAAATATGATTGATCAACCTGACTTGTTGATAAGAGTGAGTGAGTGAGTGAGTTTGGTTTTACGACGCTTTTAGCAATATTCCAGCAATATCACGGCGGGGGACACCAGAAATGGGCTTCACACATTGTACCCATGTCGGGAATCGAACCCGGGTCTTCGGCGTGACGAGCGAACGCTTTAACCACTAGGCTACCCGACCGCCCCCTTGTTGATAAGATGCTATACTGACAGCCTAAAGGCTTCACCATATTTACAAGCTTTCAACTTTATGGGAAAAGGGCACACATTTAAAATCCCTCAAGTTCAATGACACATCACATAAATAGCATGTATGACCACCCCCTGCTTCAAGACACACAAAAACTCTCCGATGCACAGAAAATGTCCGCAGTCTGATGACGTCATGTGGGATATGATGCCATTCTTCTTGGAGGGCCTGGATCTGTTCTTGTCTGCTGGCTAGAGTATGTGGTCGCTGTCGAACACTGATCCATGACATCCCAGAGGTGTTCTGTAGGGGACAAGTCTTGGGAGTGTACAGTGAGTCCTGTATGATTCAAGCTGTCAAATGTCTGTTAACGATGACCAGCAGTGTTCTCTCCTGCCCCCAATTTCCTTCCCACAGCATAACACCCTTCCACCATGACCTCGGCACGACCTCCTGAACGCAACATGCCGCCGTTTGTTCTCGCCTTCGGCAGTAAACTGCGGTCTTCACTCAGCTCTGAACAGTCAGCACCAGCTTTTATCAGTGATGATGACCCTCTGCCAGTTACATTGTGCCAACAACGTACATTCTGGCCCCTTCTCATTCCTGACAACGATGTTGCGCTGTCAATAACTGTCCTCTGTTTGGCCTGTAAGACCTAATCCTTGAGCCCTGAGTCGCCTGGCCACTGTCTATCGACTAACCATATGCCCTAAGGCATTTGTTACTGGTGATGTCACTGTCAGAAATGATTCTGGAGATGCAAAGTATGCAAGTACTGGTCTTCATTGGGCATAGTTACCCTGGGTCTGCCTGTTCTGGGCCTGTCTAATATCTGCCCTGTCTGTCTGTAACAGTGCATCGAGTTAGTTACAGCAACACAGGAGCAAGTTTTTTACTTTTTTGCATTTTCTACAAAAACGTGCGGTGAACGTGTATCACTTTCTCTATTGAGCATTGTTGTGATTGGGCGATGTGTTTTTCATTGATTTAGTTTGAACTTGTGTCTTATATTTTTTTGCGATTTCATTTTTAAAGTGTGTTTTTGTTGTATAATGTGGCAGACAGCAATATACACATGGGCGGGAGGGGATTCTAATCCTGACAATCATGGCAAATCTTAAGTCAACTATTGACTCACACATGGCACTGTGAACGCAATTAGATGTATTTTACAGTTGTGATGAGTTTACATATTCAAGGGACCAGAATGTATTATTTTTGTTATTCAATGTATCATTTTGTACCAGAAATCACATGATCTGCACATACATTTCTTTGAATTCAAATGGAATTTTAATAAACCATTATTTTCAAGATATGTTGTCATTCTTTTTCTTTAAGCGATTATGTCACACTTTTTATTGCTGCAGTTGATTCTGAGCCGGCAATTCACTGGCCATTGTGAAGTAAAATTGACACAACTTTTGGTCACTGGCACAATTATAGAGAAGTTATACATCAACCATAACACGGAAATCACTCCAGGCATGTTAAATCTACTTTTTGATGTTTTTTAAAAAATTCTCTTATGAGACCTAGGTGAGCTCATCAGTGGATAGAACTAGGGCTGAGACGGGTATCTTAGGTACTTGTGTCGGGTGGGTACTTGTGTCGGGTGGGTACTGGGGTGATTTAACTACCTGCATGAGAGCTTGAAGGTTCTGCACGTCTGTTGGCAAAATACTGATTTGATACTGATGTTTTTTGCTGCCTTTACTGGAAATATTTCAGCAATATCCCAGCAGGTGAATCAGCTTCACACGTAGAACACAGATCTTCTGTATATTGAGGTTAGGTGAAAGTGTTTAGTATCACGGTTAATATTATTTCACATGTATAGCGATGTGCATGCGAGCCCGGACTAATGCCTGTTTTATAGGGTTAGCTTACTCGGATGCTATGCCGCAGTTTAACATTGACACCCCACTGCACAGTGTTCTGACTCTGAAGGGAGCGCAGGTGGTCCAGTCGTCTAAGGCGCCGCGATTCGCTGTGCAGAGTTGCGTCCCTTGGGCACCCAAGAAACTTATGATCGTGGGTCCGAATCCCGGTTCACCCCGATTATATTTCTAGCTTTGTCAGCACCATACCCGTGCTCGTTGGTTTCACTGAAGTGTTAAACGTCTGAGACCTGCATCACTTCGGGCTTTGCTCCCACATTAAGCGATATAACTGAAATACTGATAAGCCCAACTCACTCTGACTCTGAACCAACCAGTAGGATGAGATGGTTGTTAACTTTCTAACGCCTAACAGCCAGCTTGGGTTGTATACACCCCAGTGAGCTGAGAATGATTCTTGAGAGCACATTGATCCATTGACCAGGAAAATAATATCGCTTTCAGCATGCCCCTGAGTAGTGTAGAAATATGCGCAATATAAATAGGCCATTATTATAAGTCCTTGTTTAATGCTCTTAATGCCAAGCACCAGGCAGGGTAACATCAAGTACCATCTGGTAAAATCGTTTGATATGACCACCACACTTCCATTCTCCGGGAAGATGCTCTTCTTACAAGGTCATGGAAGCGGTCTTCTGTATGATGAGCAATCCCACCAAGCTACCCAGCCATTCCCTTATGGTGAGTGACAGCTTTTGGCTCAGAAATGAGAATACTAATTCCCTAATTGTCCCAGACATCATTTAGTAGTACCGGTACATAGGCAGCTGCTATATCAGACTACAGGTAACCTATTTATGCCCGTGTCAGCCAACAACTATTCAAGTCCTCAGTCTGAGTAAATGAGTATGGTTTAACGCCGTGTTTAGCAATATTCCAGCAATATCGCGGCAGGGACACCAGAAATGGACTTGACACATTTTACCCATGTGGAATATCAAACCCAGGTCATTAGCATGATGAGCAAATGCTTTACCTTCTAGGCTACCATACCCCCTTTTCAGTCTGAAAACAGTATCATTAAAACATAAACAATGTGACTTATCTTTGCAAATTTTATTATGCAAAAATATACATAGTTATATAAAAAAATTACATGGTACAAATCATACTATTGCTAGAGTCTTAAAAAGAAATGTAGTTATTGTACAGAATGATTAAAAAATGACAATGGTATTTACAATGCATGTTATCATGAATGTATCACTTTTATTTTGTTGTCATCTTTTCATCTTAGCAATTTTACAGCATCAAGTTTCTTCAAGAAATCAAGAACGTGTTCAGGTTATTAATCATATTTCTGGTTCCAATACACTAACTACACTCAGTCGGCATCACTGTCAAATACTGAGCATTGAATACCTTGACGTGTTTACATTTTCACATCCTTAATCAAACCTAGTAGAAAGAGCAACAAGGTTCTATCAACCAAGGGAGATAATGTGAACAAGGGAGGTAACTTCCACTAAACAAATAAACAGGAAAGAGGAAACGGATCTCAAGCAAATGAGTTCTAATGAAATAAGGCAAAACAAACCTTTGAATCAATGTATTGATTTCAGAGCTCCAGATAAGCTACTAATTACCATTACCCAATTAATGTACAAATATGCATTAAGAAATTTGCTAACCCAATAGCATAAGAACAGTGTTCGCAATTACCCAATGTAGCTTTTCAGATATATCTACACAGATCTTCTGTTACTGACTGAATGCAGCATCATGTATATACATGAACTCTACTGCAGTGAATAATGCACAGATGCACAAAATCTCGCTTATTGTAACTTAGACATGTATATCACTTTTAAGGTTATGCGACATGTGACTGACTTGAAGCAGCCCACGAAGACATGATATTTACAAGTTACGTGCACAGCACAGAAGTAGATTATTGTTCAAAAAGTTACAAAACCCAATAGACTGGACCGAGGAGAGTAAAAAATATATTGAATACTCAAAGAAACTATTAATACTAATGTGAATGATAACATACCAAATATTCAACAGATCAAATACGTCTCTGGAGCCCTGTTGGTTTGTTTGTCTTCTTGTGATGGTCAAATGTAGTTGGATCAATATCTTAAGCATTATAGGCACATTGGGATTATAGGGGATTCTTGGCAGAAACAAGCAAAATTTGTATTGTTTTAACATTAAATGGAGAGATTCACAGCAGGTTTGAAAGAGCAAAGAAGACCTGAAATGATATTTATACCTATAACATGAAACACATAAAGATTATCCTGCATGTACAGCACAAAGATCATGGTGAAGATGAACCGGACTATGCATTTATCAATAAAATCTGCAACAACACATAATATTTGATCTTTATATTTTGAACTTTTTTCCTAAAAGCAGTAAGTAATTACAACTGAAACGTATTAATGAGAAATAATTGTACCATCAGTTGGCAAGGAGATATTGGACTTTCTAAAATTCTGATGGAGTGTTGTATTGATCATGTCTATTTATCATGTTGGTTTCAGTATGTTCAAAAATGAGCTATTTACAATGGCAACCTGTCCTCTCACTTGCATCCTCTTGCGGACATTTTTCAGGACACTGAAAGCATAAAAAACATGATAAATATGTTTTAACCATAATGAAAAAATATTTGTGTGTTCTCATGTCTAACATACATTTATTCGTATCAGTGCCTGTTTCAATGAAGTTTGTCAAAGAGAAGATTGAACATTGTATCCATAAATTGATTTCCAAAAGATCACTGATTTGCAACTCTATCTAAAAGTGTCTACAAGGAACATGACTTCTTGCTTACCAGTTCTAGCACCTGAGGCTTGGTCCTCTATACGACCGATTCGTCCACTTTCCCCCGGCTACCAGCATTACTGCTATCACTTCCTGTCCGGACTTTGTAACCTTGGTCTATCTTGGGTGGTCCATGGCGGTAGTGGGCCCCTCTTGGCTGGCCATAGGCCATCCTCTGGTGTGCTAAAGACATAGTGGTCATCGTTAAAGTTGATGTATACAAGAATGTGCAGCATCTATTACTCACTTACATTTCTTGCATTTCTGTCTGTGCAGTCAACAACAAGACTATTGGGTTGTGCCATGATGTCAGATGGTATCATGACTTGTGGGATAGATTGAGTATGTTTGATTTAATCATGTTAAGCATATTATAATGTGTTTCAATTTGTGTAATGTTCCAGCGAAAAGTACAATGCTTCAGCCAATAGTACAATGTTTCTGCAAGTTGTTCAGTGTTTCAACCAATAATATAGTGTTTCAGTCAATACTACAATGTTTCAGCTCATAGTAAAATGTTTCACCTATAAATAGTACAATGTCATTAATACAGTTTCAGCCAATAGTACAATGTTTCAGTCAATAGTACAATGTTTCAGCTAATAGTACAATGTTTCTGCAAGTTGTTCAGTGTTTCAACCAATAATATAGTGTTTCAGTCAATACTAATATGTTTCAGGACAAAATTTCAGCAAGTAGTATAGTGTTTCAGCAAGTCGTACAATGTTTCAGCAAGCAGTACTGTGTTTCTGCCAACAGTACAATGTCTCAGTCACTAATACAATGTCTCAGTCACTAATACAATGTCTCAGTCAATAGTACAACACAACACAACACAACACACCTGGTCAGTAAATATCTAATAACGTGGGGATGTTGGGTAACAATATAACCACACTCAGCAATATTCCAGCTATAAAACAGCGTTTGGTAAATAACTGAGTCTGGGCAGGACAATCTAGTGATAAACATCATGAGCCTCGATCTACGCAAATGGCATGCGTCAACCATGTCAGAGAGTCTGACCACGTTAGTCGCCTCTACGACAAGCATGGGTAGCTGAAGGCCAATTCTAACAAGGCAGTGGAAACAAGAAAATAAAGATAATGAAAGCAATGATCCAAGACTTTGGGGTATGATGACACACTATCAATTAGGTCACCCAGCCTGACCACATGATCCATTTGGTCACCTCTGACAACCATCATGGATTGCTGGGGACCTATTCTAACCTGGAATCCCCCCTGGGGTCTTCAACATGATTATTTGGTGTCTTATTGTCTCACCTTCAGGGTACGGCCTTGGTTTCTCATCACGATAACTACTGGCCATGGAACCGCTGTCATATTCTTTCTGTTGTCTATAGTCTTCACGGTAACCTCCAACGCTGGGTGGACCCCCGACACTGTGGTCGCGGTAACCCCCTGGTGGCGCAGACGGATATCCTGTTGATGGGTAACCACTTGATGGGTAGCCCATGCTGGGGTCGCGGTAACCTGGACCCACAGGTTCGGAGCCACCATACGATGGTGGTGGACCATTAGCCATTCGATTTCGAGCCTGAACAAAGAGAGTGAATTGATTTTGTTTTTTTGCAGAAACTGCATAAAGGTCAACAGAGAACATAGGTAGACTTGTTGTACAGTAAACAATCAAATACATTGTTCAGATCAATTTTGAAAAAATAGTAACAAGAAATAAGAATATTGTTTGGACAATGTGACTTAATAATAAGGGTACAATGTTTATCTTGCTCAACAAAGGTCTCAATTTACTTTGACACAATGCTACTAATACATGTACGTACATGTAAAAGGCATGAAAAGTAGAGGTTTGACACAGTCTGTTCAATCAAAGTTAGAATCTTTATTTCTTTTGAGTCATTGTATATAGCATATCTCTAAACAGTACTTTACTTAGTGATATGTAAAATTTACATTAAATTGTATATTTATATACTTAACCTATCTCATACTATGCATTTCTTCCTTCTTCTTTCAATCATTATGTGGAAACATGCTTGAACAAAGTTTCCAGCTTCTAAAAACAATTCACCTGAACACATCCCAGCATCACCATGATCCCCACCCAAACAAATGGGTCACGCACTGTAAACCCTGTGCCTTGTGAACTTACACGACATAATCACCTGACTACCCCTGTCATATCATTCTCTATCTTAGAACTGACAGGCTAGAGGAGCTATGATGAGGCGATGGTCGGGTGGGCATATAGCATGTGAGATTGGATAGGTATATAAATATACAATTAAATTTAAAATTTACAAATCTTTAAACTTATCCTATCTCACACCATGCATTTATCCCACTGTTGGACCGTGGGGTGCAGATACCCTAGCCTGTATAGACTATAACCATGAGACATATACTACTCAAAAGAAGTTAAGGATCAACTGATTCTTTCATATTACAATAGTTATTCTCTCATGCCATGACAGATTAACTTTACCAATATGAAAGAATCGGGTGATCCTTAACTTCTTTTGAGTAGTATACATGACGAAGCTGGTGCTAAACAGTGATACAAATATAAGAATCTATACCGCCGCTTAGTGTTGCAAAGACAAGAAGTCGTGAGTGGGTAAAACACCACAACAGGCAATGCGACCCCTTTATGCTAGTCGGACATAACATGAAAATGGGCATAATAGATGGCACATGTTTTCCCTTAGAACATCGTTATGCAAAAGACTGATGCTTTGAAAAGTGTTCTATTCAGCGTACGACTAATAACCGTTCCGGAGGGGGTCTCCAGGCTATGAGTTCTACAAGACAAGCCTCATCACTATCTCTGACAGACAATAGGTTGAGCCAGCTTGGCATCTCATTTCATGCTTCGTCAAAGCTATCAATCACACAAAGGATTAAAGCATGCTAAGACAAGAAGAGGAACATTTGACAACATCCACGAGAGGCTCATCAAACCAACAGTGAGACATCACATGCCTGAAGCAAGGGGAGCAGGTATGGTTTTGGCAGCGCCTTGTGGCGACTTTGATTTTGAAGACCGGAGTCTCAACAGACAAGGTTGCTCAACCTCCATTGGGTACTCAGTCTAGGAACCCGAATGATGAAGACAATAAACACAGGGGCAATAATTACTCTGTATATACAGGATACAGAGTACTGGGCAGCAGAAGTGAGTAAAAGTATCGTCTATTTGCGCTGATGTGCGGCCATCAATTGTTGTGCCAGGACCAAAGGACCAATCTGGGGGAGGCCGTGAATGTCAGTGAAGGGGATGTTGCTTGTTTGTTTGTTGTTTAACACAGCAACTCAGCAACATTCCAGCTATATGACGGCGGTCTGTAAATAATCGAGTCTGGACCAGACAATCCAGCGACTGACATCATGCGCATTGATCTACGCAATTGGGATGCGAGGACATGCATCATCCAAGTCAGCGAGCCTGACCACCCGATCCGGTTAGTCGCCTCTTACAACAAGCATATTCCCCTTTTACATGTCACATAGATAGTGGAAAGTGAAATTGCTGGCGGCCATGGTAGAGGCGATGGATCTAGTCTCATGTGGATTGGACGTCACAATCCAGCAAAGGCGTAGGCCTGCAGGATAGTTGAGTGAAGTCAAAAGGAGACTGAAGTAAGGGAAACTTTTGTGATGGCAACCGTGAAAAGTGGGATGAAGTCTATTGCGGGCATGCTAAAGTGGGCGCACAGACTCGAGGTAGATCCTGAGCGCTCTAACTGGGCATAAGGAGATGTCTTTATGGTCATTTGGGCTCAGGATGGATGCCAGCGATGGGATGGTAAACAAATGGTCTGGCTGTCCCATATGCAGAATCTTAACGATGAAGTCCCAGTCAAGGCCCAGAAAGACCTTCCCATTCTGTTTTCTCTCACATTGGACCCTGTTAACATCATACTCTGCAGGAGTCAAATGGTGTAGGATCACGTTAAGATCCCAAGTGGGTGGGGGGAGTCGAGAGAGACCAGTCAGCCAGCTTGTAGGACTGAATGAGGGACTGAAGCTCAGCGAACATGGAAATCTTCGATCTGGTTTCAGTAGCAATGAGAGATTTGATGCCGCAAGAGAGATATCCAAAGTGCACCCTTTGAGCTTCCAAGTGGATCTCAGATGTTGCAGATACTCTGCAACTTGTTGAGGAGAAGCTTGACAGTAGGCTCAGAATGCTTTCCATTTATAGTTGTATAAGGCCTTAGTGGAGGAACGGTGAGCCTCAGTGGTGGTAATGGCTACTCTCTTCGAATTTTGGGGCCAAAACTGTTCTTGACACAGTGCAACAGAACCTCTAACAAGGGAGGCTTTCGCATATGACACAGAAGCAGCGATGGCTTTCGTTGCTGACAGGATTTTAGAAATAAGCGGGAGCGGGAGCTGGATGGTAGTATCCAAGTGGATGAGATCACGAAGTAGTAGCAGAGCGCTTGGGGCAGAGAATAGCAATGTCACCATCCAAGGCATATGATGATAGAAGTCGGCACGAGAGTGATAGTCACGATAAGGCGATGCATATGGGTAGACACACATATGATGATACGGATCCAGATGTGGGGGGTATCGATCCCTGTAGTCGTTATGCTGAAGGTGATCCCTGGATGAAGTCTTGATGAGGAGGGTTCGTGGAGTAGGAGCGGGGACTATCCCACCAATGCCGATGATCTGAATAAATTGTAGAAGTCAACAACCGATCAGCAAAATCTGAATAGGAATTATCCTTTGAATGACAGCAATTGTCATGTCGAGCAGGAGCTTGTGTTCGATCAGTAGAGCGACACTCCTAATCTGGTGAGTGTTGAGTCTAGAGAGGGGCGACTCGTAGATCTGGAACATCAATCCTTGGAATGTTGATCATTTGATGAACGATCCGGACAGCTTGGATCCATGGAATGGTGAGGTGTGAGGTGTGAGAGCAATTCCATCACCATCAGTCCTTAGTATGTTCAACGTCCTAGGACTTTGACAAGCGGTCAACGTCACGCTTGTGGCATTTGCGTAGGAACATACTGAAAGCTTCCTTGGTGAGGTGGGAACACTGTCTTCATAACAATGGCCGCAACACTCACAACAATGATCATGAGGATCAGTAGTTTACGTCTGCAGGCCTCTTCAAGTTATTGTTGTAAAAGTTGACAGAATTGAAGACATAGCTTACAAAAAAAAATGTATTCTCTAAAACTCAATACCCATCTCCACAGGGTGGTGATGAGATAGAGAATGATGTGGCAGAAGTACAAGGGCTGGCTGAAAAGTTCTAAGCCTAAGTGGGATATCTCAGTCGGATTGAAACAACTTTTGCCACCAACAAGTACAATCATTTAATGAATCATAGACGTAAGAAGTGCAACTGTAGTGTTATTATTGTCTTTCTACCAGACCATCTTGTGAACCTACCCATTGAAATCACCAGAAATGGGCAGTAATCAAGTACCTGCAACTGAAAGGGCTAACTCCACCACAGATACATACTGACATGGTCTCCACTTTAGGGGATGATGCCCCTTCCTTTTCCACTGTAAAGAAGTGGGCTGCAGAATTCAAGCATGGCAGAGAGAGCCTTGACGATGACCCGCGTCCAGGAAGGCCTTCAACAGCAACCATTCCGGAAAACATTACTCGGGTGCATGACATGGTGATGGCCGATCGACGATTGACCACTCCACATATTGCCAGTGTTGTGGGCATCTCTCAGGAGAGGGTTGAGCACATTATCACCAACGAGTTGGGAATGACAAAAGTTTCTGCAAGATGGGTGCCAATCAGAAAGCAGATCAGAAACGTGTCAGATTCCTGACGTCCCGTGACAATTTATGCCATTTGAAGCAGATCCCGATGATTTTTTGGACCGATTTGTAACCATGGATGAGACCTGGATTCATCACTTTCAACCAGAAACCAAAATTCAGTCTAAACAATGGAAGCATCCGGAATCACCAGCCCCCTAAATAGCCAAGTTGGTTCCTTCTGCTGGAAAGGTGATGGCTTCAGTCTTTTGGGATTCCAAGGGTATTCTGCTGATTGACTATCTTGAAAAAGGCCAGAATATCAATGGAAGATATTATGCTGACCTACTGAGACAGTTGCGTGAAGCTATCAAAGCTAAGCGACGGTTAATGCTCACTAAAGGAGACCTGTTCACAAATCGGTGGTTGCCATGTCAGGGATCCATGATTGTGGCTTCGAACTCATTGGCCATCCCCCTTATTCACCCGATTTGGCCCCGTCAGACTTCCACCTGTTTCCCAAAATGAAAAAGGAACTAGCCGGTTGCCATTTTCCTAGTAATGATGACATCATTTCCGCTGTGAATGACTTTTTTAGGGTTGCTGAAGAAAATGTCTTCTTGACTGGAATCCAGGCCTTGTAGCATCGCTGGCAAAAGTGTGTAAACCTGGAAGGGGACTATGTGGAGAAATAAATGAAAACCATCGACTTGGTACGGGTCTTTCACAGTTAGGCTTAGAACTTTTCAGCCAGCCCTCGTATTACATTGTGTGAGCCATTTGTTTGGGTGGTGACCATGGTGATGCTGGGATGTGTTCAGGTGAATTGTTTTTAGAAGCTGGAAACTTTGTTCAAGCACATTTCCACTTAAGGATTGAAAGAAGAAGGAGATATGCATAGTGTGAGATAGGATAAGTTCTGTCATATCAATGTTGCAGGAAAACCCAAAATGACAGATTACAATTGTTTACAACTTTAACAAAAAAAACCAAGCACAAATGTCAGGATCATAATCAGATTGAATCTAGGATTCAAGTAAGTTAAATAAAGTCACATCAGCAATATTTCAGCAGGATTCACCCCCAGCCAATGGATTTTAGCATGACTAAGGGATAAACGCTGCACATGAAGCACCTCATTTAGGTGGCCTTAGTCACCAGTTTGTTAATTTGATCTAAAACACTGCAGTCAGCAATATTCCAGCCAGGCCAAGGCAGTCTGTAAATAAGCAAGTGATAAACCAGTGGTTGACAATAATAGAAATGTCCCGTCCCCAGAGTTGGGAAAGCAATCAAGTAATTGAGCCTGATAACCCTAATCAATTAAGTCGCCTTTTACGACAAGCATAGGATACAAGGAATATTCCATCCTAGAATCCCGGGAGACAGCAGTACTTAATAAGGAGGCTGTAAAGTATCCAGGCCATACCTCGATCTCCTTCTGCTTCATCTTCTCCAGTCGAGTGTCCAGTGTGTCGCTGCCGATGATGCCACGCTCCTTGTCCCTGAAGATGAGGCCCATGATGAAGGTGAACATGCCAGCGAAGGCGGAGAAGAAGCCGGACAGGACACACAGACCGTAGCTCCAGGACAGGTAGTTCATCCACGGTCTCGGCATCCAGGTCGGGTCATTGGACATCTCCGCAAACACCAGGGCGATGAGGAACACCAGAAATGCTGCAATGGGAGATTGTTAGATCAGACTTATGGGTGTCTATTGGAGGCGATGAGGAACACCAGAAATGCTGCAATGGGAGATTGTTAGATCAGACTTATGGGTGTCTATTGGAGGCGATGAGGAACACCAGAAATGCTGCAATGGGAGATTTTAGATCAGACCTATGAGTGTCTATTGGGGGCGATGAGGAACACCAGAAATGCTGCAATGGGAGATCATTAGATAAGACCTATGGGTGTCTATTGGGGGCGATGAGGAACACCAGAATAGCTGCAATGGGAGATTGTTAGATCAGACCTATGGGCTTCTATTGGGGGCGATGAGGAACACCAGAAATGCTGCAATGGGAGATCATTAGATCAGACCTATGGGTGTCTATTGGGGGCGATGAGGAACACCAGAAATGCTGCAATGGGAGATTGTTAGATGAGACCTATGGGTGTCTATTGGGGGCATCTTGACTATGCAAAAGTATTGCAATAACGTAAAGTGTACCATTCCCACAATGTAGAGTTTCTGGCATTGTAAAACATGTCATGCCCTAGAATGTTCACCTTCTCCTTGGTTCAGAGATTGCAAAGACACAAGGGGGAATAGGCCTGATTCCTCTTTCAGTACAATATAATTATGACAATGCAGTAGCGTGGTAAAAACTGGTGTAAATTACTGGCAATGGTTTCAAAATTCATAATATATATTACATACTTGATCATAACGGTTCCACCCAAATCAACGGTTGGCACCTCTGAGAGTTGTTGAGTTAACTTTGCAATTGGATTGCGACACAGCAAAGGGAGGAAACCTTTCATAGTGAGTGAGTTGTTTAACACTGCTGTGAACAGTATTTCAGTTACCAGTGTATCATGGACATCTTTTGGTTTATTTTGTTTGCTGTTTAACACTGCACTCACCAATATTCCAGCTATATGACGACAGTCTGTAAATAATAGAGCCTGGACCAGACAATCCAGTGATTGACATAATGAGCATCAACCCACACAATTCGGATACAATGACATGCATCAAACAAGTCAGCGAACCTGACCACCCAATCCTTGCCTCTTACGACAAGCATAGTCGCTTTATATTGCAAGCATAGGTTGCTGAAGACCTATTCTACCCCGGATCTTCACAGGTCTCAAGGACATCTGCAAGGCTTACATCACTTTGAGCTTTCTCTCCTCATCATGGACATCTGCTTGATGGGGAACGAAAGCTCAAAGTGATGTAAGCCTTGGAAGTTTAGGTTGATATAGTACTGAAAACCAAGAATCATTACAAAGGTAAATCTGGGATTTGAACCCATAATCTTAGGTTACTTGAATCCTAAGGGACACAACTCAGCACAGCGAATTGTAGCAACCTAGATGATTGGGCCACCAGTGCCACCCATAGCAAATGAAATGCTTTATAGACTATTGAGCCTTATTTAGACAAAACACAGTTAGGGAAGAGAATATATGGATGTCAACTTCTTTATTATGAAAGTTCTTGATAGTGTAACGGGGGCTTTATGATAAAGGAGTAAGCATATACTCCGAAAAGTTGTGTTCCTCATAATAAAGAAGTTGACATCCATATATTCTCTTCCTTAAGTGAATCACTTCTAAATGCCTTTCAAAGACCATATACGAAAACACAGTTAGTTAGTAAGAGTGGTGTATACCTGCAATTAACTCCATGATGCTTCCAGCAAAGAGGATGCTCACTCTGCGTCCGGCGTACAACTTCTTGTACATGATGTCCGGCAGGTAAAACAACAGCAGGAGGCCTCCCACCAGGTCTGCTACCAGTGTGAAGATGGACAGAGCTTGGATTCCACGAAACCATGCTGCAATGTAAGAGAAGAAAGCCATCATAAGACATTTTTGTTAAAAGTACAACAAATTCCTGTATGCAGTACCAGTTGTGTTCAGCGTTCCAACTTTGTAAACTACACATGTGTGAATATGCTACAGGAACAAATCCATTTTAATAAAACAAAACTTTTCTTTTACTTAGGGACTGCTCATGGAGGGTGAGTGAGTGAGTGAGTGAGTGAGTGAGTGAGTGAGTGAGTGAGTGAGAGTGAGTGAGTGAGTGAGTATAGGTCAAAAGGTTAACGTCTCGTTTAGCAATATTACAGCAATATCATGGTGGGGAACACCAGAATTGGGATTCTACCCATGTTGGGAATCAAACCCGAGTCTTCGGTGTGACCAGCTAACGCTTTGACTACAGGGCTACCCCACCACCCCCAACCCCTGTATGTAAGTTAAATTACCAGTCCGTTATGAAGAGTAAGGTTATATTTGTATGTTTGTTGTTTAACGCCGCACTATATAGCAATATTCCAGCTATATGACGGCGGTCTGTAAATAATTGAGTCTGGACCAGACAATCCAGTGATTGACATAGGTGAGGTAAAATGGGGTTTAATGTTGCGTTGCATATTGAACTTATAGAGTGATGTACATACATATGTGTTTGTGTGACTGCTTGTGTTAGTTTGGACTAATGCCAATTTTTTAGTCCTAGCCCACTGAAATACCTTGCCACAGTTTAACATGAATACCCCACTCAGTATACTGACTCAAAGCTGACCAGTCCTTTTTTTTTCCCCTTAAGGCTGAGCGCCAGGCAGGGTAACAACGTATTTTAACGTCTTTTGCATGATCAAATCCAGGACATTCTGCTCTCTGGGTGGACACTCTACCACTGGACCATGGAGGCGGTCAAACCCGTGAAGATCTGGGATAGAATAAGTCTTCAGCAACTCATGCTTGCTGTAAAAGGCGATAATGCTTGCCGAAAGAGGCAACTAACGGGATCGGGTGAGTGTCATCGTATCCCAATTGCGTGGATCAACGCTCATGATGTCAATCACAGGTTTGTTTTGCCCTAGTTCGATTTGTATACAGACCGCCATCATATAGCTGGAATATTGGTGAGTGCGGCGTTAAACAACAAACTAAACAGAAACTGTCGATTGAGGTTATAGTTATTGAGTGAGTGTGTGTTGGTTTATGCCAGTAATCAAGATTGAAGCTATCACCATGATCACCAGTAGGCTATAAAAAATCATGTTCTGTCTAGACAAACCAAGCAGTGGTTGATAACATGAGCCTACAGCATGATCGCCTAAAAGTGTCCCCTTTGACTGGCAGGCTTTTGATGCTAATTATATTAATTGCTGCATGCCATACAAGTACTACCCCAATATATCTTAGATGTTTAATTATCAACTTTGGGTGCGCTGTATTTCACGGACATACTATAATCATGATAATCAGTGTCACAAACTTCAAAACCGGAAGTTACCTGCACAGGTAAACATTGTGAAAATGCCTTTACCTGTTGATTACAGGTGTAATCATGACGGTCGCCGATTAGTGTTACACGAATAAACATATGTCGTTATAACTGTAAGAATACTTACATGGTTGAATTTGATTAGCGACTTGGCTGAACTCGGAGGAGTGGATCCACCAACAGCCGACATAGGACTTCATGTTGGGGTCCTTGGGCTGGATGTACCCCGCAAGACAAACGTGCCATAACCCGATGTTGGAGAACGGACTGTGAACACGGGTCCATGATTTGTACCAATATGGTGTGGCAAAGGCCAGAAACATCAACAGGAAGGCTGTAATAGCACAGAAGAAGCCAACTTTGAAAAGCGTTTGAGTCGCCATCTTGGCGAGTGTGTCTCACCTGGACGAGTCTACTGCGACAGGTGCGCGGGGGTGTCACATTCTAATCTGTATGACAGGTCTTATCCTCATGAACTGGTAAAATAGATACAAACTTGATTGTCGCAGTGGAGTGTATTCAACTGTGAATTATGTTTTCGTGTAGTATTTCATATGGTGGTAAAAATGTTGTAATGATTGCCGTTTTTAATAGTTGTCTTTAGGACACATTCCATTTGCATTGCTAATCGCGGATGACCTCATTCAGTCAATATAGCACTAACAATCTTTACAACCGCGCGTTGCGTTGTCGCATGTAGGCCATAAACAGGCTTTGTCCGATCCACATCTGCAAGAATATTATTATTTGGTTCCATATATACTACAGAAGACGCCTTGATTATGTCATCGTCTCTCAATGTAATTATTCACAGGTCCATGCAGCAGGATACAGGTATTACTGGCACACTGGATCCATATACACAGAGATATCACTGACACACTGGACCCATAGAGATATTACTGACACACTGGACCCATATACACAGAGATATTACTGACACACTGGACCCACAGAGATATCACTGACACACTGGACCAATAGAGATATAACTGAAACATTGGACCAATAGAGATATAACTGAAACATTGGACCCATAGAGATATCACTGACAAACTGAACCCATATACGCAGAGAAATTACTGACACACTGGACCCATAGAGATATCACTGACACACTGGACCCATATACATTGAGATATTACTGACACACTCGACCCATAGAGATATTACTGACACACTGGACCCATATACATTGAGATATTACTGAAACACTAGATCCATATACGATGAGATATTACTGAAACACTGGACCTATATACATAGAGATATTACTGAAACACTGGATCCATAGATATTATTGACACATTGGATCCATATACATAGAGATATTACTGACATACTGGACCAACAGAGATATTACTGACACATTGGACCAATAGAGATATCACTGAAACATTGGACCCATAGAGATATCACTGACACACTGGACCCATAGAGACCTCACTGACACACTGGACCCATAGAGATATCACTGAAACATTGGACCCATATACATTGAGATATTACTGACACACTGGACCCACAGAGATATCACTGAAACATTGGACCCATAGAGATATCACTGACACACTGGACCCATATACAATGAGATATTACTGACACACTGAACCCATAGAGATATTACTAACACACTGGACCCATATACAATGAGATATTACTGACACACTGGACCCATAGAGATATCACTGAAATATTGGATCCATATACATAGAGATATTACTGACATACTGGATCCATAGATATTATTGACACATTGCATCCATATACATAGAGATATTACTGACATACTGGACCAACAGAGATATTACTGACACATTGGACCAATAGAGATATCACTGAAACATTGGACCCATAGAGATATCACTGACACACTGGACCCATAGAGACCTCACTGACACACTGGACCCATAGAGATATCACTGAAACATTGGACCCATAGAGATATCACTGACACACTGGACCCATATACAATGAGATATTACTGACACACTTGACCCATAGAGATATCACTAACACACTGGACCCATATACAATGAGATATTACTGACACACTGAACCCATAGAGATATCACTAACACACTGGACCCATATACAATGAGATATTACTGACACACTTGACCCATAGAGATATCACTGAAACATTGGATCCATATACATAGAGATAGTACTGACACACTGGACCCACATACATAGAGATATTACTGATACACTGGACCCATAGAGATATTACTGAAACACTGGACCCATATACACAGATATTACTGAAACACTGGACCTATATACATTGAGATATTACTGAAACACTGGATCCATAGAGATATTACTGAAACACTGGACCTATATACATTGAGATATTACTGAAACACTGGACCCATATATACAGAGATATTACTGAAACATTGGACCCATATACATTTGGGATACTTAAAAAGTACACTTTTATTATTAAGTAATCAATAAACCCATGGAATTTCAAATAGTCTCATTTTCATATTCAACAGGTGATAACCCGCTTGCCTACCACACATGAACTGTCCCGTCGCCGTTGATCTGAACAGTAAAATTGAAACACCTTTACCCTGACACCCCTATTGCGGGTAATCGACTCTTCCCCTCACCTTGATTAGTGTCACCGCTTTGAAATTCCTACCAAGCGTCAACCAAAATGGCGGACGAAGACAAGGCGAAGAAATCAGCGACACACAGGGTTAAATCCCTGGTGTCGTTGTTCGGGCTGATATTCACAGTCATCACGTTTGTCTGTTTCATGATCGGCTTCTCCAGCCCAAACTGGATCGAGCATTTTAACAAGTACACCGAACGCCAGTTTGTCAAGATGGGACTGTGGGAAGTATGTTTCAAGCAGTGGAGCTATTACAAGGACTATCTCGGCAAGAAGTACAACGGTTGCTGGTGGATATTCTCGTTTGAATATCGCCCAGTGTGGTCCTGGTTGAACCCACGTAAGTATACCTATCTACCTGACGCTGGGGGTAATTACAGGTGTTTGTTATTGTCAGGTGAGAGGCACAGGTGAAAATAACATGGCGAACCGGAAGTAGGGAATTTAGCACCCGTGTATATTAGTTTACTTGTGTTTTGAAACTATTTAAAAAATGTCATGAGATATTTTCACGTTGATGAAACCATTTGATAGATCGATGAGTATCATGAAGTGAATACCATATCGCTCCCTTTACTTTCGGACATTGTCTTGTTACTATTTGACAACACATTCATCTAACAGTAGGCTAAATATGTTACAGTGGGATAGCATTGTGGTTACGCAGGGTCGTTCCCCACATAGGTACAACGTGTGAAGCCATTTCTTGTGTCCCCGCTGTGATATTGCTGGAATATTGCTAAAAGCGGCATAAAACTATACTCAATCACCACAAAAGGGAGTTGGGTGGGCCGTAGGATTGGTCTTAGGACTGTCATTGAGTGTCATACCTAAAGAAGATTTCCACATTTCAAGTCATTTGCAACCAAGTTTTAATGCTTTTGGCATGTGTGATATTATGACCCCCAAGCATGCCAATTAAGCATGCGTGGAGTCCCATGCTGAATGATTTGAGTCTGATTGTTTGATAATATGATGATAAGTATATGTGGACGCTTCTTTCACATACATAAAAACCTTAAATTGCTTATGGCTTCATGAGAGAGTGTACCCTTTACTAATTGATGAGAAGCTTGTACAACATGACAATTGTTTAAATCAAAAGGCATCACAAGTCAAGGCAGATTGCTACAAATATGCATGCTAGTTGTTTTGTCTTCAGTTTCCATAACTAACTGAATGATGATCGAGAGTGAGTGAGTGAATGAGACACTAGCATGGCCTGTCAGGCACACTAAAGGTTGATAGCATGAACAACAACCCCCGTGGTCTTGGTAAGTTCGAACAGAATGAGCCAAGTGACACATTCACCTCCAGTTCTCATCTAGTCAGCTCTGGAGCAAGATGTACTGGGCACTTAACATCCCCCAGAATCCCCACAGGGAGACCAGCAAGATGTACTGGGCACTTAACATCCCTCAGAATCCCCACAGGGAGACCAGCAAGATGTACTGGGCACTTAACATCCCTCAGAATCCCCACAGGGACACCAGCAAGATGTACTGGGCACTTAACATCCCTCAGAATCCCCACAGGGAGACCAGCAAGATGTACTGGGCACTTAACATCCCTCAGAATCCCAACAGGGAGACCAGCAAGATGTACTGGGCACTTAACATCCCTCAGAATCCCAACAGGGAGACCAGCAAGATGTGCTGGGCACTTAATATCCCTCAAAATCCCCACAGGGTGACCAGCAAGATGTGCTGGGGACTTAGACCCCTGAAGATCCTTGGTAGAATAGGTCTTCAGCAACCCATGCTTGCTGTAAAAGGCGACTATGCTTGTTGTAAGAGGCGACTAATGGGATCGGGTGGTCAGACTCGCAGACTTGGTTGATGCATGTCATCAATCCCACTTGCGAGGGACTTATGATCACCCAGACTCTCCATACAAGAGGTACTTTGGGCAAGTCTTCCAAAATTCCCGTGGGGGAAACTGTGAACCTTTTCGGACAAGAAATGTCCAGGGGGATGATGGACCTCAAAATGGATTTCAAAATTATAATCAGTTCTTAACAGAAACAGAATAAATGGGGATTCCTGTGGTTTATTAGCAAGCTTACACTGCAGACGTTCACAAAAGCCTGGTTCGACCAGAACATCAGAAGTTGCAACTGAGTTCAATGCAAATACAGTTCTTTGTATAGTTTCCAGGCTGCCTGAACATGCTGAGAGGATCCACAACTCAGTTCTATATACAATGTATACTAACACTGTTCTTCATATTACCATAGTTCATCTGTCATGGCATGACCTATTAACTATTGTAATATGAAAGAATTGGGGTTCTTTAACTTCTTAGAGTAGTATATTAATAAACAATTGTAACACCACAAGGAGGCTGTTCCCAGTTATGCATATCCTGAACTCTAATGTCTAAGGGACATAGATATTAATGTAGACTATTCTCCATGATATAAACCATACTCTTTTATTGCAAGAAAGTCCCTTAATGTCTGAACCAATTTTGAGTGGTTGAGAAAGTGTGTCCTCAAGCCAATTAAGGGGTCAAACCCTTTGATTTCAAGCCACTGGTGAACACGCACATCACTACTTCCATAAATGTGGAATTAAACATGACAAACCCTTTTGAATTTGGTTGAGAGAAATGACTATAACAATTAAAATATGTGTATGATGTTCACAATAGGCATGGAGGTAGATCTAAGTTTTGTTTGTTTGTTCAACGCGGCACTCAGCAATATTCCAGCTATATGGTTGTGGTCTAAATAATCGTGTCTGGACCAGACAATCCAGTGATTGATATCAGGAGCATCGATCCAAGCACATGCACAACCAAGTCAGCGAGCCTGACCACCCGATGGGTTAGTTGATTCTTATGGCAAGCATAGTCGCCTCATACCACAAGCATAATTGCATTTTAAGGCAAACATGGGTTACTGAAGACCACTTTTAACCCCTCACAGGCCTCATCTAAGTTGTGAGTGTGCCTGGGTATCTTGCATTGCTTTAGAACCTGTTGTAAAACGCATGTTACTTCTATAATCGTTTTGCTGACGTTGATAACAATGTAACTGTTTGTTGGTTATTTATAAGTAAAAAACATTGACAACCTGGTCATATCAGATGTTCTATACTAAGATAATATAAAGTCATGTTGGTATGTTTCCTGAGTCCGTATCAGATTCACCCTGATTGTGTTTCAAGGTTTGCCAGCATCATACTCCTGTTCGGGGGTGTCACCAAAGTGGTTAATGTCATAGTGAGTGAGTGAGTGAGTGAGTTGGGTTTAACCAAACTTTGAACAGGGTTAATGTCAAACACCTGCATCACCTAGGCTTTCACCCCATATTAACCTGATACGTGATGTAACTGAAATACTGTTCAAAGTTGTGTTAAACCAAGCTCACTCACTGTACACTGATCGTGGACATGTGGACATGTTCAACGCGACAGGCTTCTAATGCTCCTAGGCCGCCTATATGGTGATAGAATCTCATTTTTCCAACCTAACATAGACATCTTTATGTTCACAATTATAACGTTGCCATAGTCAGACATGGTTATGATTCACGATCTGGAAACTGGCGACAAGTTACACATAGTGAAATCTGAGGGCAATCGGCATCAGTAACACTCCACCATTATAGAGTGCAAAGAATAACTAACACTATCCGTCGTTCCTGAGCAGTTTGTGAAGCATGGTATAATTGTCTGTGACATCTTCGCCTTTTGCCATTCACATGTTTGCATGTAAACTTTCCACTGTAAACACCGGGAGTATTCCGAGGTGACATCCAGGTGTTCCCGCTGACTGAAGAAACACACCTGACGTGATGGCGCGCTCGGGCAGCAGCTTCTACCTGACGCGAAACGCTATTTACAATGAAGAACCTTTGCATCAGTGTATACAGAAATACACATCTGTATTTATGGCATTACGTGAGCATCAACAGAGAGCTGCTCTTCATAAAGTGTTACAAACCACCTTACCGCAACAGTTAAGGAAGCCGGGCTGTTTGTGACTCGTGATACTCTCTTTGTTTTAGTCTTGGATAAATAGAAGATCACAATCATAATTTTCTTTTAGTATTGATTGTATAATTCTCTACCTTGCTTGTATCTAATGCATGCAGTGGTTGCTCCCTTGATGTACAGATAGTTTTTGAGTCGACGTCATGATAGGACCCGTGAAGATCCGGGATAGAATAGCTCTTCAGCAACCCATGCGAAATACTGTGCGGTTAAAAGGCGACTAACCGGATCGGGTGGTCAGACTCGCTGACTTTGTTGAAGCATGCCATCAATCCCAGTTGCGTGGATCGATGCTCATGATCTCAATAACTGGAGTGTCTGGTTCAGCTGAAATATTGCTCATTATGGCGTTAAACAACAAACGTACATCACTGACAAAGGTAACCAGGTAAAAAATGTACTCATTTAAAAAAAAAACCCAATACAATTCCTGGACCCTTTAATTGGAGCACGTGTTTCGGTAAATACTGATACAAACGATTATCACGAGACAAGCTCACAGCAGTCGCAGAACGTGTAACTTTGACTGACCTGTTGGGGATCCCGTCTGAGTCGAATGAGTGTTCAAAATCCACTTGTGCATACTCTACCCCATCTGATAACGGTGGCAATACTGTACACCAAGCCTCTTCCAAGTAAGCAGTTATCCCTTCGTCGTATGTTAACAAAATGAGTGTAAACGTGTTTGGATTATATATGGATTAGTAACTTGAAGTAAATTTCGGAACTTGTGGTTCGAATGCAGATGTATACAGACTTATATTTTACAATGCTTTCCAGGATTAATGATTTTGTATGCATAATGCTGAGACCCAGGCCATATATCTAGGACATGCTCTGTAGAGCTGGTAGCTAACAAGGAAGGTAGGGTAGCCTAGTGGTTAAATCGTTCCCTTGTCACGAAAGGCCCGGGTTCGATTTCCAATATGGCTACAATGTGTGAAGCCCGTGATATTGCTAAAAGCGGCGTAAAACTCTACTCATTCATTGGGGACTAACAAGTCGATAATAAAAATGGGCCAATTTGTTCGTAAGGCGTTAAATTAATTGAGCAGGAGTAGACAGTCTTTAACGTTGTAAATTATGTAGGATGTCCTACAATAATGTGTTGTAACAGCAATTAAAGTGTTCGCCAACTCCTTTTAGAGAAAATATAACTCTCCTAAGGAAAATCACCGATTTTCAATTTGCCCTGTTCGAAAGATTATATCGTTTTGTGAACACGCCTGATGAGAGGGAGTACGCGTGTTCGCGTGTCATTTAAGTTCGTTTGTTTGTTTGTTGTTTAACGCCGCACCCAGCAATATTACAGCTATATGACGGCGGTCTTTAAATAATCGAGTCTGGACCAGACAATCCAGTGATTGACAACATGAGCATCGATCCACGCAATTGGGGTAATTTAAGTGGAAATACTGTTAATATGCACCGTTCCAATGTTCCACCGCAGGCAATGTATGTTAATTACAAAGAATACAAGTAAATGTGAAGAAAAAAATTCCCGTGTCGATTTCGCTCTACTGGCAGCTGTGGAAGTGCATATCATGGAATAGCACGTGTTTGTATGTTTAGCTGATGGTTGTTTAGGGGCGAATAACGAACAAACGTTTACCAGGATCATTTCTAGTATAAGCACAGGTCGATATGTGTAAGTATAATAGAACATTCACCAAGTCTGATTTACTACCGCACAGTCGCAATGAGCAATATCTCGACATAGCTGCTGAGTCACACCTGAGCACCCCTAAAAAGCAGTGGATTCGCCCAGGTAGGTTGTCGCCATCAGGTTTGAACTAATCAAGATGGCGTCGCGGGGTCGGACGAAAATAGCGATATGTGGATTAGTACTAACAAGTCTAGCACTTCTGTTTTTGATCGTGTCAATGTGTACACCAAACTGGTTAGAAGCCTTACAGGAAAGAAGGACAGGTTTCGGAAAGTTGGGAATATGGGAGGCGTGTTTTAACAACTATGTCAACGAGAAAGACAGTCTCGGGAAGCGATACAATGGTTGCCACAGCCTGATGTCGTTCGAATACAGGAGTATATTCGAATGGCTAAATCCGAGTAAGCGTTACATTCTGACAACAGTATATGTGTGTGCACAGTACACTTATAGTTTGTTTTTTCTCCACCCTTTTGATCACACCTGATGTGTCTTTCTTTGATGCATTACGGCACAGGTAAGATAAGTGACGTCACAGGTACAACAATATAAACAAAATGGCGATGCTAACAGTTGGTGTCAAGAAGAACCTGTGAATACATTTTTGAGAGTTTCCAGCTGATATGTTTTAGAATTGTTAGATTTAGACACACATATGTATATAGATGTATCACGTGTGTTTGTTCCAAAATACTCCACACCTGATTCATGTTGAGAATATCGATTACATAGTGAAGGGCATTTCCGGTTTTAGATTTCAGGAATTCCATGTTTAGTTCAAAGGCATATCCACGAAAAGGAACGATAATTCATATTTCTGGTTATAACAGGAGCGCGTTATACTCTTGATTATTAATATATGATTTTTTGTTCAAAAAAAGTATTTTGTTTTAAAATAGGTATTGAAACTTTTCAATTGTTTATTTTATCGATGTCGTTCTGTATATATTCAATCTACAATATCACCTGAAATGTAGCACGCTGGCTCGGGTATTATATGGCAATAACGGCACCTTGTATTAATTAGCCTCGCTCTGGTTACAAGGAACCGCTAAACAATTGTTTTCCTCCGAGGTGTTTATTTTACAAGTGGGTGTTAAATGTCAAATGGGAAGGGATGCCTGCGTCTGTTGATATATTTGTGTTGTAGATTACATTGGACACTTTCGTGTCACGTTTTTATACTCAAAATAAACAAAAAAGGTTCAAAGTTAAAACTTAAGAGCTTCGTGATGGATTGTGATAAAGCCCCATGTGGAGCCTGTTAAGACACCAGAGATTTTACTTACACAGATCCGTAGTTTAATTTTTTTCGATGCGCCAGGAACACAATTTAGTTAGAATCTACATCTGAATATTCTTGGTAGATACTAAAGAACCAGACTGCAACTATGGTGTATATCACATAAACATTGAATAAATACACATTCGCTCACGGTAAGACTTTTTTAAAACTTTGTTTACGAATCCCCGACTCAAATATTTGAAATGTGAATAAATAAATTGGAAAGCAGTTTTTTTTTTATTCCTCCAACCTCAAGTAAGTAGTAAGTAAACCGTTTAAAAAGTCTAACTTACTGCCTCTATCCATGTAAATAAATAATTTAAAATACTATTATTATAACCTGTTTAAAATTTATCTTAACTTCAAAACGCAACTAATTATGATGTATCTATTTGAAATTGGAATGGGTTTTTTCCACCTACCCACCTGAATGTTGGGGATGAAAATCCATAAACCGACCGAAACAATGGCTGGCTCTTCCAGTCATCAGTTACAAACTGGATCCAGTTAAAAAAATTCAGTGTAGAATTAGAATATAATTAAGGTTAGAGACATAACCCCTCCCCCCATCGCTTGGGCACGCCAGAAACCTATGATTGTGGGTTCGAATACCGGTTCGCCCTGGTTATGTGTCATGGGTTTTACCGAAATGGTAAACATTTGAGACCTGCTTCACTTCAAGCCTTCTCCATACATTAAGCTGACACGTCGGGATACAATTAGAATACTGAGATTATTATATATTTATATTGAGATTTGGAGCATGTCAAGATGACCTCTGTTTCCATAATTGTCTCTATGCGAACTGGACCGCCTCCGTGGTCTAGCGGTAGGGCGTCAGCCCGGATAGCGGGGGTTCGGTCGCGTCATACCAAAAGACGTTATTAGATGGTACTTCTTGTTACCCTGCCTGGCACTCGGCACTAAGGAGTTAAAACAAGGAGCGGTCGTCTCGAAGTTAGTATACTGTCTGAGTGGGGTATTCATGTTAAACTGCAAGATAGTATGTCAGTGGGCGAGCACTATATAATCGGCATTAGTTCCGAACTAGCACAAGCAGCCACATACGTGCATGCACGTCGATGTATTATCAGTGCAATAATCTTGAAAACCCCATTTTGCTAGAATGGAATTAAAATGAGGATTTGGTATTGTGTATATGGGAAGCTGACACAACATACTAATTTAAAGCGTCTATTCCTCAGAGAGCACACCGTTTGCATAACATTCAGTCCTTGACGCTTGGTCTCCTTAAAGTTTGATACGCAAGACAGGGTCTTCAGCAACCCATGCTTGCTGTAAAAGGCGACTAACGGGATAGTGTGGTCAGGCTCGCTGACTTGGTTGATGCATGTCATCGATCTCAATTGCGTTCGATGCTCATGATGTCAATCACTGGATTGTCTGGTCCAGACTCAATCATTTACAGACCGCCTTCATATAGCTGTAATATTGTTGAGTGCGGCGTTAAACAACAACAAACAAAGCTATCTTAGCGCTACGACTGTCTGTCGTAAGTCTATGCTTAAATATTTGAGTAAGGGCATCTTCGCCCTACGTTCTCTTTGGGAATCGAACCCAGATATTGGAAGACCATTATGCATTTCCTTTGTTCGAGACACGAGTATGTAGAAATTCCTAACTAATATTCTGCTGCAATCATATAATTTGTATTTACGTGTAAATATGTTTGTTTTCATGTCAAGCAAGGTTCCCTCGTATGTGGACGCGAGTATTCACCGGCTCTTCTGTTTCAGCATGGCTCCTTGTCATCCAAGTGCTGATGGTACTCACGCTGATAATAATGATGGTGTGTCTTGTCTTCGTCATCATGTACTTCGTCAAGTGCTGCCCGGCAAACAAGGAGAAACGATACGTCATGTTCAGCTACATCCTCAACTTCACAGCAGGTGGGTATTTCACGTCACTGTAGAGCGAGGTTCGAATTCACACATGGTGATAATTTGAGAAGCCTACCCATAAATTCCGTCGGGATGTTGGTGCAAGGAAACCAAACCCATCCTATGGCCATCGATACACGGGGGATGGTGGGAATGAAAGAGAATATTCTACACATTTAACTCTGCTGATTGTTAAAAGATGGTACTTGTTGTTACCCTGTCTGGCGCTCGGTATTAAGGGGCTAAAACAAGGACTGGTCGGCTCGGAGTCAGTATACTGTGTCTGAGTGGGGTATTCATGTTAAACTGCGGCATGGTGTCTCAGTGAGCTAGCACTACAAATCGGCATCAGTCCGGACTAGTACAAGCAGCCACACACACGTGCATGCACATCGCTTTATAAGTGTAATAATCTTTGACGCGACGTTAAACCCCATTTCACCTCACCACCTCATGCTTAGTAGCCGACCAAGAACGTCCCCTCCTTAACACCTGCAGAGTCACTGTGCCCTGTCTGTCATAAACATTCAAGAAAGCAGCAATGACTCTGGTGTTGGTTTCAGGGTCATGGTATCCAAATAGGTATTTGATGAAAATACTCAAAGCAAATTTCCGTTATTTATGTTAAAATTCATACTGACCTGTATACTCACGATACTTATAATATAAAATATGTAGATTGACAGAAAGAGGTATGTATGACAGCCACGAAATATAGTATTCAACCTCTTTGATGTCAATAACATATCACAAAGGCAAAGCATGGCCGTAAAACATGTACACGAATAGAAGTTATTATCTGTCTAAATCTTCAGGAATATGCAATAATAATCTTGATCTTTTTCAGGTGCGTTTATCGGCGTCAGTGTCATTACGTTCGGTATCAAGGCTGATACTGACCGCCAATGGCTGCCTCACCCCGATTCAAACTTCCTCTCCTGGTCGTTTGGTTTTGCCGTCCTATCTGCGTTTTTCGCCCTCTTTGGTGGAATGTGTCTGCTGGTCGAGTGGATGAGACTGAACCAGGAAGACAACAACAGGGCCCGAAGACAGAACATGTCTCTCACGTCCAAGCCTGCTACAAGATACTAAAGAAGCAGACGACACAACTGCAGGAGCAGACGACATGAACTGAAGGAGCAGACGTTGACAATAAGAACTGTGGAAGCAGATATATGTGACAATACCTTCCCGCCACCTCATTGTGGTCTGTCGTTTAGAGTGTAACAAATAAGCTAATCAACACTCGGGCACCAGATTACAGATTTCTGTCACCTTGAGAAATCAGTGAAATCATCCAGGACTTAAATGCTCATGGAAATGAAATAATTAATCGTTTTCTATATTTTGATGGTTATTCGTGATCTAATCATGATCTTATATCAGGGCCTTTGAAATCATATCACCTATAGAGGCAGCTCTTTCAACAAAACACAGGTTGGTAAATATGTAGGTTCGAATATATATTTTTGGGTTTTGCAGATTTTACATTATTGTGCTTGATGTAGTCCTTGATGGGCACTTACTGAACTGGCTATTTTATGCAATGTCATTTGCTAATCATGTATTACAGTGTCTGCTTCTATAGAAACAACTGAAGCTCAGGATATATAATTACGCGCTGATGCGCGAGATACATTTCGCTTTGGTTAGTCAAAGTATTTTCAGTTCCAATAGTATTGTATGAACAAAGGGAAGCAACTCTTGCCAGGGACCTTTCCGCTGTAGTTATGTACGTTAAGCTCCAAAACACCTGCCAAGGTAGCAGTCATTGACAAACTGTGTGAATGCTGCAGGCTATGTTTATAAGAAAAATAATAAGTACAGTAATATCAATGACAATTATAAGGCTCTGAGAACATTACTTAGGAGGAAATCTCAATGATTTTTCATTAACATAGTATGGCTATAACGCTTTTCCATATATATGTGGATCGTTTTGTACATTTGTATAATATCTCATCATTCGCTGCAGAATAGAAGAATATGCATCATTGTACATACCATATGTTTTGTATATTCGAAAAGATTGTGTCCTTGTTTTAGTTTAGTTTTAGTTACAAATAGCTTAACTGCAATAATTTGACACTGATTATAGCATTGTTTCTAGTTATCATTTTTTGGCATTCTAAAACACTTTTAATCTTTACATATTTATTTAATCTGAGAAAACTGACTAATATAGTAGTGTCATCGTTACTACCTGTGTAGTTGATGACGTATTGATTGGTTACATACTGAGTTATAGTGATGATCACGTTGATACTCGTTTGATTCCGTGAAACTTGGTAATGGAGGAAGCCTGGCCGGAATCAGCCGAGGATTTTCCTATTGTCCATCAGCATAATCGATCTGCCCCTTACCTCAATGCTTCAATTTTCTAATTCAAATTTACAGCAGTTGCAATATTCATCTTTCATAAATAAGAACAATGTTTCCACTGAAATAGGTTTTCAATGTACTGAATAATGGTTTTACTTTTCCTTTTCCACACAACTTCGAATAAAAATATATCCACTTCGTACGATAAGGGGAAGTGACTCCTTCCAAATTAACCATTGTATCTCTGAAATCGGTTTTCTAGAAAATACCAACTCCTGTAAATATCACTTAATGACCATTGTGATTGAGGTATTAGCGTTAAGTCTTTGTCCTTTGTATGTTATATTTCTTTTGAAAATGGTGATTATGCCCTATTTGATAATGCCACTTTGAATTTTAAGAGGAGCATTTCTAGCCTGAAATTTCAAGGAGCATTTCAATATACCTGTCTGCATGTTTATCCTATCGTGCTTCTCCCCATACCCAGTCGATGTATATATCATTTCTTTATTTCCCTAATCATACCTATTTTTGTAAGATGACAAAATCGTTTACAATAAAATATCAAATGGATCACAATCCTTTTATCATTTTCTTCCCGCTGGAAAACAAGCATGCATTGAGGCAAGTCTTCCTGAAAAGCTGAAAAAAGCTGACAAGGCCTGAAACGACGCTTTCCTCTCCACAACAAACGTGGATTTGAATCTCGGATTCCCCATGACTCTTGTTTGGTGGATCCGCGCTGATGCTCAAGTGACGAGTGTTCAACATCAATAGACCGTCTCCGTGGTCTTGTGGAAGAGCGGAAGGTCTGGGTTTCCATCCCCGGCTGCGTCATACCAAAAGACGTTAAAAGATGGTACTTGTTGTTACCCTGCCTGGCGCTCGACATTAAGTGGCTCAAACAAGGACTGGTCGGTTTACTGTGTCTGAGTGGGGTATTCATGTTAAACTGCGGTATGGTATCTCAGTGGGATAGCACTATAAATCTGCATCAATCCGGACTAGTACCAACAGCCACACACACGTACATGCACGTCTCCATATAAGTGCAAAAATCTTGGACGCGTATACCCCATTTCATCTCTGCTCAACATCAACAACCTGCACCAACGTAGGCTTTCGTCCCACAGTCAGCTTCCGCGCTGCGAAATACAGCGTAAAACCCACTTCACTCACTCATTTTTTAGACTGGTGTCAATTCAGTGTCCTATATACTTGTGTGCTGTCAACCTCAGCGTGAATCCATACTCACTTTATCTACCACTGTTTCCTTGTTCCACATCGTGTGATTGCAGACATGTAAACCTTTATTGGAACATCCCAGTGCTCTTGACTGAACAGGTAAACATCTACGACCTTCGTCACTTGGGATATTCCTTCGCGACACGCCGTGATATAACTGGAATACTGGACACCAGCTCCCTCACCAGGTACGACTGGTCAAGAGCGGACTTCGGTTGACATGGCAATAACGTTTATCAGGCATCTTAAACATAGCTTGGTATATTCTACAGCTATCAAGGCTGACGAGGTAATAGTACAAGACGATAATTTTAGACAAATATATTTATTCACAGATGATAGTGTTATATTCACAAATGAGAGTTGATCACAATGGTAAACAATCAACAAGTACGTGTTAGCAGATCGTCTTTAAAATGGCGTGTTGTATCTTACTTCCAATAACTTCTCATAAGTGGTCCTCAAAGTTTCACAAGTGATACAACACGCACTCTCCAATCCGGTCTGGAGATAGTTTCAACCCTTTTTTAAACAGAAATAAATTAAAAAAACCAATGTTCTAAATACAACAATAAGATATATAGTCATTGTTAGCAAGGCAAGGCAAATACATCAATCAACTTTCACAGAACAACACCAGATTTGAAAACCCGAAGAGAGGTCATTTTGTAACTCAATCTATACAGTAGCACTCCAGTCTCTCCCGGACTAAACTAAACAGTGGTTTTGATTTTGAACACGGATTAACTGTAACAGCTACGACACAACATACATCTAAAAGCGTAAAACCTGTGAACACAAGTAATATAGAAGGATAAACTGAAACTGACATCGTATAAAGAAATATTGAAATTAGTTTTTTTTTATCGACTTTCCAATTGATGTTAACGATCGTGTATATACCTTCACTAGTGGATCATTATGTCCGAGTTTCTCCCTTGTTCGTCTTCATGTTATCCTCACACTCTTTTGTTCATCTATTTTAGAAATCAAACTTAAAATCAAAGAACATTTTGATATTGCCAAATCTTAATTTTCGCGACGCTACCCGCCTGTGTGCAGACAAGTGAGTGAGTGAGTATGGTTTTACGCCGCTTTTAGCAATATTCCAGCAATATCACGGCGGGGGATACCAGAAATGGGCTTCACACATTGTACCAATGTCGGGAATCAAACCCGGGTTTTCGGCGTGACGAGCGAACGCTTTAACCACTAGGCTATCCGACCGCCCCTTGTGTGCAGACAAGTTGACATATGTGCACAGACAACTCAAACACGGTGACCCATGTCGTGGAACTCTACAAAGTCAGATGGTTATAGATTGTCTCTTCATACGACTAAACAACAAATTGGTTGCGTTGCACGTATACCGATAAAGCAGGTACAGTAAAATACGTTTATAACGAACACGCTTATAACGAACTGACGGATATAACGAACTTTATTTTTGGTCCCGGCCATTTGTTGTATAGATGTTGTATATATGCTTATAACGAACTACGGTTATAACAAACCAAAATTAGTGGTCCATTTGAGTTCGTTATAACCGTTGTTTACTGTATATACATATTTTTCTCAGTTCTCCGTGTCTTCCCGGCCCTAGAAGTGAATCATGTTTTTTAAACGCTGTGTTACGTTTTGCTTCCAGAATCGTATTATGTTATTAAAATGTATTCATTGGTGATAACATACACAAAGCTTCAAACTGGTGTTCAGGGATAGTTTCAATCCTCTTTATAACATAAAGTAATAAAAAACAAGAATCAATGTTGTTAGTGTAACATGTCAACATGTCATTCGTAGCAAGAAACAAAACAAATAACAAATGTGACCCACCATGAGAAAAGGAACCTTATGGGTGCGGGGAAACAATTGTGCTATGGCATCATAAAGACGTGTGATGTCATGTATCTATTTAATACATATGAATTGAAGCTTGCGAATTGTATTTTTGTGTTTCGAAGATGCTGTTGTTTTTAAAATATAATGAAAAGTCACAATGTGATTTTTCACCCATGAGGTCCCTTATCTCATGGTTGGTCACAAATAATCAACTCTAAAAACGGGGCACAATACATGATCGAAGCACATGACGAGCAACATCTGGACTAGACACTGGCTAGACTAATCGACCCCTACCCACCCCCGCCCTTACCCTTGATGAACAGAGAATGGCCACACAGATCACGTTATTAAGAAACTGCTGCATTTATACAGTTCTCGATGCTCTCATTAATACAATGAATGAAATGGAAATACATAATAAAAATGTTTGTATCCCTGAATTCCTTGGATAAACAAGTGTTACGGTATTGGTACCAATGCAACTAGCGGCCCCTGAGGTATTCCTTGTATTATCAGTGGCACTGGTATCAATTTAACCATGGACTCTTTACATATTACTTAGATTAACAAGGGTATTGGTATCAATTCAGCCATGGACCCCTTACATATTACTTAGATTAACACGGGTATTGGTATCAATTCAGCCATGGACCCCCTACATATTACTTAGATTAACAAGGGTATTGGTATCAATTCAGCCATGGACCCCTTACATATTACTTAGATTAACACGGGTATTGGTATCAATTCAGCCATGGACCCCCTACATATTACTTAGATTAACAAGGGTATTGGCATCAATTCAGCCATGGACCCCCTACATATTACTTAGATTAACAAGGGTATTGGCATCAATTCAGCCATGGACCCCCTACATATTACTTAGATTAACAAGGGTATTGGCATCAATTCAGCCATGGACCCCCTACATATTACTTAGATTAACAAGGGTATTGTTATCAATTCAGCCATGGACCCCTTACATATTACTTAGATTAACAAGGGTATTGGTATCAATTCAGCCATGGACCCCCACCCACCATCCACCACCCCCCATCCCCAACATATTACTTCGATTAACAAGGGTATTGGTGTCAATTCAGCCATGGACCCCCTACATATTATTTAGATTAACAAGGGTATTGGTATGAATTCAGCAATCCCTGACGAATTCCTTGGATTAACAAGGGTATTGGTATGAATGCAACTAGCGATCCCTGACGAATTCCTTGGATTAACATGGGTATTGGTATGAATGCAACTAGCGATCCCTGACGAATTCCTTGGATTTACAGAGGAATTGGTATCAATTGGCACCTGTCTAATTGTGTGGTGTACCCTTTAACCTTGCTACACATCAATACTGCATGTTTGTCCATCATATAACCGTGTTATATATCATCACAATAGGACCATCGCCATACAGAAGATATATCCTCACCGGTGGAACCCTGACATGACACAAATTGTGTTGATGCATCAGATTCAAGGGTTTTTACGGCAGTCTGTCTGTCTGCAGCGAACAGACACAGTGATGTCTGGTTCAAACGCATCATACTGCATCAGAAATAATCCATACAATTTCGGTAAAACATACAATAAACACAACCCGGAAATGCCCGCTGAACATCTACAGTGACGACCTTCACTGCCCTTCATCTACAGTGACGACCTTCACTGCCCTGCATCTACAGTGACGATCTTTAGTGTTCTGAACCTATAGTGATGACCTTCACTGTTATGTCCTGCATCTTCTGCAGTGTTCGAGATGAGCGCCTGTGCGTAGGCCCGTGATTTGTAGATCTCGTGTCGGGCCCATTGTGTCAAGTTTATGTGGGTCCTTATGGCCTGCAGTAAATCTATCTCTCTATTTATTTATCACAAAAAGTTGCAGCTTTTTAATGTGGGCCTGAAGAGTTTAGTCGTGGTCTGCATCTTCTAAAGTCGGTCGGTCCTGATTGCAGACTGGCATTTTTTATTTCAAACACTGCTGTTCTACATCTACAATGACGGTCTTCACTGTTCTGCATCTACAATGACGGTCTTCAATGCTCTGAATCTGCAGTGTTCTGTTGCATGTTTCTTCACTCTGATGTTTTCTGGGTCATTTTCCCTTAAAAATACTATTCAAGTATCACAAAATAATTCGGTAGAAAAACGATCATGCCTGTCATGAAGTAAGAAATATAGGGAAATTATGCGTGTTAATTGTCTCCCCAAATGTCCAGACAATATCTGGACAACACTGCTTCCTCTTGTCCCGGTTAGTGTTTCCGCATTGACCTTTCCCTGCTGCAGCACAGAAGCAGGGCCTGTATCCCGTGCATGCTTGAACCAATCATCATGATGAATATGGTAGCTACGCTTGTGTAGTAGGACCAATCCAACTGGTTGGAATCAGGAAGCGGAAGCCAGTAGGGGTCGTTCGAGCTGTACCTGTACAAGGACGTCCCACACGATATCATGACCGCTGAAACAGACAGCACGAAGAGTAAACATTGTTAGGTCTTGTCTCATACTCGTTCAATTGTAAGGACATTATTAGGTCTTGTCTTGTACTCGTAACATTTTGAGGTTGGTTGGCTCGTTTGTTATTCAAGCTATATGACGGCGGTCTGTTAAATAATCGAGCCTGGACCAGACAATCCAGTGATTAATATCATGCGCATCGATCCACGCAATTTGGATCGATGACATGCATCAACCAAGTCATCAAGCCTGACCACCCCATCCAGTTAGTCGCCTCTTACGACAAGCATAGTCGCCTTTTACAGCAAGCATAGGTTGCTGAAGACCTATTCTACCCCGGAGCTTCACGGGTCAACATTTTAAGGACATTGTTAGGTCTTGTCTTATACTCGTACAATTGTAAGGACATTGTTATGTCCTGTCTTGTACTCGTAACATCTCAACCCCACAGTGATTTGTTTCCAACACTTCAGAGTTGGCGTGTCAAAGGTTTTATGACTGCGAGATTGGGTGGTACAATTGGGGTGCACTGACTGAAATGTATATACTTTGCTTATCGGAGAGTGATATACATGTACATAAAAGTCTTATTGACGACCGTGTTTCCTAGTGTAAACTCATTGCAACTATTACAAACGCATCACGGACAGACTATTTGATATATTAAAAGAAAATTGCATGGCTTGGTAGCTGTAGGATCAGGAGTTGTGAAAACTCAGAAGGATGGAGCTTACTTGATACGCTGCCTAGGACAGTGATGGGGATGAGGAGTTGTGCCCTCCCCTGAACCAGGTAGAAGGCCGAGGAGAAGAGGTTGAAGACGTTGAGGAACAGAGACATCACCAACATGCCCTTGACTGCCTTCAGCCATACTAAAACAAAGAGACATCACCAACATGCCCTTGACTGCCTTCAGCCATACTAAAACAAAGAGACATCACCAACATGCCCTTGACTGCCTTCAGCCATACTAAAACAAAGAGACATCACCAACATGCCCTTGACTGCCTTCAGCCATACTAAAACAAAGAGACATCACCAACATGCCCTTGACTGCCTTCAGCCATACTAAAACAAAGAGACATCACCAACATGCCCTTGACTGCCTTCAGCCATACTAAAACAAAGAGACATCACCAACATGCCCTTGACTGCCTTCAGCCATACTAAAACAAAGAGACATCACCAACATGCCCTTGACTGCCTTCAGCCATACTAAAACAAAGAGACATCACCAACATGCCCTTGACTGCCTTCAGCCATACTAAAACAAAGAGACATCACCAACATGCCCTTGACTGCCTTCAGCCATACTAAAACAAAGAGACATCACCAACATGCCCTTGACTGCCTTCAGCCATACTAAAACAAAGAGACATCATATAGACTTGAAACAGCGGTCAATCCAAATGTGGACAACGGGCATATTTACCAAAGTATAACTGACAGATATTGATATGGATTAAATACACGGAAATGCAGTGAAATGAGATGCCAACTTTGAACATATTCATGGACTATTGCTAATGTTATACTTACAAGATGAGTGGCCTAGAGGCTTTTGAAATACAAACTACAAATACATTGCTACAAATGTTTCGGTAGCAACTTGAAGCTGGGCGACAGAGGGTTAATGTAACGGAACCATATAGCAAGCTCCAGATAAATGATATATAAAGCGTTAAATTGGGTGACCATTATTAATCATTGTAATAAGATAAAATAGAAATAAACATTTTGTTTTGTTATTCAGGAATTGTCAGGATAAAATAAAAGTTTGAATATTGTTTATTTGTATCCTTAGAGATATAAGGGTTTCCGTCTCCGTGCATCGAGTATTATCAGAAATGTAAGCTACATCCTGGTTAATTACACACTGACGAGGCAGGTCAAGAACTATCCTCCCATTCCCGAGTATGGCTGCAGCATATCCCGAAAGCAAGTTGTAGTGTTGAAAATGGTCTATGACGATAACAACGCTGACATTCCTCCCGCATCATAACAGCAATGCGTAGACTGAATTGGTGTATGACAGTCAACACACGAGCTTGACCTCATGACAAGATTATCCATAAAGTAAACAAACAATGTGAATGTCTGTTATGAACACTGTCCTCGCATACAAGCAGGGTCATAGCAGCGGTTCCAAAGTGATTTGATTCGAAACAACTTGTTCAAAATAAAAAAAGGGTTTAAAACTTTGAATTATATGTAACTATGTAACATACATAGGTTACAATTAGGAACCAAATACATATTTTACCGCGGTTATTTAAGTTAGAAAGAAGCTTGTTGCAATGAAGAAATCATTATTACGACATTATGACCACGATCATCATGATAAATGGTATTTTTGTGGTTGGTTTGTTGTTTAAAGCCGCACTCAGCTGTATTCAAGCTATATGACGGCGGTCTGTAAATAATCGAGTCTGGACCAGACAATCCAGTGATTGACCTCATGAGCATCGATCCACGTAATTTGGATCGATGACATGCATCGACCAAGTCAGCAAGCCTGACCACCCGATCCAGTTAGTCGCCTCTTACGACAAGCATAGTCGCCTTTTACAGCAAGCATGGGTTGCTGAAGACCTATTCCAGCCCGGATCTTCGAGGTTCGGTATTTTTGTAACGATTTCTGTGTTGACGTTACCGGAAATAGGATATAACGTATTTGACATAGATTAGAAACACAGCAATATCAATAGAGTGTTACTGCCAAGTGTTTATAAATTACATTATGAAATATTTAGTCTTATACTTACTGGGGTGTATCCAATCCTGAACATCATAGAAAATTGGGTCGGCAAAACTGTAACACCCAACTAAGCCTTTAGGGGTCTGTACATTTCTATGTATGACGTAGTTAACCAGACAGATCTTCCATAAACCGGCCTTCTGGAATCCGGACCCCTCCACAGGGGACTGTATCCAACTGTCCGTGAACACAGCAACCATTAAGGTAATCGTAGCCGTCGCGATGATCAACGTTCCCAGGCCATGGAGCAGGAGATTTGTCCGCTCGCCCGCCATTTTGAATTTTGTTGACTCACGCGTTGCAAAGCGAGATAGTGTTATCGAGAACGCCACCGCATTGCTTGATAAGTGACAGGTAGGCAACGCTGGCATGTGTAGTCTTAAGTTGCCATTTTTGCAAACATGTGATAAAACAACTGATTTGACCTGTGATTTTAAATTATCAGACAGCATTTGCATAACATTGGTAACAAAGCGTTTGACACTCCTGTAAAAAAATCGAATTTAATATTATTATTTGATTCTATGAACGATATGTCATTAGATACGTGTAAGTTTAACGTGTACACTGACATGTGAGTACCTGCTGGATCATGCTGAAAACATATTTCTAAATTCTAAAATACTGCTGTTTTTTGTCGGTAGAGGAGAGTGCAGATAGACCCTGATTTCAAAGCAGGCTTAGTTTCAGTTAAACATAACATCAACCTCATGTCGCACGCTGTATTACATTATATCTTCAAACTGATGAATATTTATACGCTTTTCTATGCCATTTTAAGTCCCAACTAAATGGGAGCCACAAATTCACCGAGGCTGACACCCATAAATATAATTGTATATTTGCAATGATTCCACAGGGTGTTCGCCAAACAGTTGGGCATGTTCTTCGTTACCGTTAGCGAAGGTCAAGGTCACAAAGCCAAAGCATGCAAAACATGGCATCTACATGAATTTAAAACAGTCACTACGGTGATTCTATGGTGGCCGAGAGGAGCCATCAATTCCAGCCGCGAGAAAGCGATAACGCGATAACACGAGACGAGAAAGCGATAACACGTGACGAGAAAGCGATAGCACCAGACGAGAAAGCAATAAAGTGAGCAAGCGATAGAACGAGGGGACAAAGCGATAAAACGATATGAGAAAGCGATATTTCCCATAAACCCGTACATTGAAAAAGGTTTTTGCTGATATTCAGTTATCCATTCCTATAATTTCCACCGGTATTTTGCCTTTTATACCAAGAATTTTTCAAAATATTGTAGTAAATAAATTTGTTAGATATAGATACAGAATGATATCTCGTTTCCTTTGCATACATGCATGAGTTTACTTTCTTGTATCGTAGCAAGTTAGAAAGATTCACATACACAAGGGAAAAGTCTTTTAGTTTTACTTTATTTCGCCAAAACTCCACAAAGTCCGCGGATAATTTGCGATATTTTGCGAAACATAATTGTCCCTTTTATGAGAGTTACTAGTTTTATGCCTAAATGCGTGAAGCCTATCTATGGGCTCACTAACAGCGGTGTTTATCATTTAATATATGCAAGTACATATACATGTGGATTCGTACAAGACTAGAGACACAATACAAGTTGATCAGAAATCAAATGTCAAAAATAATATTTACGGACAGTATTATGGCATTCACACTGTCACATCATATACTACTCTAATGAAGTTAATGAACACCAAAATTTATAAGACTGTGGTTTGCAATACAATCAGCCATGACTGATTAACCATAGTCATATGAAAAACTCTTTAACTTCTTTTGTATAGTATATATTGAGATTTTAATATGACCTATTCAGAGAGTATTGTCATGACCTGCCTTCCACTGACGGCGTGATGGTCCCATAGAACACCTTTGTTTGTTTATTGTTTAACGCCACACTCAGCAATATTCCAGCTTAATGACGGCGCTCTGTAAATAATCGAGTCTTGACCAAACGATCCAGTGATTGACACCATGAGCATCGATCCACGCAATTGGCATTCGATGACATGCTTCAACCAAATCAGCGAGCCTGACCACCCGATCCAATTAGTCGCCTCTTACAACAAGCATTGTCGCCTTGTACAGCAAGCATGGGTTGCTGAAGACCTATTCTACCCAGGATCTTCACGGGTCTAAGTCCCCAGTACATCTTGCTGGTCTCCCTGTGGGGATTCTGAGGGATGGTAAGTGCCCAGTACATCTTGCTGGTCTCCCTGTGGGGATTCTGGGGGATGGTAAGTGCCCAGTACATCTTGCTGGTCTCCCTGTGGGGATTCTGGGGGATGGTAAGTGCCCAGTACATCTTGCTGGTCTCCCTGTGGGGATTCTGGGGGATGGTAAGTGCCCAGTACATCTTGCTGGTATCCCTGTGGGGATTCTGAGGGATGGTAAGTGCCCAGTACATCTTGCTGGTCTCCCTGTGGGGATCCTGAGGGATGGTAAGTGCCCAGTACATCTTGCTGGTCTCCCTGTGGGGATCCTGAGGGATGGTAAGTGCCCAGTACATCTTGCTGGTCTCCCTGTGGGGATCCTGAGGGATGGTAAGTGCCCAGTACATCTTGCTGGTCTCCCTGTGGGGATCCTGGGGGATGGTAAGTGCCCAGTACATCTTGCTGGTCTCCCTGTGGGGATTCTGGGGGATGGTAAGTGCCCAGTACATCTTGCTGGTCTCCCTGTGGGGATTCTGGGGGATGGTAAGTGCCCAGTACATCTTGCTGGTCTCCCTGTGGGGATTCTGGGGGATGGTAAGTGCCCAGTACATCTTGCTGGTATCCCTGTGGGGATTCTGAGGGATGGTAAGTGCCCAGTACATCTTGCTGGTCTCCCTGTGGGGATCCTGAGGGATGGTAAGTGCCCAGTACATCTTGCTGGTCTCCCTGTGGGGATCCTGAGGGATGGTAAGTGCCCAGTACATCTTGCTGGTCTCCCTGTGGGGATCCTGAGGGATGGTAAGTGCCCAGTACATCTTGCTGGTCTCCCTGTGGGGATCCTGGGGGATGGTAAGTGCCCAGTACATCTTGCTGGTCTCCCTGTGGGGATTCTGGGGGATGGTAAGTGCCCAGTACATCTTGCTGGTCTCCCTGTGGGGATTCTGGGGGATGGTAAGTGCCCAGTACATCTTGCTGGTCTCCCTGTGGGGATTCTGGGGGATGGTAAGTGCCCAGTACATCTTGCTGGTATCCCTGTGGGGATTCTGAGGGATGGTAAGTGCCCAGTACATCTTGCTGGTCTCCCTGTGGGGATCCTGAGGGATGGTAAGTGCCCAGTACATCTTGCTGGTCTCCCTGTGGGGATCCTGAGGGATGGTAAGTGCCCAGTACATCTTGCTGGTCTCCCTGTGGGGATCCTGAGGGATGGTAAGTGCCCAGTACATCTTGCTGGTCTCCCTGTGGGGATCCTGAGGGATGGTAAGTGCCCAGTACATCTTGCTGGTCTCCCTGTGGGGATTCTGAGGGATGGTAAGTGCCCAGTACATCTTGCTGGTCTCCCTGTGGGGATTCTGAGGGATGGTAAGTGCCCAGTACATCTTGCTGGTCTCCCTGTGGGGATCCTGAGGGATGGTAAGTGCCCAGTACATCTTGCTGGTCTCCCTGTGGGGATCCTGAGGGATGGTAAGTGCCCAGTACATCTTGCTGGTCTCCCTGTGGGGATTCTGAGGGATGGTAAGTGCCCAGTACATCTTGCTGGTCTCCCTGTGGGGATTCTGAGGGATGGTAAGTGCCCAGTACATCTTGCTGGTCTCCCTGTGGGGATCCTGAGGGATGGTAAGTGCCCAGTACATCTTGCTGGTCTCCCTGTGGGGATCCTGAGGGATGGTAAGTGCCCAGTACATCTTGCTGGTCTCCCTGTGGGGATCCTGAGGGATGGTAAGTGCCCAGTACATCTTGCTGGTCTCCCTGTGGGGATTCTGAGGGATGTTAAGTGCCCGTACATCTTGCTTGTCTCCTGACCACCCGATCCCGTTAGTCGCCTCTTACGACAAGCATGGTCGCCTTTTAGGGTAAGCATGGGTTGCCATAGAAAACCTAATTAGGGCCATAATCAACCAATTAGTTTTCACAGAAGTCCGTGTATTGTTTTAAAAACCAACGTCTGTACAGTTATTATGTTGAAGTGAACAGTGAGAAAATTTCAACATTCACTCCATAGGTATCATTTAAAATGTGACTGGAAAAGATCAGGGCCCACTTGCACAAAGCGATCTTAGCGCTAAGATGATCGTAACTCCCATACTTTAACATAGGCATCCGATAGTCTTAGCGCTAAGATCGCTTTGTGCAATTGGGCCCAGATGCTCAACACGTATACATTGACGTATGGTACATAGTTGATTTCAATGCACAAGTACATGTTAGGGGGAGATTATGATCAATGATCTTGTGCTCATCTTGGGAAGGGGTGTACATGTTTGGTGACTGGAGTCAAACTGCGACATTGTCTGCCAGCAATTACAGTAATCATCAGCTGCTGGATTGATTTGCGTGATAACAGTTGTTTGTTTGTTTGTTTGTTGTTTAACGCCGCACTCAGCAATATTCCAGCTTTATGACGGCGGTCTGTAAATAATCCCGTCTGGACCAGAAAATCCAGTGATCGGTCTCAAGAGCATGGATCTACGCTGAGTGCGACGTTAAACAACAAACAAATACGTCTTAATTAATAAAGTGGATTGTACACATTCTTTTCTACCCATGCATTTTATGGGTACATCAATCAGTATTAGATTGTTATACAGATGATTGTAATGGATGTGGTTGTAACCTGTCGGGCAAAAGAAAGTATGCACTTGAAAATTGGATTGGACCTAATCAAAACGTTATTAGGCTGAACACAGTCGCCGAAAAATTAAGACGCCAAATGAATCACCATCGAATAACCATTTCTTGTTTGATTCATTTTTTGCCACAAGCGGTTGGATCCTATGAGTGAGTGAGTGAGTATGGTTTTACGCCGCTTGTAGCAATATCACGGCGGGGACACCAGAAATGTGGATCCTATGAAACCATAGTGAATGAATGAAAGAGTGTAAAACCTTCATGCTGTTCAGACAGGAGTTAAAGCCTGAGTTGGATCCGGAGCAGGAGCCAGGGCCAGAACAGGAGCCAGGGCCAGAACAGGAGCCAGGGCCAGAACAGGAGCCAGGGCCAGAACAGGGCCAGAACAGGAGCCAGGGCCAGAACAGGGCCAGAACAGGAGCCAGGGCCAGAACAGGGCCAGAACAGGAGCCAGGGCCAGAACAGGAGCCAGGGCCAGAACAGGGCCAGAACAGGAGCCAGGGCCAGAACAGGAGCCAGGGCCAGAACAGGGCCAGAACAAGGCCAGAACAGGAGCCAGGGCCAGAACAGGGCCAGAACAGGGCCAGAACAGGAGCCAGGGCCAGAACAGGGCCAGAACAGGAGCCAGGGCCAGAACAGGGCCAGAACAGGAGCCAGGGCCAGAACAGGGCCAGAACAGGAGCCAGGGCCAGAACAGGACCAGAACAGGAGCCAGGGCCAGAACAGGGCCGGAACAGGAGCCAGGGCCAGAACAGGGCCAGAACAGGAGCCAGGGCCAGAACAGGGCCAGAACAGGAGCCAGGGCCAGAACAGGGCCAGAACAGGAGCCAGGGCCAGAACAGGAGCCAGGGCCAGAACAGGGCCAGAACAGGAGCCAGGGCCAGAACAGGGCCAGAACAGGAGTCAGGGCCAGAACAGGGCCAGAACAGGAGCCAGGGCCAGAACAGGAGTCAGGGCCAGAACAGGGCCAGAACAGGAGCCAGGGCCAGAACAGGGCCAGAACAGGAGCCAGGGCCAGAACAGGGCCAGAACAGGGCCAGAACAGGAGCCAAGGCAAGGGCCAAAGCTGAAGCAACATTCGTCACCACTCGCCCCTTTCCGTAACCTGCAAGAAGACTTGTCCCCCTATCGATGAATGTTATGTGCGAAAATACGACAAACCAATCAGAATGCGCGTATGATTTCAAGTTCTTCGTCAAAGAATCCATCAGAAACAATTTATGATTTTACATATGTCTTGCATTAAAACATATACCCACGACACAGTTAAATGTGGTCAATCATATTGTATAAATCCGCATGTCCTGATGTGCTTTTAATTGCATCTGAAATATATATAATATATGGGGACATATATGTGAAACATTACGCAACGAGTTGACAATTGTTTTAGGTATGCCCGTTTGCGCTAAGACGGAACCCGGTCGCAAAAATGGCCACGAGAGGGGCACGAGTCGCTATTCAGCTTGTCCCGGAATGACACGAGTTGGTCACGAATGCTGAAGCAACTGTGATTTTGCACATCCAGTTATCATGTTAAATCGTTTCTTTTGCAAACATTGGGGACGACGTTGACTCCATGACTGTCGGCTTGAACTGATGAGTAATGTTCCCTATTTTAAAACATTTAAGCTCTCCTCTTCTCTAGGTCTGACCTCAATATTGTGCCTCATTCAGACGTTCTCGCTGGGCCTGCTCTACCACTTGATGAGTTGGACATACTTTAGCAATCTTGTGTTCAAGATTAATCATTGATTTATCTTCTTGATTCTTCATCTCTTCTACTTGTTTCTTAGCCCATTCTGGTTCCTACAACTCCAGTAGGCTTGCATCTTGGCAGATATGTACTCTTCTCGAGAGGTCACAGCTGACTCTATGACAAAGCCTACAACCCAGTGAGCTTAGATGTGTCAAAAATGTTAAACAAAAAATCAATAGAAAGGACTGTTTATCTTTGAATAAAGTACAAGTGTGTGTGTGTGTGTGTGTGTGTGTGTGTGTGTGTGTGTGTGTGTGTGTGTGTGTGTGTGTGTGTGTGTGTGTGTGTGTGTGTTATCCAGATTGTAGCCAAGAAAGTACCGTACTCGACGTACAATGTATAATAGACGTTTGGTAACACTACATATTCAAGATGTTGTTGTGGTCCATATTATGTATACTTCATTAAGAACTGACTTTCACTTTGTGTAGCGTCATTGAATTTTGAACCTTCAAAAAGTGAGAGCCAAACTGTATGAATGTCGGCGTTTGTCAATGAAGCTGTATCGATTAAGTGTAACTCATCACCGATCACTTGGCCGATAATTCTGAGGTTATTATGAAAGATGTGTGGAATAGACACTGATGTAACTCATCTATTACTGCTGAGTGTTGCTGACAGTCACTGCGAATCAAGTCCATAGTTTTTGCAGTCGAACAGTTTGACATTTTCATCTTTCCATCTCACCACCTGTCTTCTCCAGACTGCCTCACCCTTCTCCATCTCACCATCTGTCTTCTCCACACTGCCCCACCATTCTCCATCTCACCATCTGTCTTCTCCACACTGCCCTCACCCTTCTCCATCTCACCACCTGTCTTCTCCACACTGCCTCACCCTTCTCCATCTCACCATCTGTCTTCTCCACACTGCCCTCACCCTTCTCCATCTCACCACCTGTCTTCTCCACACTGCCTCACCCTTCTCGATCTCACCATCTGTCTTCTCCACACTGCCCTCACCCTTCTCCATCTCACCATTTTTCTTCTCCACACTGCCTCACCCTTCTCCATCTCACAATCTGTCTTCTCCACACTGCCCTCACCCTTCTCCATCTCACCATCTGTCTTCTCCATACTGCCCACACCCTTCTCCATCTCACCACCTGTCTTCTCCACACTGCCTCACCCTTCTCCATCTCACCATCTGTCTTCTCCACACTGCCCTCACCCTTCTCCATCTAACCATCTGTCTTCTCCACACTGCCCCACCCTTCTCCTTCTCAGCATCTGTCTTCTCCACACTGCCCACACCCTTCTCCATCTCACCACCTGTCTCCTCCACACTGCCTCACCCTTCTCCATCTCACCATCTGTCTTCTCCACACTGCCCTCACCCTTCTCCATCTCACCATCTGTCTTCTCCACACTGCCCTCACCCTTCTCCATCTCACCATATGTCTTCTCCACACTGCCTCACCCTTCTCCATCTCACCATGTCTTCTCCACACTGCCCTCACCCTTCTCCATCTCACCATCTGTCTTCTCCACACTGCCCTCACCCTTCTCCATCTCACATCTGTCTTCTACACACTGCCTCACCCTTCTCCATCTCACCACCTGTCTTCTCCACACTGCCCCACCCTTCTTCATCTCACCATATGTCTTCTCCACACTGCCCCATACCCTTCTCCATCTCACCACCTGTCTTCTCCACACTGCCTCACACTTCTCCATCTCACCACCTGTCTTCTCCACACTGCCTCACCCTTCTCCATCACACCATCTGTCTTCTCCACACTGCCCACACCCTTCTCCATCTCACCATCTTTCTTCTCCACACTGCCCCCACCCTTCTCCATCTCACCATCTTTCTTCTCCACACTGCCCCCACCCTTCTCCATCTCACCATCTGTCTTCTCCACACTGCCCCCACCCTTCTCCATCTCACTACCTGTCTTCTCCACACTGCCTCACCCTTCTCCATCTCACCATCTGTCTTCTCCACACTGCCCTCACCCTTCTCCATCTCACTACCTTTCTACACCACACTGCCTCACCCTTCTCCATCTCAACACCTGTCTTCTCCACATTGCCTCACCCTTCTCCATCTCACCATCTGTCTTCTCCACACTGCCCCACCCTTCTCCATCTCACCATCTGTCTTCTCCACACTGCCCTCACCCTTCTCCATCTCACATCTGTCTTCTACACACTGCCTCACCCTTCTCCATCTCACCACCTGTCTTCTCCACACTGCCTCACACTTCTCCATCTCACCACCTGTCTTCTCCACACTGCCTCACCCTTCTCCATCACACCATCTGTCTTCTCCACACTGCCCACACCCTTCTCCATCTCACCATCTGTCTTCTCCACACTGCCCCCACCCTTCTCCATCTCACTACCTGTCTTCTCCACACTGCCTCACCCTTCTCCATCTCACCATCTGTCTTCTCCACACTGCCCTCACCCTTCTCCATCTCACTACCTTTCTACTCCACACTGCCTCACCCTTCTCCATCTCAACACCTGTCTTCTCCACACTGCCTCACCCTTCTCCATCTCACCATCTGTCTTCTCCACACTGCCCCACCCTTCTCCATCTCACCATCTGTCTTCTCCACACTGCCCTCACCCTTCTCCATCTCACCATCTGTCTTCTCCACACTGCCCTCACCTTCTCCATCTCACCATCTGTCTTCTCCATACTGCCCCATCCTTCTCCATTTCACCACCTGTCTACTCCACGCTGCCACACCCTTCTCTATTTCACCACCTGCTTCTCCACACTGCCCTCACCTTTCTCCATATCACCACCTGTCTCCACATTGCTCACGTTTCAATTCTCACAAATTGTAACATTGATTTCCGTAGTGATGATTTCCTCGATGCTAAGCAAATCACTGGGTTTTTATCTCGCCTGGACCTATATCTTCTCTGCTTCTCTATTGCTGAAAGAGCCATCTTAATCTGAAAAAGACCAAAATGTTGCATGCTTAACCTGGCATTGTCAGTATTAAAGAAGTTGTTATCCATAACATTGTGTCTACCTTGTCATCCGTCAACTTCTAAATAAGTAATGCCTATCAAACAATGTATAACCTCTTGAATGCCTGTGTTATTCCAAGAGGAATTATTTGAGTTATTATGGTAATTATACCACTGATTGGCAAAGTTTGAAATGAAAATGTAAGGTGAGGATAAGTCTGTGCTGTTACCAGGGAATGTCTAAGCTGTTACCACCAGTGTCTGTCCATGTTTGAAGGTAATAGCACAGTCACTTACATCATAGACAAATTGACATTAATAACAATTTTGTTTAATGTGTTCACCCTTGAAATGTTGAGACCAGTTTATATTTTCTAATATTCTGATAAAATGGTTGTGGAAAGACATTTGTTTACTCCTAAATGCAGTACAGACACTGGAAAAAGGTCATTCATGATAGAAATAAACGTATTATTGTCCAAAGTCTTCTCTCACTTGAAGGGCACTGCTGCCATGATAGTTCAGGAAGTAAGGTGTATTTCTGTTATTTGGAATTCTGGGAATATTGAAGGATCATACGTTTTTCAGTTTTGATTCATCTCGGTACCAGGACAGACATTTTTACATGTTCAAGTGTTTCTTACCAAAATCAAATATAAATAAAAATGTGTATCTTTAAAAAAATCACTGTATTTCATAAGCTAGGACGGTAACGCACAATATATTTCTTAAACATTTTTTCAAAATAGATTTTGTTTTTTTTGCAATATAAAACAAAATTGATGGGAAAACTTAGGGTTTCAGACACCCCATTTAGCTCCATTTAACGCCAATTAAATAGTTTAACTAAAATACAATGCATAATAAGGAATAACTGAAACTACTGTCAGATACTATGGTATGTTCTGCCCAACACTGGTGTTACAAATGTCAAATATACATATTTTAATTGTTATTCAACTAGGAGTTGAATATGACTTTTTTAGAAGACCCAGAGCGAGCTAGTATCGGGGATGACACGACCACTGAGATGTCATTCGAACTCCGAGTTAGCGCGGTGAATTAATAGTTAAACCTTCAACACAAACAATGGAGTCACTACCGGATGATGTTACAACAGCTGAACTTTGCACCTGCAGATAGGTTACTCGCTGAGATGAGATCTGAATACACTTTATCGACAGATATTTCAACATGGAAGGATGTCGCCTGGCGCGGCACAGGAAAAAAGCAGGCAAGTATATTTCGTTGATGTTATTAACCTCATCATGGCAGCGATGTCACGGTTTAGGAAATCTCGTAAGGTTAATACCATACCACAGAGTTTCAGAGATGTGTAGGCAAAGTTGGTAGTGTCTTCTTAATTGCCTCCGCTATGCGTCGACGGGCAACAAGCATAAACGAGCTATCCATTTTGAATCGCGTTCACTCGCTATTTTGATGAAACGGGCTGAGTATATTTGAGAATGTTGAGTATAATAAAGTGTATGCTGTACACTCAAGAGATCCCAAGGCAGAATAGTTCCCCAGCACGCCGTGCCAGTGATAAGCAGCAGATTAACATTGACAACAACAGGTAATAGATAACAAGATAATAGTAACAGGTAAGAAGCATACAGAGTGAATGAATATAGTTTTACGCCGCTTTTCGCAATATTCCAGCAGTATAACGGCGGGGGACACCAGAAATGGGTTTCACACATTGTACCCATGTGGGGAATCGAACCCGGGTCTTCAGCGTGACGAACGCACGCTTTAACCACTTGGCTACCCCACCGCCCCCCGCATACAGATAATGTGATGAAGCCAAATGTGCTGTAAGAATTCCAAATAGCTCACAGGTAATGAAGCACACGGATAATGAAGCCAAATTTAAAGTAAGGATGAGGATTAAAAGGATTAAACAGTTGTGACAAGCTGATTGGGTCCTAATCAAAACAGTCAATTGCTTGATTAGCTCTTCATAGGCAGACGATATGTTTACTCTATACGAAGACACCTCCATGTGGAGTTACGTCAGGTGAACCCTGGGCGAACTTGACAACCAGATCTAAATGAATTGTGCCTGTGTTCTTGGGACAATCAAAACTCAGCCTTCAAAACTATTCGGCGTCATTCCTTTCTCACTTTTACTTACCACCTCGAGTCGGACGTTACTATTTTATCCACACAAAAAACCGAAACAGAACATGAGTATATCCTTGATAGTACAGCTTTTGCGGTGAAGATGTCATGGCGGTCCTAAACGTTAGAATTTATAAAATATTCATACATGATATGCTAGCGCGACTTTTAACTTTTGCATTCGGAGCTCTCCGATTATTTCGGTTTCAAGATACAAAAAGAAGATATGCTTGTGTGAATGCTTTGCTCACTCGTATCGAGAATTGTGAAGCCTCGACGCCCATTGCCTGATTAGAAAATTCACCTGACGTGACTTATGGAGGTCCTCGAATCTCCAAGAGGTTTCGTATAGGAGTAAACGTTATAATTTTAATAAAACTGTGAAAAGCGATACTTAAATTTGAAATGTAAAATATCGCCATAGCCTTGTTATTGATCGACACCTTAAAAGAAGATGGAAATAAATAGTATGGCCTTAGTATGTTATCATAACATTATGGTGAACAAATCCCAATGAAACTGTTACAGTTCTGGTCATCGTGGTGCTCTTCATTGTCAGCGTCTTCGAGACGAAGATCCCAGCTTATATATCCGGACTGGTCTGTAAGTAGCGATGAATCACGGACCTGCTTAGAAACCGATTTCGTCTAAATGCATAATCTTAGCTATGAAAACATTCAGCTCGACCATTTGATCGTCGGTGTGGAAGAGGGCGGCTGAGCCTGGGAATTCTAATTCGTTCCAGAGAGTAAAGGGACATATGCATTTTTGTACGGCTTGGTATACATTAGTCATATTATGATATGATAGCAAGGTTTTTTAAGGGTTCATTTAAGGTTCTGTGCCTCCTAACATTTTGTGCCGCTATCGCATACAGTTAGAAGTAGGACAAGTAGGAATGTAAATGAGCACGAGACTGGAGATTGGACTGTTATAATGGAAATTCAAGGCATGCAATTAGGAGTTACAAACAGTTGTGTTTAAAGCTTATGTTGTTATGATGGTATTATTACTATGTGACAGGGTGACCAAACATTATTTCGTTCCAGTTGGAAGAGGGCTATTTGACTTTTCCCACCTGGAAGATTTAGTGGACCTCATACAACCAGGTAAAAATGAAATTTTTAGATCATGTTACTGCAGACATTCTGATATAAAATTTCAAATTCATGCAGGCAGGTACGGACAGACTGACTCGTTCTTGCACTCGCACCCACCTGACACTGCTGATGAAATGTTAGGATATTGAGATTAGACTTATATAAGACTCTATGTTCCAGTTCCCCTCCAGAAGGTCAGGTTTGATGTTTTGCTGAAGGATTACACAAGGAAAATACAAGGTACGGAATATGGTTGCGCTTTGCTAAAAACCAGACCCCAATAGTGTCCTGGAGATTGATGATCTTATTTACCACATCTGGCAAATTTCACGGCATGTTTTACCATATATAATTATGATTAGCATAACTATGCTGTCCAGTTTACACACACAGTTAATTCACAAGGCCCACGCCAAAGAACAACTAGTCTCGAATATCTGCTGAAACAGTTTCCAGGTGTAAAAATGTAAAATCCTGATGAAAATGTTAGGAATTGATCATTGAAAATCAAGTGTTCGCGAAAAGGGTACGCATGTCATATTCTGGCGGTAGCAACCACAACTCACACAAACTTATAAAAAAAGTAAGTGCAAATGAGAAAGAAGGTGTGAAAACGCCATGAAAAGGTTGGTTGGCGACGTGTCATATTTAGTAAATTCATGTGAATATCTGCCAGAATATTTCTGGATTGGCCTAAACAGGCACTTCATGGAGAATGTTGATTGAGAAGCTTAATGGTAAGCAAACTGTGTCTTTCTTTAACATTTGAATAAAACGTAGAGGCTTTCGATTGGAAAATCGAAATCATCCCACTGGTCCTACAGCTTGGTCATTTTGAATTTCTATGCAGACACTAAATGTTATATCTTCGTAATCAAGGCTTATAATTTATTAGATGTTTTCGGTTTAAAGCATAGCCCTGACAGGTTTAGCCTTTTCTATGTTTTATTTTATTTATTTTTTAAAATATTTTTTAAATTTATTTTTTTAATTTATTTTTTAATTTTTTAATTTTTTTTTATATATTATTATCATTATTATTATTTTGTGGTGGTGTTTATATTGAAATATAATGTATCCTATTTTACTATCTTATTTCAAGTTAGTATATGGATTTTGAATAAACAATATCACACACAACCCCAGGCACATTGTTTTCTGCACACTGCTTACGGAGCTCTTAGGAGATAAACTGTCTACTCCTCCTGCTTTTGAATGTCTGTAATGGCCTGTGATAGTGAACAGCTACGAGGGTCGTTAACGCTGTATATAAATGCTCAATTGGAATTGTCGATTTCACATCCAGGGAGAGTAAATTGTGTGGCCTTGTTCAGTGACATTTTAAATAAATACGGTTGTGGGTATGTCTGGAATACTCGACAAGTTTACAATAAAATAGGTTTTCTTGCTTCTTTTAAGAAACAGATAGACGTGGAAGCAAAACTTGACCTCATTAAGTGACACAATGATGTACTTTCACATGGAAATATATGTGACAAAAACCTTTCCATAATCATAAGAAACCTCCGCTAAGGTTCCATTGAACGATTCCGATTATATCATAAGCATATTTCTTTTATGAATCACTATTAAATAATGATGATATCAGGTCGCAAAAAGGTTTTCCTGCCCCATCGGTGACACCTGCCACAGACACATGCAAAGACAAGTCAATTGTTCACCTAACCATAACACTTTTTGAAAGCTTACTGAGGCCTTGAATGTAGTAACCCTAATCAAAAAACTGTTGAGCAAGAGTTATATGAGCTCTCAACAACTTTACTACATCCATTAAATATGCACTGGAAAATATTTGGAATAAAGGTCCTTTTGATTAGATTTATTAATTTCTCTTTCAGTTTATCACGAGTGATAAATGTGTAAAGGTTGGTCAAATCAAAAGGTTTAAACTTGAAAATGTTTTCCTGGTCTGAGATTGAAAAACGTCAACTAAATCTTTTGATAGTTCAAGTTCCAAATGTGATTAACTCCACTTGTCTCATATACTTTCTCACACTATTTAATTAGACCTTGCTTTTCGCAAACACCTGGTGTCATCTTTGATTTTCAATATGTTTCGAAGGATAACCAAGACTGGTCATTCTCTTGGCCTTTTTATATATGTTGAATGTTGTAAGAATGATATGTTCGTTAAAAGCTTTGACGAGGATTTGGTGGTAGATTTGCAGGACCCTTTATATGGATTCTAATGAAACTGAGGAATCAAGGATAAAGCTAAAATCAATTTATTCTCAGGTGGTGTACATGCAATAACTTATTTGAGTATTCATTATTTCTTATTAGAGTACTTCAACGATAATCTTCTCTTTTAAAACACAATTATTTTCTGGCTGCTCCATAGCGATCTGTGCAATTTATGAAATTTGAAACAATACGGCTGTAGTTTGGCATCTTTAAGGCATATTCAAACATATTTGGTATTGGAGTGGGTGAGTGAGTTAGTTTAACGCCCATTTGAACCGTATGTCAGTTATATCACGGCATGTCACCTTGATTTTTAAGGAAATTTCACAAAGGCTAAAATTATAATGTTTTAACATCAATGAGTGCGTGAGTGATGTGAAAAAGTCACATCGGCAGTAAAAGAATCATACATTAATATTAATTAATTACTAAGTATATTAAAATCTGCCAACGCTGGGCAGTATTTCATCTTTTTATTTTTAAAACTAATTTGAGAACGTTTACAAGAGGAAACTATTACTCCACAACCAGGCTGCAAAAAGGCCGTCATTTGGCTAGAATATTAATGAGTGCGTACTTGAACAAAAAAGAAAGATAATGAAATACAACATATCAAGTTTCTTTCAAAATGTCTAGCGTAGAAAAACTGCATTTGAAAAGATTGACTTTTGGCTCCCCCAACCGCCACAATCGTTCATAAGCAGCTGATGACGTTCTTGTATTGTAACAGCATTGCAAGCACATGGCCTGTGGAAGAAAACTGCTGTGAAGTCATGTGAAGAGGAGGAGGATCACCCAGGTTCGTGTCTCCTCCTCAGCTCTGTCGCTTGTGTCAGTGTCTTATGAATAAGAACCCACCCAGGAGCATGTCCTATTGCCAGATCTATGACTCAACAAGTGAGTGAGTGAGTGAGGTGTGTGTAACGCCGCTTTTAACAGTATTCCAGTCATATCACGGCGTGTCAGCTTAATGTGGGAGGAAAGCCCGAAGTGATGCAGGTCTTAGACGTTTACCACTTCGGGGAAACCCACGAGCACGGGTATGGTGCTGACAAACCTAGAAACATAATCGGGGCGAACCGGGTTTCGAACCCATAATCATAGGTTTCTGGCGTGCCCAAGAGACGCAACTCTGCACAGCGAATTGCGGCGCCTTAGTCGACTGGGCCACCCGTGCCCCCTATGACTGAAGGAAGACTAGGTTCGGGCTAAGTAGCAGTTCCAGCAAATATATTCAAGTCAGTCGAAACGTGCTTTGCATGTCTTTAAACCAAAACATTAAATGCAAGGTGTGTGTCAACCTCGTAGTTGATAATTATCCTTATTACACACAAACAATGTCTCAGTTTTAAACTAATCATTAATTGTAACCTCTAGATGTAAACCGGAAAATGTTACGCTCCTTGTTCCATGTTCTTGTTCCCAGGCTAACATGTGTTGTCATTCACGTGTTCTGATGCATGCCATTCGTGATTCCAAATGTGTACCAGTTAGTAGGTACATTCGTCTCGCTTTGTTCCCAAGCTAACATGTGTTGTCATTCACGTGTTCTGATGCATGCCGGGGGCACGGGTGGCCCAGTCGTCTAGGGCGCCGCGATTCGCTGTGCAGAGTTGCGTCCCTTGGGCACGCCAGAAATCTATGATTGTGGGTTCGAATCCCGGTTCGCCCCGATTATGTTTCTAGGTTTGTCAGCACCATACCCGTGCCCGTGGGTTTCACCGAAGTGGTAAACGTCTGTGACCTACATCACTTCGGGCTTTCCTCCCACATTAAGCTGACACGCCGCGATATAACTGGAATAATGTTAAAAGCGGCGTTAAACCAAACTCACTCACTCACTCACTCTGATGCATGCCATTCGTGATTCCAAATGTGTACCAGTTGGTAAGTACATTCGTCTCGCTATGTCCCCAGGCAAGGCTTGTGTTGAGTCCTCCTGTCCTCGACCCCGGCCTACAACACCAGAGGACAACCTGAGAAGTGTCTTGTCCACCATGTCGGACCTCAACCACAAGCATCTCAGCCTCATGCTGGGGCTATTCCCAGAACCCCCCACGGGGAAGAGAGTCATGTTTGCCACCGCAGCTTCCGATAACCACTTCAACGAATCTCAGGGGCTCATCCAGAATCTCCATCAGAATGTCTTCCCCCTCATCAGTAACTACACGTTTGTGTACTATGATCTGGGACTGTTACCATGGCAACGAAAAAAGGTGAAATGATTACAAGTCGTGAAGAATGATAAAACAGATAGATTAAGCAATGTACTCCGAGAAGTGTACACTGGTAACCAACATTACTAGAGTGAGGTTGAGACTATCCCAAAATAAGGAAGAACGCCGAAGCCTGTTGTGTGACGTCAGTCGGGACACACAAACCAATAGTCTCGATCAATGAGAATTTGCCTGATGGTTACTGGTGTAAATGCAATACACCTTGTGCCGGCCATGTGATATTCCAGGGGTTGGGGAAGTCGAAAATTCAACTATACATATTGAAGAACTAAATGACACTATTTAAGGACGTTGGGGTAGCTTGGTGGTTAAAAAGGTTGGCTCGTCACGCTGGAGACCCGAGTTCGATTGGATTCACGTGAAGACAATTAAATATTATTTATCACAATCTGCACGAACCAGTGCATTTCTAATCTGCATTTATACATAACTATATGCACTACTTATCGCATTACAATGTGGGCATAAAACACAAAACAATGCACTGCTAACATGAATTTGCACATTCTAATCAATACACTAACGATACATGTCAAATCATGTCAAGCTGACCTGACAAAGTCGAGTGGTGTATGCAAATGTCAACTTTATCGGATCACGAGATAAGATAATCTGTTATTGGACAAGGGAATTGTTCTGTTTATGTCGTACGTTTTTATTTATCTTACTCTGAAAAGGGTTATAACATTCTAGGAAAATATCGTTCTTATATTTTCAGATGAATTATACTGAACCGCAAAAGAAACGTCACTATGGATAGATATATGAGAAACCTTATTTGTCCAAACACTGTAAACATACTTTGAGACATATTAAAAAGATGAAACGTGGCAAAACTGATCATCAAGGTTGAAATTAAAGTGTCAAATGTTCTTAAAGTGAAACACAACACTAGTCTCTGAGAAAATGGCATCACAAGTCAGTATCTCGTGTGTCCGCCATGTGCATTGATGACTGCCGTGCAACGTCGATACATGGAATGGATGAGGCGGTTGATGAAGGTAATAGGCACTTGAGCCCACACTCTGAAGAACGCCAGACGCAGTTCAGCTGCATGGTTCGTTCTAATGCCATTCTGCTGGAGGAAGTCTCTTGTTGCTCTCGCAGTGTGGGCATGGGCGTTATCATGCTGAAACTCGTGGTTGCGTCGACGTGCCAAATGAGGTATGGCGTGTGGTCTCAAGACTTGATCAATGTACCGAGCTGCTGTGACACCATTGCCTCTCCCTGGACCGATGTTCTGGAAGACCACAGGGTCGACCCTCTGTGCAAGACCAATTCCACCCCACACCATGATGCTCGGACCACCCCACGAGTCTCTCTCAACAACACAAGCATCCGAATAACGTTCCCCATAGCGTCGCCAGACTCTCTCTCTCTGCCATCTGCTGTTGAGATACAGTAACGCCTCCCGTCTGAGAAGAGGACTCTTCTCCACTGCTGGTGGCGCCAATGCTGGTGCTGTGTTGCTCACTGAAGACGGTCCCGGCTATGACGTGGTGTCAGAATGGGTCCTCGGTGTGGCCTGTGACAGTGGAGGTGTCTGCTCGTCAATCGTCGACGCACGGTGTCCGAACTAATGTGTCGCTGGTGTGTCCCCATGGTCTGTCGAGCAGTTTCCGCAGCAGTAACAAAGCGATCTTGAAGATGCTGTCGCACAATCTGACGATCCTGACGTCGGGTGGTGACCCTTGGTCTTTCACTACGTGGTCGGTCATCTGTAGTGTTGGTGGTCTGGTACCATTGCTGGACCCTGTATATGGTCCTTACGTGGACTTGAAATGATTTGGCTACTTGCCGGGCGGTTAGTAAAGCTTGCAATCGTCCATGGGCTTGGTGTCGCTGATTACTTGTCAATCTTGGCATGTGGTAGCAATTCAATAACGCATGAATGTTATCCGATCTGGGTGGATTTTAATAGGGCAAGAAATGGGGGAACGCATGTGCATTTCAATTTGTACGGAACTCACGTGCATCGGGTTACCATGACCGTTGCCGTGATGCGTTTGGGCGATCGGTTTTATTGTCATCTGCTTTGTTTTTTATCATCAACTTTCATTTTCCGGACAATGTTAAATTTTAGAAACTTTGAAAAAAATTACCCAGCTATCTAAATGACAACTTTCATGCAATGACGTTTATTTTGAGGTTCAGTATATATAATTAAATACCGAATAATCATTATCATCTTTACCTAACGGTGCGTTTCTTATCAATATGTGCATTTAAAATAACTGTGCAGTACCAATTACTGATTGAACACATCATATATGCATTAGCAAATGCACTTAACAATGCATTACCAATCACTTTCTGCACATAACTATGTTGATCACTTACATACGTAATCAATGCATTCAATAATGGATATATAATTGTTGTGTGCAAGAAATTCATTTCGCTGATAACAATAAGCCCTCAAACGTCTGTCTCTATTTTAACTGTACTTGCAACAACAGCTGATGAGAGATTGTCGTTGTGAACTGAGGCGCTTCCCGGTGGAGTTGATGCCGCCGAGGCTGCAGGATTTACAGTGCTACGCCTGGAAGTCTTTTATCATACAGGTATGCTCTGTGATGAATGATATTACATGGAGGTACGTGTTACGCTTGAGCGTTCTACCATCAGTTGATGCAGTTTCTGTACCTAGCAATCATCCATAATACATTGAGGTGTATTCGAGGTGTGGAGACAGAGTGGTGGGCTTAAGAATGCCTGATGATCTACTTTGCGCAGAGACAAGACAGACCGCAGACATCATTAACACTGTGTTTGTATCCTTTCTATCATGGCGTTACAGCCTACTGTGGGTGGAAATCCACCAGTGACGTTATCAGTTTGGTGGAAACCCCGAGCACGTGTCAGACCAGGGGTTATGACCGGGGTAAATCTGGGATTCAAATCTATGCTCTCCCGAAATAACCAAGGGCCTAACTCTGCACAATGGATTGCTGCACTTAAGACCACAAGGTCACACTGTCTACAAATGCGAAACGTTATTTATGATCATTATGAAACATCGCAATTACAAAAAGGCACACGAGCCCAGGTGAGACTAATCTTAGTGACAAATATCTTTTGGGTTAATTTATACAACATCCAAGTCCTATGTAATGAATAATCTGAACAGTGTAATTCATTAAAGAAGCTTGCAGCTACATTAATTCATTTATAGAAGGTTTGTATACCGATCTTCAAAAATCAGTTTTTTCTCACTCACATTCTATTCTCAGGCTAACCTCCCAAAGACGGACATCTTGGTGTGGGTGGACTCCTCTGTGAGGTTCTGGAACAAAACCATGCCCCAGCTACTGGATGACGTGGAGAGACGAGGCATTGTCACCTACGCTGATGTCCACTCGGTGGCACAGCATACTCTGATGGAGACAATGATCTACATGAAAGAAGACGTGTGTACTCTAGCTCCAGTCGCTGAAGACCACGGTGGCTTCCTGTTGCTTCACAACGAGCGGTGGATACGTGAGGCCGTCATTAAACCATTGGTGGCTTGTGCTATGAGTCCTAAGTGCATGTGTCCGCGAAACCCAATGGACGTCATTATCTGTGACACTGGCATACACAAGTACAATAAATGTCATCGCTTTGATCAATCTGCAATCAACATCATTCTCAGCAAACTGTTTCGGGATCATAAAAGCAGCTTTTACTCGCCTTTCAACGAGTATCCAAATGTCACATTGGCCAGGTGAACATGCTTAATACTAGATAATCTGTGGAATTAAGATCAGTTCATATAACAATTCATCAATAAATACTTATCTTCATATAATTATGCATTAATAAAAACTATCTTCATATAAACTGTGCATTAAAAAATGATTATAGTCATAAAACAATGCATCAATAAATACATATTTTCATATAGCAATGCATCATTAAATACCTATCTGCATATAACAATACATTATTTAATACCGATCTTCATATAACAATGCATCATTAAATACCTATCTTCATATAACAATGCATTAATAAATACCTATACTCATATAACAATACATCATTAAATACCTATCTTCATATAACAATAAATCATTAAATACCTATCTTCATATAACAATGCATCATTTAATACCGATCTTCATATAACAATGCATAATTAAATACCCATCTTCATATAACAATGCATTAATAAATACATATCTTCATATAACAATGCATTAATAAATACCTATACTCATAAAACAATACATCATTAAATACCTATCTTCATAAAACAATGCATCATTTAATACCGATCTTCATATAAAAATGCATTAATAAATACCTATACTCATATAACAATACATCATTAAATACCTATCTTCATATAACAATGCATCATTTAATACCGATCTTCATATAACAAATCGGAATGCATTAATAATTACCTATCTTCATATAACAATGCATCATTTAATACCTATCTTCACATAACAATGCATTAATAATCACAATATGCACATGAGTAGTTATTATTTGATAACTAGTTGCACGTCAAAATAGATTAGAAAATACCTGTATACATATAGATTAGTATATAATCGTATTCACAGCACTATATATTACTAAATACATATGTGCACATAACAACCATATATATATATATCAATCTGCACATAGCAATGTAAATCAATATGTGCACAAATCCATGTTTCAGTTAAATAGTTAATAACAGTGCATTGTTAACCACATACTAGACCCCACAATGCAATCGATATTTGCATCTGCATTTATATTTGCGCCATTCAGCACCTATCCTACAGCGACATTGGCAAGGCGTTCGAACTGAACGTGATGATTAGCGTAATGGGTGAATTTCTAATCATATTTTCTTGATGACCGGAAAAACAATGAGGGCTTGTTGATTGTCATGTCAAGAACATGCTACTTCATAGCTGTTAAACTACACAGTAGTGATTGCGGGTAAGACTAGGCGCAACCTGCAAGGAAACTTTAAACGCAGAGAGTCATTCGCCCCCACTAAAATTATCTTCGATTATCTCGGCTTAGTCCCACTAATCACTCGAATCATTTAGCACTTCCAAAACAAACGTGAAATACATGATACACCTTCTGCGTATTGTTGACAAGGCACAAGTTAGGACTTGATTGAGCTCAGACCCTTCATATTAACAAAACGTTAACGTTCGAAGCGAATTAGTCACCGAAATAAACCATGAGTGAGTGAGTGAAATTTAGGCATATTCCGACTAAATAATTGGCGCTATATAGCTGATATATTGCGGAGAGCGGCGTTAGACATCAAACAAACAAACAAAATATGCAAGAATTGGGTGTTCTTCTTTTGAGTAGTATAAATGACAGACAGACATACTTTATTCAGTACTTTAGGCCCAAGGTCCATTATACAAACAAGATGGAAACAATAATTCAATGAACAAGTAAGACAAGTTCTATGGATGAACAACTTCTTTATTACAATTAGTGCGTCGTTTCGGTGTAGATCCTAACATCTTTATCAAGCAAGTGATGGATAGTGCTAAACAACATAGGTATATATACTTATTAACATCAATGTTTATACAGTAAATTGATTGATGGATACAGAGAGCTGATTAAGATAATTGGAAGCCTGATAAACTGATAATAATAATTTCATTTAGATGAAGCGTCGAGGGAGTGATGTAAATATTGAAAGAAGCAATCATACAATCTCTATTTGAAGATTACCATAAATGGTAAGATGAAGATTTGGGGACTCGGTATACACCCTTGACATTTTATGAATGGTGATAGGCCAGAACCAGTTCTCACACAAACAGACATTGATGAATACATGTTCACAACAAACGAATGTACCTCTAACAACATGTCATTATTTATGCAGTCAAAAGCTCTGGAGAAGTCAATAAGAGACAATAAAACCTTCCATTTTTCTTTGATTAATATTTGTTGATCATAGCTTGTCATGTAAACATATGGTCAATGGTGGAATAATTTAATCTAAATCTAGCTTGTGATTCCGTTATGAAATTGTTATCATCACACCAAGTCTATCATTTATAACTGAAGTAACACTCTTGCACATGTTAATCAATAAGATTTCTCTACAGTAATGTTCATATGATGGGCACTGTGACTGCCGATGTTCAAGTTGGGACGTTCCTGACACCGTTATACAGTTTGAAACAATCCGAGTGAATGAGTGAATGAGTTGAGTTTAAAGGAGTTTTCAGTTAAACTAATGCGTGCAAACTCAGTGAATAACAACACAGTCGAATATATGGAATAGTATCTTCATTCCATCCATTCTACAAGTATTGATGGCCACAGGATAGTTTGGTGCAAGTTTGGTTACCTTGTTCCAATATCGCGACACGTTGTATTGGAGGGTTATCTCCACGTTAGGATTCGAACCTCGTACTACAGTGACGTGAAACACCCACCTGCTATAAAGTTGACCACGGAGATATTCATGAAGACTGGTGTCTCTCCGTTTGCCGAGCAGCACTTGACGAAGAACAACATGTAGTTGAAGAGGTTTAGCGTCATTGTTATCAGCATGTACGCCACCATCATTTGGATGAAGAAGAGCCATGCTTACATTAAAGCGACAAAAACATAATCATATGAAATCTTTAAGAGACAACTGTACGATCCAGACTATATAATAAGCATGTGTCCCTGGCTCTGTTTCACACGGCCATTTTGGCGCTACAACTATCACAACTCTCAAAACTCAAAATCATAGCCCGTCACAAACACACGCAAAGCCAAGTCAACTGTTCACTGAAAAGAATCACGGGAACATTTGGTACAAGTCAAAATAGGGAATTGCATTAGATATATGTTTTGTCACCGGTGCGTCAAATTTGTAAGTGTCCTCCACAAGTCTATTATAAACCATTTTGAAAGTTTTACTGAGGCCTTAACTGTTGTAACCATGATCAAACAACTTTTGAGCATGAGTCGTATGACGCTCTTTGAAATCTTGGTAGAGAGAAGATGCTCGACTGTACCTAGAAAATTGTCAAATGTAAACACCAAAGGCTGGAGAAACTGGAATGTTGCTTGACATGAAGGGAAAGTTGACTGTTGGAAAGTTGAAGTCAACCACCCTCTTGCTACTAGACCTCAATACATGGATGACAATGCAAGGCCTCATCGTTCGCATGCAGTCGTGGATTACATGAAGGCCAATGCAATAACGACTCTACCCTCTCACGTGACATGTCAAGTGTAGACTTTAAAGAACATTTTCACATGAAACATCAAACGTAACTCATTTGCTTAATACAGCTCCATACTTTTTTAGGTATTGCCTGAGGTCAAACACAGTACCTGTGTTACAATGATGTTCTTTTCAGTAAATATTTCACCAATATCTTCTTTATTTGTTGTCAAATGTTTGTTCTATCCGATGACATTGGTATCGCCCAGCTCCTGTGGTCAGTCATCCCATGCCATGATTTTTGCCATTTGTCATGGTTCAGAAATAGGGGTGTGTTTAACCTTTACTTTGTGTATATATGTAATAAATAGTGGTTCCAGAAGATTATTTATAGATGCTTAACTGTCTACAATATATAGTTGTGCTGTAGAATAGAATAGAGTTATGTTACCATTCAGTAATATGGTATGTCGCGACACAGTATTACTTTTGATTTCCATTGCATGCACTCAATACCATGTTTGATCATAGAACGACGATAACCTCTTAAGTCAAGCATCAGTTCCCTGGTCTCTGACAGGGTGCTGAGCTTCAGGAACGTAATCAGTTGTCAATGCACAAGAGTTGTGTCAGCAAGAAAAGATGACACAAAATAAGAAATCAGTCCCCTTTATGAAATTCAATAAAACATAAACCATATTTTAGATGGGTAAACAGATGCCCTTACTTGCAGGTGTTCGATTCCCAAGATATCAAATATCAAACTGGTGTACCCGGATGTGTGCGAAATAACACAGTACATGTAGGTATTAATATATAACATAAAGAACACATTATTCATTAATTTATTTCAATTCGCGATCCTTGCATGTGTTACTCAAATCTCACACAACTATTTTAACTTCAAAACATTCTTCAGACTGGGCGTCTCGTTGACTCAACAAACGTGACTTTTTTCATGATTCCAATGTACTCTTAGGCCATGTTTTGTGTTTTCTGTGGGTTATTTATTTCTGAAGATACTTTGAATTTTATGGGAACCGCAACGCAACATTTTGTGAGCGATATAAAAACATTTTGCGAAGAACAGTTTTAACTTATTGAGAAAGCACTGTGCGTCTGAAATATCCCCAAACGTCGTGGAAAAGTAATTTTTGCTTCCATAATGATTAAAACTAGCGGATTTCAACAACACTGGTCTCCTCAAACTAGACAAGACATGGGATGACATATTAACTATAGTAATATTAAAGAATCGGATGGTCCCTAACTTCTTTTGAGTACTATATAATTATTACCAAAGAATCAGTTGAAATGATACATGAACTAAGAAGACATTTGTTTACTTCTCTTAGAATAAGCAGAACATATTTCTTAAAACGAAACTCACACATTGTTTTCCTGTCTTTACACAATAACCTAAGGCTTAATATTCACTGTTACATTATGTATGTATACCGCTCCACATCGAATTCGCCCATCATGTACCCAGTTCTTAGCGTGTTCACCTGGCCAATGTGACATTCGGATACTCGTTGAACGGCGAGTAAAAACTGCTTTTGTGATCCCTAAACATCTAACTGAGAATGATGTTGATTGCAGATTGATCAAAGCGATGACACCCATTGTACCTGCGAATGTCAAGGTTAC